CTTAATAGAAGGCTTTTAGCTACCTCTAGGAGGACCCTAACTACTACCGCCAGCGCTAGCAGCAGTAAAGCCTATAGAAAAGTTAATAGAGGCTATATTAAGCAAAGTTAAATTAAGGATTAGAGTAGATATATAAGAAAAAGTTAGATAAAGAACAATAGAGAATTAAGAGTAGAAACCCTATTATATATAGTAGCAGCTAGCCTAAGCTTATAACTCTAGACTGCTTTATAATTATAGGTAACTAAGAATTCCTATTATACGCACTAGGCAATAATAAATAATAGGATTAAGTAGTTAATAATTAGTAATTACTTTAAGTTTTAATTATAAGTAAAGGTAGATTTTTACAATAGTAGATTAATAACGCTATTATTTTAGTTAGTATAATAGCGCTTTAGAATCTAAACAGAGCTTAGATATTTAAGTAAGAAAGAGATATAGTAGAGTAATATAGGAAGTATATCTAAAGGAGTATTAGAGTAAGATTATATAACGTAGGTTATATAATCTAGGATTAGTATATAGTAGTTAAGCCTCTAATAGGAGCTTAACAGAGTATTAACTAATAATACACTTATCTTATCCAGTATTAAGCTACACGTGCCTAAAGAGGCGTTAAAGACTTCTCCTCTACACTATATAAGCTGCCTATATATAGCTAATATTAGTAGTGTTGCGTAGACCTAGTAATTAATAGCTACTATATAATTTTGTATATAGCGTGTCTAGTTAGAGAGATTTACAGTATTATAACAGCTAACTATTAATACTAGATAAATATTTAGTAATTTTTATTATTATTTAAAGCTTAATTAATTAGTTAAATCTTATATATATAGAGCTTATTACTATTAAAACTTATATTACAGTACACTAAATTTATTATATTATTTATCTTATTTAATATATTATATTATATCTTATTATTACTATTATTATTGCTGCTGCTACTATTAATACTATTAATACTATTACTACTACTAGGCGCGCAGCTTACGCTGTTATACTTACTATTATAGTTACTATTACTATTTAACTCTAATATAGAGCTACTATCTTAGCTAGTAATACTTACCTCTAAAGTTAGCCTAAACTTACTTAACGTAAGTAATAATAATAAGTAAAGTATAGTCTTAATTAGTATAACTAATAGTATAGATAACTTACTATTTAATTATAATTACTCTATTAGAGAGATATATAGGTATACTTCTTAGTATATCTCTTATAAGTACTAGTGCTATAAGGCTACTGTTACTAGCGTAGACCTAGATAGCTTATAGAACTAGGTGTTATTTAAGAATTATAACTATAAGCTACTACTAGAGGTAATATATACTATATTAAAGAAGGCTAAAGGTACTATTAGAGCTTAGAAGAGAAATTATAGGCTTAGCTATAAGCACTAAAAATAGCACTATAGTAGTTACTACTAGCTTTAAATAGTATATAATTACTTAGGTAAGTATAAGGAGCTTATTAAAACAGCCTTATAGAGGTAGCTAGGTACTACGTTAGTAAAGATTAGTTACCTAATAAAGTTTTAGCTAGTTATAAAGAATAATACTAACCTTAAAGGCAGCGTATAGGTAGTATAATACTATAAGAATTATAAAACTATTATTTATAATTATCTACTAGAGAGAAATACTTATATAATACCTTACTAGCGTTATAAAACATATAGTAGGCTTTATTATAAGTAGCTAGTTAAGATTTAAGAGCTTATAAAGAGCGTAAAATAGGCGCTGTTAATAGTATAAAAAGAGTAGCTAGATTTAAAATAGACGCACTAGAATATTAAAAATAAGTACTAAGCCTACTAGCAGTAGTAGCTTAGGTAGAAGATAAAGGTTAAGGTCTTAAAATAGGAATTATATAAGGCTAGCTAGTACTACCTATAAGTAAGCTTATAATAGATTTTTTAAAGTTAAGCTCTAAACTTACTTAATTTTTAAAAAGCTTATACTAGTCTACTAAAAATTCTCTAGTATATTAGTTATTAGTTTAGCGCTTTACTATTTAAGCTTAGTGCTACCTTAATTAAGGTTAGAGTTTCTTAGCTAATAAACTTTAAACTTTACAGAATATTAAAATCTATTAATAACTATATTAAATTTTTACTTCTTATATTACCTATATACCTTACGTAATTTAAAATATTACTTAATACGCTTCTCCTTAATTATATATTTAAAATAAATTATTACAGCCTTTTACTACTTAATTTAGTAGGCTCTAATATAAATAACTATATAATCTACCTTAGCGTTACGCTTATATTACGTAAGAATAAGGCTATATTTACTTAAGTTATTATATAACTCTAAAAGCTTCTTATAGTAGAAGGTATTATAATTTAACTATTTATTACTAATAATAATAGAGTATATATAAACGCGCTTAATTACGTATTTAATTTACCTAAAATTATTATATATTAGTAGTATATAAATAAGAACGTTTTAAGCTATATTTAATTAGTGCTAATAGCTAAGTTTAGGTAGTAACGTAATAAGATCTTTTAGGTTAATACTAAGTCTATAATATAGTTTACTAATACGTACTATATAGTACTAGGCTCTAAAACTCTAGCTAAGTTTAATATAAACTTTAAAGCTATTAAAACGCTGTCTTCTTACGCTTATATATACCTTAATTACTACTAGTTTAGCTGCTATAAGGATAAGCTTATTAACGTATAGATTAATAAGTTAGCTAACTTTAGGCTATCTATAACTTTAAAAGCTAAGAGTACCTACTATATTATTAAGAACTAGCTTAATAGCTTAAGAGCTAATATACTTTAGCTATTTTACTACCTAAAGTTATTCTATAATAAGTACATTAAGTATAATTAAATACTTAATAGGTAAGTAAATTACACTATCTAAAGTAACTATTAAGACCTAGCTTTTACTAGTATTATTAAAGTTATCTTATACTACGCACTTATACTTATAGCGTAGAAGCTTAAGTACGCTAAAGGTAAGCTTTATATATTATAAAGTAACTCTAGCTACTTTATAATAGCTTATATAGGCGTCTATATACGCTCTAAAGGTCTACCTTATTAGTATTAGATAAAGAAGCTTAAGCTTATATCTAGAGCTCTAAAACTTAATAATTTTAATATATATTAGTAGGTTAATTACTTATAAGCTTCTATAATTAAGCTAGCTCTATATATATTAAAGCTACGTGTTATATAATAATAGTAACCTTATAAGCTACGTTGCTACGTTACTAGTAGTAGGTAATAAGGTAATTATTATAAGCCTAGCTTATTTAAGCGCCTTAATAATAATAATACTATAGTAATACTGCTAGTAACACTGCTAGCTTATATAATAGTTAAGCTAGCGCTCTATAAAGGTATTATTATTTTACTAGTAAATTAGGTAGCTCTAGCTACTTATATTAGCTATTTACGTATAATAGCTACTTTATAGCTTATAAGGCCTATACTTACTCTATTAATATAGCTAATATTATACGCTAACGCTTACTATTACTACCTAAGCCTACTCTAATTACTACCCTAATTACTACCCTAATTACTACCTTAACTACTACCTTAATTACTGCCTTAGCTACTAGCACTGCGCTTATTAGAGCCCTAAATTAATAGTATATACCTTCTATAAGCTTACTAATTAAGTGCCTAAATAGCTTACTATAGGTACCTAATACCTCTAATAAGCATAAACTATATACAGTTTAGCGCTCTAATAAGTATAAACTTTGCGTAATTTAGTACTTAATTAGGTATACTATATATAATCTTACTACCCTTATTAGCGCTAGTAATACCTACTACTTATTATATAATATAAATATTTACTCTACAGCCCTTATAGCCTAGCTTATACGCGTAATAGGCTCTCTAGTATACGCAGCTGCTATAGGTAGTAACGTATAGGCAGTAATAGTAGTAACTAGAAAAGCTATAATACTAAGCTTCTCTACTAGTAAGAATAACCTTTATATAATACCTAGCTTACCTATTAAATTAGCTACCTTTATTATAAGTTTAAAGCCTATATACTATAAATTACAATATAATAAATTATCTAGTAAAGCTAGATAATAATAGCTTTAGGTTTTTAGTACTAATAAAGTAGTATAGTTATACTAGCAAATTGCTTCTATATAAGAGCTAATTTAAATTATTACACCTTAATTTTTAATTATACGTAACAACAGTAATAACAGTAATAACAGTATATAATAGTAATATTTACTACTAAGTTCTATATTACTAATTAATTACTTAAGCTCTAGCTTTAGTATAAGTTACTATACAAACTAGAGATTATAACACAGGATAACTGTGTTATAGGTGCATAACGCTATTCTAGATCTATCTTATGTAGGTAGTAATTAATACTTATGTAGGTGGTAGTTAACCGCTGCCAGGAAACACGAAGTACTGGGGCGCCCTAGTGGACCATTATAACATCAACGAGTCAGAAGCAAGACCAGCCGAAAGGTTTCAGTAGCACTGTTTTGTCACGGCGCCCGTCGATGGAGATGCAGGGATCGCCTAGCCAATGATCGGAAGCAACCGCTTGGCGATATGTCTTGATCGCAATCAAGACATTGCCACGCATGATAAGCAAAGGCTTAGTTGCTTGCGCGACGTACTTAATCGGCCCCTTCCGACTCAAAACTTCGGTTGTGCGTAGGTCAAGTTTGTAGACGAAACCGGAAGGTGCCGAGTAGGTTTGTTGAACATCAATTGTATCTGTACGATAATATCATACCTCCCTACCACTCAATCCCAGACCAGGGCTCGATCGAGATCAAGGATAAGCTGTAAGGTACGAACGTAAGTGGGCTCCACCTCTGACGCGTTCGGCCGAGCGTATAGCCGTGGGGTGTCGTATGCCCGCTATTGCGAAACATCGGCAGATGACGGGCATGCCAAAACTAGACAAGCAGATCATGCAAAAGCAGCCCTCAGATCGCAAGCTCTCAATGAACCCCAAGCATGTCAAATTTCAACGCATTGCGGCGCTGTGCGACGGTCGATTGGCCAGACCAAACATGCTTATCTATCGCAATGAGCCGCGATATTTATGAATTGGTCAGGATGCGGCAAATGATCCCACCGCGTGGCGTTTAGAACCGCGCTAGATCGATCAAGCATGTTGGGTGGCACCCTCTCGGAAGTGGTGCACAGTCGCAAAATTGCCCTAGACTATACACTTATCTCTGCTTCGCCCGCCTTTGTCGGCGAGCTGCGGTTCTCGTTTCGCGTAAATATCATCGCGCCGCCCTCGAGTCTTGGGTACGAGAATCCCATACTCGCCCACTGGTCCTCACGACTCACCGTGCGATCCCTTACGCAAGGAGCAGCTTCGAGACCGAAGTGACAAATCTATCATTATGTCTTCTCCTGTGTACGATCTGGAAAAAAACCCCAAGGAGGCCGGCGAGGGTAGCATTCCTTCGGAGTCTCATAATCCCTACTACGGCAACGAAGGTGCGGTGCCTGGAGAGAGCTTTGAAGTCGGAAACAGCTTTTATGCCAAGGCACAGCGATTTGCTGGTAAACTCAAGATTGAGCAGAGAGGCATCGAGAGAGTCCCCGAAGATGAGAGAACAGACACTGGGTTCAAGGCGTTGTTGAATGTTTCAACTATGGTAAGCACAACATCAGGCAGAATTAACAGCCCAGCAATCTAATTCGTCGTATAGTGGCTCTCGGCCAACATGGTCGTATCTTCCTTCGCCATTGGTGTCCTCGCGAAGACTCTGTTTTATCTCGGATTCGCAGATGCTATTCTGGTCTGTCTGTTCTTCAACTTGATCGGTATATTGCCAGTATGCTTCTTCTCCACCTTCGGCCCTGTTTTTGGCCTCAGGCAAATGGTTCTCTCGAGGTTCTGGTTTGGCTGGTGGGGCGCAAAGTTAATCGCTGTGTTCAACGTGCTCGCATGCATTGGCTGGTCCTCGGTCAACAGCATTGTTGGCGCCCAATTGATGTAAGGTTCTACGTCCACGTAACCTCAATGAATTGATAGCTGACAAAACCCACAGCAACACTGTCAACAGTGATGTACCTGGCTACGCGGGAATTATCATCATTGCAATCCTTACATTTGCAATCACTCTCTTCGGCTACAAGATTGTCCACGCCTACGAGTTCTGGTCCTGGATCCCTACCTTCATCGTCTTCCTCATTGTCGTGGGCGTGTTTGGTCACACTGGAGATTTCGTCAACCTCAAGTGGGAGTCCGGAACCTCGGAATTGGGCAGCTGCCTTTCCTTCGCCGCCACTGTATATGGCTTCGCAACTGGCTGGACCAGCTACGCTGCTGACTACACCGTGTATCAGCCGAGCTCTCAAAGCCGTGTCAAGGTTTTCTTCTGGACGTTCGCCGGTCTCATCATTCCCCTGCTCTTCACTGAGTTCCTTGGTATTGCCATCGCGACCGCTACCTCGATCAACGATGGAGACAACATTTACCAAGCCGGTTATACAGCATCAGGCAGTGGTGGACTCCTCGGCGCAGTGCTCGTCACCCATCTAGGTACTTTTGGCAAGTTCTGCCTGGTATTGCTTGCTCTTTCTATTATTGCCAACAACTGCCCGAACCTTTACTCCGTCGGCCTTACTGTGCAGGTGTTTGGCAGATGGACTCAACGCATCCCTCGTTTTATCTGGACCGGCGTCGCGACCGCTTGTTATATCGCAATCGCCATTCCAGGTTACAGCCATTTCGAGGACGTTCTGGAGAATTTTATGAACTTCATCGGTTACTGGCTCGCTATCTACGAGGGCATCTCTCTTTGCGATCATTTCGTTTTCAAGCGCGGACTTCAAGGCTATGTTGTTGGTGATTACGACAAGCCTGAGAACCTCCCTCCGTCCTTCGCTGCAGTTATCGCCTTCTGCTTCGGTGTTGCTGGTATGGTTACAGGAATGTCGCAAACCTGGTTCGTCGGCCCCATCGCGCGCCACGCTGGCGCGCCACCGTTTGGCGGAGACTGTGGCTCAGAACTCGGTTTTGCTTTTGGCTTTGTTATGTATTTGATCCTCCGCCCTATTGAATTGAAGTATTTCAAGAGGTAGAACATATTTTAAGAGGATAGGTTCTTGTAGTGTAGATATATTATTCTTTAGTAATTACAATTCTTACAAGTGTTGAGCTCGTCTGAACCAAGTTTTTTTCGTACTCTTGACTAGCCAATTTTTAGTCCAAGTTTTGTAGCTGCGGTTTGAAGACTATAGTTGATGCTGTTAGACATTTCTGTTGATTTAGAAAACAGCCCGTCTTAAGACCCATGCCCCTTTAATCCACCATCGAATATCCAAAGAACTCTCCCGATCCAGAATGCCAAAGATCCTTGTCTAACGTCCCGCTACTCTCTGCTACATGCCTTAAATAAGCCTTGAAGCTTTTGTACCCATCCATTTGCACCGCACCTCCGCTCGCCCATGTTAAACAGCACCACTCGAGCTTGTTAAACTCCTCCATACTACCAGCAAAATCATTTACAGCGTGCCTCACACTATCCTTCACTTCGCGGGTTACCTTCTCGTCCCTACTTTCAAGAACAGACCTGACCTTTTCTTGAACGCGTTCAATGGTCGCAGGCGGGATCAAGAAAGTATTATCGATATCTTCCTGCCCGATGATGATACCTCTTCCAATCTTAGTCCAATCTAGCCCGTCGTTGGCTATCTCGTGCGTTATACTCGACATATCTCCTGGGATATCGATACAAAGATCCGCAAAGTAGTCCTCGTCGTCTGCAAACCAGCGGATGTCCTCGCATTTCCAGAGTGGAGCTTCCATGATTATGCCACCGAAAGCTGGCTCGTTGCCGTTCGTGATGCTAAGGTACTCCTTATAGTCATCGGGTAGTTTGGTGTCAAGGCGTTCCTCCGTCTTCACGACAACGGAGGCTGGAGCGGGATCGTGTAATATAGTGGAGGGCGCTTCGTCGTCTCGTTCTTGGAAAGTCCGGATGGAGTCCGGGTTTGTGAGTGTGTTCATGTTGATGAGTTCTACGATCTGTTTGATCGAGAGCTCGGAAAGGGACAGCCTACCCTTTACCAAGCGCTCCGTTACCACTTCCACGAGCTGTTCAGCGAAAAGATTGACTTTGGTCTTGTCGATACCTAATATCTTGGGTAAAGCTCCGTCGTTTAACATCGGCCATACCCGTCGCGACTGCGTCAACTCATGTATCTGACTCCTCGCCCCCAACCTTTTCGCGATCATACTCAGGATCTCATCTTCACTGGGTACACCGTCATCGCCGCCTCCGCCTTTCTCCCGCAATCTGATTCGCAATTCCAGAGCACTCGCCAAAGCCCCTGAAGGCTCTATCGGCGACTCGCCCTTTACTGCATCTTGATATTTTCCCGGCTCATCCCACCCATGAAATGCACTAATCAAGTCTCTCGTTTTTTTCCTCAAGTCCTCAATCGACAGATCGACTTCCTGACTATGCGGACTGGGCGGCACATGCACACCCCCATATGCCCAAAATTGCGGTACCTCAGGATACCACCAGGATTTTGAGTAGCTATGATACATACTATCCACCTCTTTCTTCACGTCGTCGTCTGTGATTGGGCTCTCGTCCACGTCCAACTTGATCTTCTTTCCCGTCTCTTCGCCCTGATTGTCCTTAACTCTCTTCCCCGCAGCCCTCTTTCTATTATCTTTGATAGACTCCCTCACACGATCTAGTTCACCGTCAGGCCAATGGTTTATCTGGTCCCAGAGTTGCCAGAGAGGACGGATCCCTATGTGCCTGCCGTGGTACCAATCATGGTTGTTTAATTTGCTAATCAGCTCCGATGCCGTATCGGTATAACCCAAAATGGCGAATTGAATGGCAAATTTTGCAGTCTTAATGTAAAGGTCTTCGTTCGACGACTGCAGAACTTGGGCGCGGGAGAAAGGTGGGTTGTATGGTATGGGCTCATCGGCGCTTTCGAAAGGAATGGATTCATTGGCTTCTCCAGACATATTTCTAGGCAAATAGCGTGTTGGAGGTCTTGAACAGAATAGAAGGCAAGGGCTCATACACAGAAAAGACTTTTAGGAGTTGGCAAAGTTTCATCTTCCCAAAGTCTTAAGTAAAGCGTGTGCTACGTAAGCATTGTTGCCTAACATCAGCTGGGGCTATATGCGAGATGACGTAGTTATGCTCAGACATCTAGACTGTGCTTTATCCTCGTTGCTATCGAATCACTTCCGAGTGCCAACAAAACGTGAGCTGGGAAAAGCCAGTAACATTATTCAGTAATAACACTTGCATTGGTTCAGTCATGTATAGAAGCAAGCAGAACATCTAAAAATCATGTTGATAGTTACTTAACACATTCTAAAGTCTAAGTTTAGTGTCAACGTTTCAAGAGAGTTCAGTAGCTGCAAGGGTGTCACTCCTACGCACTTTGTCTAATGGTATACGACGATCTAGGCGAGTATTGAGATGACAAGTTGATTAGATATTAAGCTACGAAATGTAATTGTTAGATGAACGTAAAAAATTCGCGTTTCGACTTCAACTGTAGCCCAAAGGGGCAACTTGTTCGCATCATAGACCTAAACTCATAGAGTCGTGGGTGAAAACATTCTCAAACACGAGGCGTTAACTTCAGTGCGCGACTCCAGCAACTAGGCTGCGAAATAGCAAATTCAACGTCTGAATCAACTTTAAATTGTCTGCTGACTTCGACGCTTACTCAGAAGGTATCAAATTGGCTTCGATAGGGTCACTATGGGGTGTTGCGGCCTGTGACTCGGGAATGGCAATAGTAGGAGCAGAATCGGAGGAGATACCAGGCTTTGTACTATCCTTAGTCTCCGGTTCCTTATCGCTGGGTCCAGCTTCAGGCTTTGGCTTAGAAGAATCATCGATGGGCGGTGGTGTCTTCGATTTGGGCGGCGCGGAAGCAGGAGCGGCATCAGGATCATCAGGTGTTGCGATAGGCGGCACGACAGCTCCCATTGGGGACGACGAGTCTACAGTACCAGGAGCTGGAGCGGCAGCAGGCGCATGTATGACTGGGGAAGCTGGGAGCTGGCCTGGACGTGCACGAAGAGCTGCGTTGGATGCGTCGGTGGTCGCGTTCATATACATGTCGGCTATCGAATATGAGCACGATATCCTTCACAGTACACACCAGCACTCACGATCGTTCATAGTGTTGTTCCGCACAACCTTATCGTACAGTCTCGTCAAGCGAGCCACCTCACTGCGCACGCTGACGGAATCGTCGATGGCAACCTCGTCGTACCCGTGCACGCCGCTCTGGATGCCAAGCCACATGACTTCCGAGTTCTCAATCTCGTCCACGACGCGATCGAGGTCATCTCGGAACATGTGTGCTCTCATCGGCTGACCTCGCGATTTGAGATAGGCTACGACGCCTGCAATGATGGTGTTCATGGCACCGAATATGGTGATGAGGATGTGCGACGATTCGGACGCGCCGAGCGCCGTCAACGCTGCACCCAACACGACTTGCGAAAGCAGCAGCGTGTTGGATAGCGCGGCCGTGAACATGTATGTCCGATTCTGAGCATTGCGCTTGTGGACTGCGCGGCCATAGAGCGACCGCCGGGCGTAGGATTGTCGAAAGGCATCTTTGGGCAGGTTCGATGGAGGAACACCAGCCAAGAGGCAGAACTGGAGGTGGATGTCGTTGGATTTTCTGCTGGCATCTCGTGAAGAGCGCGACGAGGACCTTGGCGCCCCGAGGAGGGGCGTCTCCTCATCGTAGACCGGCATCGTGCAAGGCGATGTTGATGTTCAGGGACACACACGTGACAGTGACAGTGCTCTGAATCCTGCGATCGCCAAGAACGCTTATTGATCCTCATCACACATCCATCTCTACTGCCCGAACTAGAAGATACCCGCTGTCTAGGCCCTGATCTAACGCACATCCTTTGTTTGGATATTTGTAAGTTGTCCGTCAGCGTTCTCTGTGTCCTTTGGTGCTCAAGACTCAGGCACGATCGATCTGCAGCCCCGATCTGCGCAGAAGAGAAGAAAACGCTCTGGAACCCATCACAGTATCCTGGCATTTCAGGTCTTGGCGGATCGCATCTCAGATGCGAATGCGATGCACGACCACCTAATACAGTGCAAAAGTCCGCAGAGAAACGCTAGATGCGGAGCGGGGAAGGGGTAGCGATGCCCCCAAGTTTTAGAATGATTCATGTTCTCATGGCGGCCTAACTACACGGCTCGGGTTCAGCGCGCCGACCCTCACCACACTTAATAGGCCCGAAATGCTGCTTTTCGGTCGTACGATTGGCTTCAAATCTGGAATGTGTTTGGACGGATGAAATGAATCCGACTCCTTTGTTGCCAGAATAACAGGATACGGCGCCTGTCCCGTCGCCACCAGTTCTCATAACCGTAGATGGCGGCCGGCATCTCAGGCGACCATTTGCAACTTAAGCGAGGACGACATATTACTCTGCGTTCCCTCATACATGATCCGCTGGAGATCTAATCACATCACGCTCATCACACTTTACGACGATTCATCAGCATGGGTTCGCACGACACAAAGGTCGGCGCAATGCCCCCTCCACCGGGGGTTACACCGAATTTCGACAACCCCGAGTCGATCGCACATCGTGTTATCATAGTTTCTGTGCTCGGTGCTGCAATCACGATTCCCATCTGCTTGATACGGTTGTATACGAAACGCTACATCCTCCGGAACGTTGGATGGGATGACTGTAAGTACCAAAGTTCAAGCGATGCTCAGTCCATACTAAGAACACCTACAGATTCGATCGTGGTTGCAACAGTACGCAATTTGAATACGCCTCAATCAAGGCAGTTACTAACGATGTGCTAGATTCTCGCTTTGGGCTTTTCCATCTACGTTAGCTACCGTAAGTGCAAACGATGGCTGTGTGCCTGAAAGTAACTAACTGGGACCAGAAACGACCAATGGATTGGGTTACCACATCTGGGAAGTCACCGCAGAACAGTTTTACACGTTGATGAAGGTATTTCAACCCTTCACACCCAGATTGGCAAATATGTACTGACCACCTTAAGATCGGTGACATTGCGGGTCCGATCCTCTACAACCTTGCTACGTTGTTCACAAAAGTTTCATTGGGTGCATTTTATTTACGAATCTCGCCTTTTGAGCGAAACTTCCGCATGGCTGTCTATGCTGTTGTGTTCGTCTCGATTGTAAACAGCTTACTGTCGGCGTTTGGCTTCGTTTGGGTATGCCAACCCATTGCGAAGTACTGGGATTTCACCATCACCACTGGAACATGCATCAACCTCAATGCATACTTCCTTTCGTCTGCTTGCATCAATGCAGCTACCGACCTGGCCCTCCTCGTTCTCCCGATCTTCATCATGCACAAGCTTCAACTCGCTTTGCACCGGAAGATTGGCGCGGCATTACTCCTCATGACAGGTTCTTTGTAAGTCATAACAATGACTCTACGGGCAATTCGTATGCTAACCAGCCTCAGTGTTTGCGTAGTGAGTCTGATCCGAGTCGCACAAGTTGTCAAAGGAATGCACCTCATCCCGACGGATGGCACTTGGGGGATGGTAATCAACTTCATATGGATGTACGTTACTACCCATTTCAACGCCCTCGTTCTCTTTACTAACCACCACAGGTTAACGGAGATGTGGCTCGGCATCATTTGCGCCTGCCTGCCAATCCTTTATACCTTTGTCCGCACACACGTTCGAGCGAAGCGCGGATCTGGCGATAAAGTAGCGTATCCCGCTGTGAGAGACCCGAACAGTGGACAGATCGGTTACAAGGCGCCTGCACAAGCACCAGATTCCGGCTACCACTCCGGGCATATGTCGAACTTCAGCTTGGATCAGTTGGATGCGGAGAGACGTGGTCATTACGCTGATCATGAACATGGTGTTCGGCCGGCGACATCGGACAAAAGCCTTTTGATCACTACTTCGAGGTGCAGCGACTAGGTGAAGGTAGTTTGTTGTTAGCTGGTACTAAGTACATGTATGATGGCAATTAGGAAGTACGATGACGTCTGGGTTATGAAGTGAAGGATGGAGTTGTTGAGGGCATTAAGCGTCTGCATTAAAGGAGTCTCCGCATCTAAGGGTCTAAAATCGAGCGAACGGTTCAGTCTTCACGAGCCACACATGTACTATCACGTTTCGCGTTGCGAAAAGTAATTATTAGACACTACTCTGATTACTATTACTAGTTCAACCTTCACTTCCCCTTCAAGATATCTTCTGCAATCTTCTCTGCTAACATATACACAGAGCTCGTGGGGTGTCCCGGCAAACTAAATGGAATAATCGAGTTGTCCACAACTCTGAGTCTCTTGACACCAAACACCCTCGCCTTCGAGTCCACCACAGCGCCCGCCTCTCCAGCCTTTCCCATCGCACAAGTCGAACTAGCATGCCAGATGGGCGAGGCCGATGATCGAATGTACTCCAGAATCTGCGCATCCGTAGTGACAGCGTCACCGGGCGTGATTTCGGGTCCAACAACGATGCCAGCAATGGCAGTGCTGTTCCATGCATCACGCACGCGCTTGAATGCTGCGACTAGAACCTCTCCGTCTGCAGGATCGGTGAGCCACCCCAGATTGATGACCGGTGCATCGGCAATGGACGCGCTACGGATTGTCACGTTGCCTCTGGATGTGGGCGTGAGCAACGTAGCGCTGATAGCACCGACAGTTGTCAGGTTGAGGAAGCCACCGGGGAAGCCAGACGCGATGTACTCGATCTCGGGCCAGTCAGACGGGAAGTTTGAGAGGAGTTCGGACGTGCGGGGCGAGAAGGCTGCACGGCTTTGCGCAGGCAGTTTTTCGAAGGAGAGGTAGCCACCGGCGGAACTGTATGGGCCCGCGGCGTCGGAGAGGTACTGCTGTACGGCAAAGGCTTGCTGCGCGGGGGTCGCAAGATAGGTACCTGTGTTGGGTACGCTGACGCCACGAAGGACATTGAAGAAGATCTGGTCCCAGAGGTTTTGGCCCACGCCCGAGAGATCGGAGACCACGTCGATGGAGTAAGAGCGGAGAGTTGACGCGGGTCCGATACCTACTCGAATCAGTATGTGAGGTCTGGTTTATTCAGCACAGAGTACATACCTGAGAGCTGCAGAATCTGCGGGGAGTGGAACACGCCCGCCGAGAGGATGACTTCCTTCTTTGCTGAGATAACAAAATCCAGTCCTCCAAATGATACAGCTACGCCTGTCGCCCTCTTCTTTTTGTCGAATATGATCTTAGAAGCTTGCGAACGCAGATACACGGCGATGCGCGCCCGCTTGTTCTGCAATGCAGACTGCAAATAGCTGGTCTTCGAACTACTCCTCGTCGCATCTTTAGGGTCAATCGTAGTGGGGACCCAAGCTCCGCCATCCACTTTGCCGCTGCTGAGTCCGTTCGGGCTTAGGGTCATTCCAACCGCTTGCAAAGCACGAGCGAACCAACTCTGCGCAGGATCAACCCAATTTGCCCATGAAATCTGCACGGGACCATTGAGCGAGTTGTCGAATGCCTTTGGATCGTACAGTACTGTGGCATTGGGCGCATTCCTTTTCTTGAGATTGGGAGGAGTGAGGGTAGCAGTGCGTTTGAAGTAGGGGAGGATGCGGTCGAAGGTGAAGCTCTGGTCGCCTACTAGATCTGCCCAACGTTGGTAAGACCCAACAGTTCCGCGATGATATGCCCCGGTATTGATGGCTGAGCTTCCTCCTAGCGTTTTGCCCTGCGCATAATGAATGCGACGCCCTCCAGCTGATGCCTGGGGGGTGGAAAGCAGATCCCAGTCGATCAGCGAGTTTTGCGGGTAGTCCTCTGTGATACCCAGGATCGGCATGACAAGGCCGTAGTAGGGGATGACGGATTGGTTCCCATTGTCCACCTCGTACAGGCCGCCAGCCTCGATGACAGCGACTGAAGCATAGGCTGAGAGTCGGGAAGCTATGGCGAGTCCAGCGGTGCCACCACCAATGACTGAAGAAAGTTAGTCTGGATATTGGATGCATGAGTTCGAACGGTAGAAAGGTAAAATATAACTAAAGATCGAATGTTGTTTGAAGCAACACTGGTATCTCAGTATCGTGTGGAGGCTACATACCGACATAGTCGTAGGCCGCATTTCCTGGTATAGCTGTACGAAGCTGCTCTTGCGCAGAGCTACTGGCGACGACTGCGCACAACGCTACAGCGACTTTCGAGGCGTAATGCACCATTTCTGATTCGACCTGAAGGATGGGAGATCTGTCCAACCAAGTGAGTTCAGAATGTATGCACGAGAGGATCTACGCAACCGACAGATATCACGGAGAACCTTCGACCAGGAACAAAGTTAATATAGAAACGAACCACATTCTCGGGAGCATTATTTCGACCGGAGACTTCTTGCACATCGTCGAGACCCTGCTTCTAACCCGTTCAGGTACCCAGACCGACCTGCTTTTCGGACTCGCATTTTGCAGAATCGGCTGTTGCTCGCGGGGTGAGAGCCAATCAGTCACGGATGATGCTGCAGGTGCATGCGCCGCAGACCGTGCGGGTATCGCTGTTTAACCTCACAAAAGGCGGCATTTCCGACCCTAGACTAAGACCTGGGATGTTAGGTGCATGTATGCAGCCCCAATGTCCGGGAGCGGTGGAGACGGCCCGAATGAGCTGCAGCACCGACTCATGATCGACTGGGGTAATGTGTTGGCCCCGCGCATGGCCCTACCATCATGTCGTTTGAACACACGAGTTTCACAGACTCAATCATGAGATTTGGCAACTACCATATCTACTTTGCCTGCAGAATATTTCTTTGCCCCAGACTGAATAATTTGATAGACAAGAAACCTTCACACCATTGGCGGACCTTCACGTGTGAACACTCGATGATACTCCGCCTGATCCTATCGTTCATTTGCCATACAAACCCATTAAAGTTTGGAAATACGGGATTACGTTGCGACGGAAACAGATTTCTTGATTGATTGGACAACCGATTGTGGATACTTGAGTGGCTGAGGGATTCATAGTATCCACGTGTTTTCACCTTTCCACCCTTACCATGGAAGTCTGACGCTCTGTACGACGTGACAAGACCTAGTCAACCTCGCAATTCTCGTTGCCTCTGGGTGCAGTTTTACATGCGCTAGCAACATTGAACAGTGAAACTCCACCTCGGCCAAAGGAATACTTGGAAGGCATGAAAACCGCCGATAATGCAAGAGATGGTACATAGATACAGATCCAAAAGGTGTCCTCTAACAATCCACGCGGGGACGCACACGACGTGGAGCGAAAGCAGTGAACAATGAAGATTCACATGTGGACGATGCGCCAATCTTTCATCGAGATGCCGTATCTCATTTTACCTGAGGATAGTGCGGAGAATTTTATATCGCTAATATTGTAAATCGGCAGAAGTGTTCCAGCCGGTTGTATCTATTTTGCAGATTATTGCTACTAGGAGCCCAGCTCCGCATACAGGTACCAAGTCAGTATTCTGATGGCTCACGAGTCATAATAGAGTATCTCATTGGGCTTTAACTCCGCTTATAGTCACACGATCAACCAGTACTGACTACACTCGCACCGCCAAAGCCCCTGAGACCAAGACACATCGGGGGCGAAGGCGAAGGTATGAGCGAAGTTCTAAGTAGGAAGGTAATTATTGAACCGACTGCGTTTTGTCTCGGCATGACAAACAACCACCTAGATTCGTTCGGCACAGGAAGCGCCTTGTAAAATCCAAGTCGTCCCTCTCCCTCTTTTTTGAGCCTCACCTTTCTCCTCTGAAAGCTAACGGGATGACGCTGAAGAAGCCTCGGCTTACCCGCGACGAGCTAGTCGCCATCATCAGCGACTTCTACACCTTCTTGACAAAGTTTACATTCCCTTCTCATCGCTAAAGCACCCGCCTCAAGAAGGATGGTCCAACATCATCCTAGATACCACAGAAGATATCGACAAATCGCCCATCATGATCAATCTTATCAAACTCCTTCCCTATATCGAGGAGGCCGAGTCGCACTAAGGGATCACCAATATCAACTATCAATGCGACATCATAGACTACTCTGCTTATCTTCGCGATGGTTTCGTAAGCAGACATGATCTTGACAGGAGATTGGGCTGAGACGGGCTACCAATCAGATGGAGAGGGTCAAAGAGGATTATCGAGAACGATGTGGTTACGATGAGAATGACGGACCCAAAGACGTAGAAAATAGAGAATAGCACGACGATTGCGAGAGTCAAGATGGGAGTGATCAAAATGGCGATATTGATTACTAGGAGGACTAGTAGGGCAGAAACGATGCAGATAACATCAAACTCTCAGATACGATTGTACTAGCCTCGAACTATATGGGCAATGGCTGCAGGACTGTGCTTGATGTATTCAAAGGCGTGATACACAAAGATATAATAGGGTGGCATCAACTATACGGTGTAGAGATGAGGAGTTTTTTCGACGACCTAAGGGATATATTTGAAAGGGTGGAAATGGTCACCATTCGTGGCGAGATGTTCAAGAGAAGAATCATGCTCCAACAGAGTCGTTTCCATATTTAGAAGATGAGCAGTGTCTAGGTAGTACGCTATCTGTCAATGACTATATCTCCACATCCGAAGGAGTAACCCTCCCTTTGGGTTCTTCAAACGCCCTTGGAGTCCCAGTATCTATTCTCTCCATTGATTTATACCAATGGGCTTCCAAGACAGCAGATGGAGGATTAAAATTAAAGCCCAAATATTCCGACGTTTCTGAACTCAAACCTCACACATATCCCTTCTTCTAGACCCAAGTCGATCGACGAAGGGGCTAGGATCAGCAAGATCAGCAAGATCATCGGCCCTTATGATGAGTTGAGCCTTGATCTTCTCAGATCCTAAGTCTTTTGAGTCATGCAACTCGAGTAGACAGTTGGTCCTCAATTGTTTGACCTCCTATCTTGCGATGACACAGGAATCGATTACCTGATCATGTATAAGCAGGTTCAAACTAATCCAGCCATCCATACAGTGAGATGGTCCCGAACGTGTCGACTCGCCCAATGCGCAATTGTATGTTCGATGGACCTTCTGATTGCCCGTTCTGTGAATCAATCCGATACGCTAGGGATCGTGCTCTGTTGGCCTTTTCCGGTGTGTCCTGTTTGGGGATGATCGCCTTGTGCATCAGACTATCACCGAGATCTCCGCCCCAGTCCCAAACCAAGGTCTCATGCAGTTATATCCAGTCGCACGCGACTTCATCCGTCCAGGTCAGGCCTCCAGGTACAGGCCACGCGCCAACGGTGTTCCCAGAACGGTCCGGACGTAATGATATAATAGCAACATTTTCACTGGTCCAACTTTTGCTATCGACAACTATTGGCCTATTCTCAGCACTGTCAACGTTGAGAGATCTTATTGATCCTTGACGTTCAACATACTTATATACTCGACAATCTCACGCATTCTGTGAGTTTGTGATTGCTGGACACGGTTTATGAACATTCTAGCTCACAATTTGAAAACAGTCGCGCCGCTCAAACCCAGACGACCCGAGAAAACGACGACATTAGGCAACGCTCCGATTACCATGTATGAGAGATCGATGGTACACGCAGTGAGCTGATTGCTCTGGGTCCGTTGGAGAATTGTCTCCAAATCAAGGCTGCGCCTAGATGATTCTGTGACTACGAGAGAAGCTATAAAAACTGACAGCGGGGCAACACTTTCATAGGTATCAGAGAAAACTGACAAATACCATGTGAAGGCCAGGCTATCAAAGTCAACTTCCATGAAGCGAACCACAGGAGCATGACAAACCGTATGCAAGAAATTATCAAAAAGCACAACACAAAACCACAGTCAGTTAGGCATGAACACTAATATACTATTGTGGATTTTGATCACATCATTCTGTTGTTACCTTCGTAATGTGCACCAGCACGATCAAATATCACCGCGTATCTGTGTTAGCTATCGACGCATCGTTCACGTGCCCCAGTGGTGCAATCTAAGGCGCAAGCATGAGAACGTCAATGTCATTATCTCATATACTCTGAAGTTCACAAGTACTCTCGCAAAATGACATCAAATGGCCACATTGGCGCAGCTAAAAGCGGGGTTGACACCGCCCGAGTAATCATCCATGATCGCCTTCACAGCCGCGTATAGTCCAGGTCCAAGCAGGAAAAGACCACACATCATAACAAAAATGTGTGTGACTGTCTTGACGCTCCTGAAAAGGCCGCTGAACAAGTGAGTCTTGTGGAGCTGCCAGTATGCCACGGCAAAGAAGATGAAGCCAAAGAACGAATCGAACGCTGCGCCTAGCAGCGAAAGGAAGTCGCCCATGGAGGGAATGACTTCGGCAAAGATGAACCCAATGAACCAGATGAATGTCATGACGATAATCCAGACACCCCATCCAAGGACGGTGTTGCTGTGTGCGTGGCGGCTCTTGCCCATAATGCGTCCATACACGAACTTCGCGCTAACGTTGGCGTAGATGACGCCGATGATGACCGTCGGAACAATAACGAAGGCGAAGGACGCTTTCTTGTGCACAGTGCTGGCAAGACTACCAAAGGCCGGCGCAGTCGCGTACTGTCCAAGGTACCTGAAACCAATCGCGGGTGGGACGATGAAAAGGAAGGCCGAGATACCAGTCAAAACTGCAAGGGCCTTGGGGAAGTCCTGTGGCTTCTCCATTTCGGAGATGAAGGTCGGGAAGAGAATCTGGGGGACCCAAAGGAAGGTGATGTTCAGCACGGCGTTCATGGCAGCAACCCAAGTAGTGCCCTCAAGTGGGAAGGCATAGGTCTTGACAGGTCCAGCCGCTGGGTAGACGCCGTTGTAACCGTACAGTGGATGATCCTCGGTACCAGCGAAGATGAGAAAGAGAAGGATCGCGATGGCCATGCATGCCGCGGAGAACATCGACATGAAGGAAACGTGGTTGAGCGTTCTTGGTAGCGACATGACGATGCCCATCAAGGTGACGATGACCGAGAAGATCACGGTGCATAGTGAGTGGTCGGAAAGCGTGTTGAGAACTTTGGCGCCAGTCAATACGTGGAAGCCGATCAGCATGATGTTGTTCAAAAGCAACATGATAGCAGTGAACTCGTATGCGATTCTGCTCTTGCCAAAAGCGTAGTAGCCGAAGTCGCAGATATCTTTAATCTGAGGATGCCTCATGATGAATCTATGCATCGTCATCGAGGTGATGTAGAAGAGCACACCAGCCACGACCATGGTGATTATTCCTGGAACCCATCCAAGTACGCTAGAGGTTGTCAGCCCGTGACTTGGAATATGAAAGACGCAAGAATACATACGAGAGCGACCAAGACTGGGCCATGATGGCAAGGCATATTTGATCACCAGCGAGCAACCAAGCAGCTCTTTGCCACGACATGGTACGAAGCTTAATATCATGGCCATTATCTTCAGCTATCAAAGCGTTGATAGCGTAGGTCGCGCTGTCGCTGTCTGAGTCTTGAGCCTCGAAGTCGTTGGATAGTGAACGCTTCTTATCGGCATGGGTGTAGTCCGCCATGGTGGGTGGTTTGTCGTGGAATGCTGAGCACGGGGATTGGGATGCGCGTGGAGTCGTGCTGCCGGAGCGGACAAGGGTCGTTTATGTATGCACAGTGTTCGGACAATCTCATCCGCTCGTGAGTTTTGTTTTTGGAATCTTTCAGTACGGGCTGGAAGATGGCGTGCTTATAGGGCCGGTCTCGCCGAACGCCTGGAACTACACCCTGGATGGATGTTGTCGCATGCCGGATGAATTATTGGCTGTTCTCTCCGATAACAACCATCGCATAGCTTGAATAGTGTTAGGTGCGGTGCTTGTCAGCCGCCAAGCGAGTCTTGTTAACCTGAAGCAGCCTGGGCATCTTATCTCGGGACAGCTGACAGCTGTGCAATCGCGTCGTGTTGATTCGTCCACAAAATGGTGGCTGTTCTGCGATTGTACAACTGCAGGCAGAACAAGCGAAGGACTAATATTTTGTAAAAGACGACTGTCATGAAAGGCGTCCAAAGTCACGGCTGGGTAAAATTTTGAGGATGTCGCAATTCCTAGACTACATCTCGAATCAAGCTAGCCACGATCGCCGAAGAAAAACAAGAATTTTGCTCTCAATAGATGCTAAACATCGAACAGCCCTAAAATACTGGCTAGACATCATTTCCTCCACGGAGCTTCTGGGCTAGATCCTCTGCATATGTGCGATTCCGCCAATTCTTTTATCGGACCACAAGATGCAATGGCTTGAACCCCGGGGCGGAGAGGTGATGTCACATCTGTTTACCGTAGTAGCGAGGTGGCGCATGGCGTGCAAGACAGGAACTGTGTTCTCCAGGAGCACCGCTTCATGGTACTGATAAGCCTAACAGAACTGCCAAACCGTCCATAGTCGTACTTGGCATTGGATCGGCCTGAATGAGACATCCTTGTGATGACGCGTGCGCTCTCGCGAGGCGAAAAAAACCGATGCAGGATCAAGGTCTAAACAAGCAACACTACACTGCCTCTAGGTCGCAACGATTTAAGCAAGCCGCACCAAAACTAGAACAATCTATCAGACATCTTGCCCTTTCCAAAAAAAATCTAAATTCTTGTTGTTCTATTGATTTGGCATGATGTTGGTCGCATCATCACGCTTCTTCTGGCTTTCATCGCGACGCTAAAATACGTGCGCTCTAGAGGCAGTTCGATGACGCTAAGTCCAGGACTACTAAGGCATAGGGATCTTGGTATGATGCTACTTAACTATGCTCTACCGCCTCAACACGACGACCCGCGCCACCGACTAGACTCTTCTTACGACTCGCACCCTTCTCAACATCTGCTTTGGATTCGGATGTACTTCCCCATTCAACACCCTGCTCTCGCAGTCTGGCAAAGTTTTTCTCCGCTTCCCAATTCCAGATGCTGTCTGAGGCAAAGAGTAGATCGATCTCCTCCAGCGTGCGCTGGTTGGTCTCGGGGTATAGTGCCCAGACCATAGGGATAGTGAGCGCGTTGCAGGCAGCAAAGATGTAGAGAGTGTTTCCACCGATCTTCTCGAACATGATCGGACAGAGAAGAGTGAGCCAGCCATTGCCGATGGACCAGCCCACTACACCCCACGCGTTGCCTTTGGCTCTGACCTCCAGGGGAAAGATTTCAGCTGGATACAACCATGGCACGGTCAACCACGTCGCTCCGAATACAAAAGTGAAGAGAAATACCATAGAGACCGCTGCGTTTCCGTAACTTGTAGCCTTGCTGGCATGACCTTCTTGAGTAGCCTGCTGACCGAGATACGAAAACCCACCTGCAAGTGCCATGGCAATGCCTTGCCCGACAGAACCCCAGTAGCAAGTCCAGCGACGGCCAATTTTATCCAGCGTAAACACGCAAATCAGGGTGGAAAACATGTAGAAGATGTTGTTGAGACCTGCGATCCACTGACGCTTTGCAGGACTCATTCCCGCAATGCCGAAGATAGTGGGAGCGTAGATAGTGACTCCAGCAATACCGACCCACTCCTGCATAATCTGAAGCCAGATGACGAGCTGGACACGTCTACCGGTATGCATCTTTCCCGAACCCAGGCCGAAGAGCATGTGAATATAGCTTTGCTTGCGGAAGTTCGTACGCTCAAGTTCGCACGAGGCCACAATCTCCTGAAACTCGATCTCTGCAAGCTCCTTTTCTGCGCCCGTATCACCACGGAGGCGCCCCAAGATGTAACGGGCCTCGTCTTCTCGACCCATCTTCACGAGCCAACGGGGCGATTCCGGAAAGAATAGGACACTGGCCATGAGACCGAGTAGCATGGGGATCTGGAACGCGACGGGGAAGCGCCAGATAAATGCCGAGGTGCCATCGCCGTAGAACGAGCATGCATACTCGAGCCAGTAGGCAATCACAACGCCGAAGATGTTGAGCGTGAATTCAATAGCAATGAACTGGCCACGCGACTTGTGCTCTGCCGTCTCGGTAGCCCAAACAGGGATGATAGAGTTCAGGATTCCGGTTCCCCAGCCGTTGATGAGACGCGCGCAGATCATCCATTCCGCGTTCATAGCCGAGCACTGCAGCGTCGCACCGACAACTCCTACTGCCGCTCCAACAAAGACTGTCTTGATGCGTCCGTAGCGGTCTCCAATTGAACCGCCAATCAGGCAGCCGACCAGTGTTCCGAGATAGTAAACAGAGACAATTCCTCCTTGGAGCAAAGTGTTGGTCACTACAACACCGCCATCAGATCCTTTGTGACCGAAACCCATACGGGTGTAGTAGTCATATGCTGTGTTGACACCGCCCATCATACCCTGATCGTAACCAAAGAAGAGGATGGAGAGCCCAGCGATGCAGTTGATCCTACATTCTCTGCGTTAGGTATTTCCATGTTGTTGTCACAAAGTCGTCTTACGCAATGAGCAAACTCCGCTTCTCGTAGCGATGAACTACATTCAGGGTGTTGATCTTCTCCATCGTTGGTTACCACGGGAAAGACGTATCTGGTCGTATGCAGGAGAGACAACAAGAAAGATAAGAGGAAGAGGGTTGCCACTTCCCCAGACTTTAAAAGAGGAGAATCACCATGTCGAGAACGCAAGTCGATCAGTTCATGCAATCGGTGTATCAACTGCCGAAGTCATGGCCTATGACGTCATCCCTCCGCTTTCATCGGATCCAGTTCAGGTGCTGATTGACATATAAATTTTTATTTCCGTTACTATATTACAAGGTTCATCAACTTGTGCAGGGTACACAGTGTACAGTAAAGTTTCCTGGGCTCTCTTGGTTGTACACATTCATATTTGCCTCGATGAGTACATTAAATGTAAGTTGAAAGCTGTGAACATTACAATAAACTCATTACTCCACGTAAAGTAGCCAAATCTCTTCTCTGAGACGTGGTCATGACATTTAGAAATGATACCATCTTCTACTCACAGACTGCGAATGTCCAAGACTTAGGATTATCGTAGGAACTGAGGCCTAAAAGTACAAAGCCTAAGAGAGTCTATCAAGTTTGTATGAACGCGCATAAGGAAAATCTGGTGATAAGACTCAAGATAAGAAACAAAATCCTATATAATGTCCTGTTCTGACTTCCAATCAAGAAGAAGGTAAATATTCTCAATGATTAAAGATTGAAGTCGAGACCATCAGTATCCACACTAAGCGAATCGTCGAAGTTGTTCCATTTCGTATGGTTTGCTGAATATTCTTCGATCATAAGGAGATAGCAATTATGAACATCATCTCCAGTGACAGAGTACTTGACGTCAGCGCTTTCCAAAACCTCAATGCCCTTGTCAAGATCCTCGACAATGAACACCTCTGCTTGTCCGCCTTCTGTACACTCATCTTGGGGTTGGAGAGTACTGTTCACAATGACGGATTTTGCCATCATCCGATTTGGCAAGGCTGTCGACCTTGAAGTAGCACTGGTCATCATCGCTCGATTTCTTGCAGTCAGCCGAACTTGACACGATGATCATACCCTCTGTCCAAGCCTCTTTGGCGAAGTCACAGGTGACGGCGGAAGAAAAGTCGATAACGAGCTGGTTGCTGGAGTACTGAGCCTTGTTGATGTAGGCTACACCTCAATACTAGTATTCATTTCATTGAAAAACAGCACGTTTAGGTGCTGTGAGCGACGCTCTATCCCGTGCTAGTGCTTTTGAAGTATTGGTCACTAAAATTACTTATGACGCGACTAGAAAGGGCATTCGAACCACTTCTTGACTTCAACTCATAAGTCTACAAAAACAACTCGTAATTTTAGAGTGCGTGTATAGTGACCGCTGGATAAACCTCCATCAACTCATCTCCGCCACATGGCTTGTACTGGAATGTACTTTCAGGTGTGTTGCAACTCCACGTGAGAGCATGGTGAAATGACATGGCTTGCTCAGGGTCAGGTTGGCAAGGCCAGCTGAACTCTAGTCGGTAGCAAAGCGTATATAGATGCTATGATCATCAAATGATAACTTGCTTAACGACACAGCAGTACTGCATTAGGTGAAGCCCAACACAAATACAAAGTATATAGTAACGGTAGCTGTACCATTTGCTCTGAAAGTGGGCTGGAACAAGAAGCTCACTTGTAACCGTGCGGCAAAGGAGTGCCCGAGAGGAAGCGATTCTGCTCCTCGCTATCCAGCACATTCCTCGAACTAATACCACATGTAAATAGTGGCAGAGTTGAGCGAGTCTAGACTCAACTCGTTAACTGTTCGAGAAATGTAGTCAACCCCGATCCCTACCACATCACCCCCGCAGCCAACATCGCGCCGACGACCCTGATCGTTGCAAACGCCCTAATACTCACGACTCCGTCCGTACTCACTCCTCCCACCCTCGTACCGGCCGTAGTTGTAACAGTGGCCGTCTTCGTAACTTCAGTAGTCTGCCTCACTCCACTCACCTTCGTATTGGCCGTCGTTGTAACAGTTGCCGTCGTGGTCGCAGTAGTCATCCTCACACAACGCCCCTTAATCTCGCAAGTCGATCCCTCATCACAGCACACATCGCCGCAGCACTCCTGATCATTCGAGCAGCAAACTTCGCCGCAACAATGCGAGTAGTCTGGGTCACAGCATTTCGTCGCACCGCAGCATGTCGTCCCGAAGTCGCAGCATCCTTCTCCTCCGCTGCAGCAGGATCGGCCGGCGGCGCAGCATCCGCTTCCGCAGCAGGTTTGGTCGGGGCCGCATGCCATACCAGGCTGGTCGGCGCAGCATGTCGAGTTTTCGTCTGGGGAAGTTAGTAATGCGATAGATGAATTTACGGGGTGTGAAGGAATGATCTACATGTGCACGTTGTGCCGCCGCATGTCTGCCTATCAAATATATCACAGCAACTTTGTTCTCCGTTGATCAGTAAGCAGTTCTGACCGACGGCGCAACAACCTGGCGCGGGTTCTCCATTACACTGGTTATCTATCAGATTGATCAAAGCTCTTGATGCCCTTATACTTACGCAGAGGTCTGGAGAACAAGCAAATCGTGTACCACCCGCGGAATAACACTCGCCGGTAGCTGAAGTAGTCAGTCATAATACCACAACAGAGTCAATTCTGCCTACTTTGCCTTTCGAAAAGCCCAAGAATATCTCGCACGTTTGCAGAAACGCTATAGTTGAACACAGGCATCTCCAGGCTTTCTGCCGGCAATTCAACATCGAGGAGATCCCATTCAATCTTATCCGCCAATGTCGTCGCACAAAGCAGCGCGGTGAGTGTTTGAAAGCGCATATTGGAAAAGTCGTGTAACGCTCCAGAAGGCTGGCACAACTGCCGAGACAGGACAGATTTATACATCCTCAAGGCTCCCATATCGTGTGTGTGGTAGGTATTGCATGCCAGTTTTTTCAGCTCTCGCTTCGTGGTCTTGGAAAGGCGTATGAACAAGAACATGGTTGGACGCCAGATGCAGAATGTTGTGTTCGATGCGTGATGATTGGTGTGGCGTTGCGCACCCAAGCCTCCAGCTGGTCACGGGTGAGTGATGTTACTTCCGGAAATGGATTCTGGGCCAACTGTAGTGGTCCTCAATCAGGATGCTCTACAGGCATGACATGTACGCTACAACTGAAAAGGAAGAATAGATGTAGATGAAACTGAGAAATTACATACTACTATGACGGCATTTATCTGGACACAGCAAAGTCACCATCCGGAGCCGTGATCCTTTTCTCATGGATATGTGATCGCATTTCGTTGTCGTTCTGTGTCGAAAGGGTTGTGATGCGAAAGACCCTCTCTAAGCGTCGCACCACGTGATTCAACCGTCTCGACCGTTGAGCTAAACCGACGGTCTGACAACCGTTCTAACGGCTTTCAAAATCGTCGATCCTCATTCGCTCCACGCCAACCTACTCCATCCCCGCGGCCCAAACTCTACCCATTCTGTGAATGCCTCGCATCCAACTTCTCAGCCGTCTCTTTAACCACCTTCTTCGCAAACGTCTTGGCCGTCTTCAACCCACTAACAAACGACGGCTCTTTCTTGTCGACTACCTGCGGCGGATTTGGATCCGTCACGTAATGCCGCGGTTCTCTCATCCCAGGTTCCACATTTGAACGACTCCGAGGTCTTGTCGCACCATAATTCGATTGCTGGAGAGTCGGAGCACTCCGCCTAGGATCCGCGTACTGCACGGGCGCCTGCGATCCAGGGACCGGTTTCCGGGGTAGTCGGGCGTTGGAAGGCGCGGTTGTACCCGCTTGAGTCTGCACGCGGTAGCCACCTGAAGAAGCGGGATACGACTCGGATGCTGCCCTAGCACGCTGCTCACGTGGGCGATACGTTTCTTCTCTCCTGGGTTGATCTGTATTAACAGGGCGTCGTCCAGTCCGCGAGCGGTCCCAACCCAGTCTCTCCTCCGCGGCTGCGGCTTCAAATGCTTGGTTTGTCAATGCTTTTGCGTTTATGATCTCATGCTGTGATGGCGCTACTGAGGTCTCGCCGTTGGGCCAGGAAGTGTAGCCTGCTGGGATGAAGCGGACTTCTGGTGCGGCGTTGGAAAAGGCAACGGAGCGCCGTGCCTTGTGACGCGGAGACATCATCGAGCGCAATGCGTGGGGCATGTTCATGTTCATTTTGAGATTGTAACACGTGGTGTGGATGTTGGTAGATGAATGATGTGGCTCAGTTTGGTCTAGAAAAACAAGTTTGTCTTGCGATTCGAGGTCGGTTGATTCTCGGTCAGACTAGGGGGAATGACGAACTAGTGATACGTGATACAAAACATGAAAGGGCATTGAATTATATGTGTATTGTACTGTGATACAATGTCTTATTTTAGAGTGTAGTTTGTTCACAATCCTTATTCTCGGGAGATCTGATGCAGGGATCAACGTCAGCACTATGAGAATCACAAATCGAGCCATGTCTACGTCACTTCGTCCACATGTATCAATACAAGTCAACCCGAATGTATGGTTTTACTAACCACCAACATCGCACTCACAAGCATTATACAAGCCAAGAAATCAAGATCAAATTCCAAAAACACACTCCATTCTACAAACTACAAGAACAAAACTAAACATAACAACCCCCACCAAAGCCCAAACATCCTAGAACCCATCACTGCAGTCCCATCTTCCCAATCAACGCCGCAATTTTCCCACCCACAGGCTTCTTCACACCCACAGTCAACGTAGGCGTAGACATAGCCGAGCAGAAAGCCACAGTAGGAGGAAGCGTGGGCGTGCAGTCCACAGCTAGATGAGTAGGGGAAGGTGGTGGAGATGCAGAATCGCTCGTAGACCAGGATGGGACTGAGAGTAGGGAAGACGTGGGTGGCGGCGAGAAAGGGGTGGTGTCTTCGTATTTGGTCTGCACTGTGGGTGGGGTGTCTTGGATTTGGATTGCGATGAGTTCTATGCAGAGTGGTGAGGGAGGGGTTAGAGGGAGAGGTGGAGCGGGGAAGGGCGTGTCCCATTCTTCATCTGCATTGCTGTGCGTGTACACGTCTCCGTTTTCATCCTCGTAGTCCGGGATATGTGGTTCTGCTTCTGCTTCCGCCTCCATAGGGGTGTCTTGAACGGGAATCGGGCGGGTGTCTACGTCTACATCCCTATCCGCCTTCTCAACTACTGGACTCGCAGGGAGGGTAGGAACGGGGCTGTCTGGGATGGGGACCAGACTCGCCTCCTCTTCCACAAACCACTCTGCATTCCCCTCGATCTCGACCTCAAAAGGCGGGTAGATGCATTCTGGGATTGGTGACATCGTATCCTACCTTATATTTTCTCTTCCAGTTCCAGTTCTGGTAGCTTTTCGAATAGACGAATAATGAATTTGATGAATAGAACAGTGTTGGTGTGTTGCTTGATACTGAGGCTGATGAGAAGGGAAGAGATGAACGGTAGAGAAAGTCGGCGGAAGAAATATACGTCTTGCACGGTTCTCACGTTGTGTGGCAAGAATGCCTGTGTGAGACATAGATGGATCATAACATCGATTTCAGTTTCATTTCATTTCATTCCACACACACACACAATGCGATGCAATGCAAACACGACACCCTCCAAAAAGGCTCCGACCAAAACATACGATTCCACACCAAGCCAAGCCAAACCAAGCCATAAAGGCACCTCTACAAACGCCATTCCCCTCTCCCATCCACAATATATGCACACGCCCATCTAAAACCCCACAGCGAGCATAAGCCCATACCCCACCGTAACAATAACCACAAACGTGATCAAACTAGCCGGCACACCACGAGTAAGGAAGTGCTTAACATCCAGATACCGTTGACCCGTGCGAGAATCTTCCATCATAATAGCCGCTGGCACAACGTTAGCTGAATTCCACTGCGAAACCGGGGAAGAGAGGGGGGGGAACGTACTCATATTCGGGAACCCGCTGGTGGGCAGTCCCATCGCGCCGCTGGCCATGAGCACAGCGCCCATGACGAGCAGATTGGGGTGGGGCTCTGGCATTGTCTGGCCGACCTGCTGGACGAGCGGGAGGACGATGAGCGCGGCGACGGTGTGGCTGATGAATGTTGCGACGACTAGGATGAGTGCGGCGAAAACAACGAGGACGCTGTAGAGACTCATGCCCTCGACGCTGCTGGTGATGGATTCGGCGATGGTGTGCAGCAAGCCGGATGAATTGACGGATTTGCCGAGCGCTAAACCGCCCGCGGCGAGGATGATGATGGTCCAGAGGAAGTTGTTGAAGTCTTCTTTTGTGAGGATGCCTGTGCCGAAGAAGAGGACGAGGGGGATGATGGCTACGACGCCCATGTCGCCGAAGACGTGCTCGAGCTGGTGGGACACGCACCAGAGGACGATGGTGACGAGGGTGACGATGCTGATGAACCATTGCACGCCGGTGAACTTGTCCTTGAGCGGGCGGATGGGCACGATGTGCGTGCCGCGGCCGGGCTTGAAGGTCACGAGGAGGAGCACCCAGATTAGCAGGATGGAGATGATGCATACGGGGAGCGCGACGAAGAACCACACGCCCCAGGAAGGCTCGGGGTTCATATTCTGCAGGGCGATTAGATTTTGGGGAGACGCGATGGGTGATGCGGCGCCGCCGATGTTAGAGGAGAGTGCGATGCCGAGGAGTAGGGCTTTGGTCATGTCGGAGTCTGCGGGCAGGTTGCGGAGGATGGGCTGGGTTGTTAGCATAAACACGTGAAAGTTTGTAAGGAAAAACGCACCTGGATAATGGAGAAGCACAACACCGGCGCAGCCACGTTACTAATCCACATACTCGCGAACATGGCGACGAACATGTTGGTCAGAAGGACGGTCCTAGGCTTCGTGCCGGCCTTACTAAGGACGAACGTAGCCATCATCTTCGCAATGTTATACTTGGACAAAGCGGCGGCGATAGTGAAACCACCCAGAAGAAGCATGATGACGGGCGTCCACATGGCCGCAAAGACGTAGCTAGCAGCCTGCTTCGAGTCCAGTCGACGATGTGGTTCTACGTCGCTGCGCACGACGGCAAGCGTTACGGCCAGGAATGGCACAAGCAGTGATGTGACGAAGAGTGGGATAGCCTACAGACATTAGCACCATCAAACCTCGTCGTTGATCCATACACACCTCAGTAGCCCACAGCAGACTGACAAAGATGACCATCGCCAAGCAATTCTGCTGCTCGGGTTTCTCCATAATGGGCACCACAAGAAGCACGACGAAAACAGCTATGCACGCAACCAGCATCCAAAAGGTCCTGCTGAGCAGCCACGTCGGGCACCTGTACCTCCCAATCGGCGTGACGACTTCCTTGCCCTCCGGCTCCAGATCGTCTCCCTGGCGACGGACCTTCCCATGCGTCTCTCCCAGCAGCGTCTGCGTGATGCCAATATTAGCCGCCTGGGCCTTGCGCTCGATCCCGATCATCTCGCGCCAGACGGTGTTCCGCTCCCACACAACATGCTCACGGAGATGCAATCTCAGCTCGCGCTTGGCCTCCGTGACATCGCCCTTTGTGCAGATCTTGGCATACGCAGTCTCCATGCGCATCAAATGCTCGGTCAGGCGGTCCATGGTGCTCTGCTGGAAGGGATAGGCGGGGTAGACGTATTTGTTGAGGTACTGGCTCTTGAGCTTGCGGTCGAGGATCTTGTCGAACTTCTTCAGCACCTTCTCGAAGCCCGTCTTGTTGAGCTGGATGAAGGAGCGCAGCTCGCACAGCAGCACGTAAAGGCTGACGGTGCGTTTCTTCAGCGACACGCCCTCGTCGTACAGGGCGGAGAAGGCCATGTCGGTGTAGTCGTCAAAGGCGACGCTCGTCTTGCGCCGCGACGAGGCAAAGTCGTTGGAGGCGCCCATATCCTCGTCCGTCGCGCGTCGTCGCCGGCGGCCATCGGGGCTCTTCTTGCGCAGTCGCGAGCTCTCGTTCGCGTCGTCGTCCGAGTCATCGTCGTCCAGGTCGTGACCGTCGCCGGTCGACTGCCTGCTCGTGGCGCTCTGTGTCCGCGGCCGGTGGAAGCCGATCTGCTTGAAGACGCTACCGCTGCGCAGCTTGTGTCCCGGCGGCGCGTTCTCCCGCTCCTGCTCGTACCCGTCCTGGCCCTCTTCGTATGCGTCTTCGTCTCGGATCAGGCTGTCGAGGTCGGCGTAGATCTCGCGCTCCTTGAGCTGGTAGAAGGACGTGACCTTTTCCAGCTCGGCGTCAAGGACGTTGGTGAAGACCTGGTCGGGGTTGTCGACGGCGCCATTGAGCAGCGGCGACGACTCGGCGTCGGTGTGTGTCTGCGTGTTCTTCTGGTTGATCTGCGTCTCGAGGCTGTAGATTCTGCGCGGCGGGATGTGTGTCAGCTTTGGCGGTCAATCATATATAGGTATAGATGTATATATGTCTACACGTACTGCTTCTTGAGGTTGCTGTAGGCGACGTAGTGGTTGCTCCAGTCGGGCACGGCATTGAACTGCAAGCTGTGCGAAAACTTCATCTCGTCGGCCTCGCGAAGCTGCTCGAGCTTCTCCCGTCTCTTGCGCGCCTGCCTGCTCTCCTGCGCGCCTGTCTGTGTTGCGTGCGACGGCTTGTCTAGGTTCTGGAGCTCGAAGGCCTGGTCCGTTCCCGCGTCACGAAATGGATCAAAAGTGTCCAGAATGAACGATGAATGAGAGACGATGCAGATGGGGAGACAATGCGATCTTTGTCAAGGCGGTCAGGTGAAATGGCTACGCTAACCTGACGGCGGACAAGACTCGAAGAATGTGGCTTCGGCTTCTCTTTTTGGTCACAACCCTAGCATATCGTCTGAGATGATGCGATCTCCGAGCCAAGCAACCGGGCGCACATGGCTTGATGGTTGGTTGATCTTGATTCTTCAGCCTTCAAACTCGCACACCCTTTCCCGCGAGACCAAGCTTTGCTAGTTGAGATACTAGGACACCACACTCATCGTGAAGGCTGCCAGACGATGCCCATGTGACATATTCTGTCTCCATCGCAACATGTAACCACTTGGCGGGGACCCACCTGGAATCGTCATGTTTCTTGGCCGAGCAGCCTCGTTTTGCACGTCGGGCCCGGCGACTATTCGCACCGATGCGCAACAGTCGTTGGCTGGAGCACGCGTCCGACCAGACATGATCGATGGAGGCTCTTTCCTGTGCTAACGACTGTCGTGTGACGTGAGCACGAAAAGCGCAATCACACCACCGCATATGTAAGGGCAAGAACGACACAATCAGACATACAGACAGCGCAAGCTGCGCAATATATACATTGTTCGACGAGATGTGTAAAGATATTTGATGAGAAGATGTAGTATATACGATGCTATGTACTGACCAATGTCATATGCTGACGCCTGGAGGTCAGGTCAGATCCAATGCGGTGCGCTGGTGGATCAGTGCCTACCAGATAAAGAGAGATGTCAGGGATATAAAACGCCAGTCGATGTGCTTGAAAACTCCAACCCAATGCCGTGTCATGCCGTAAATTCAACCGTGTCGCAAAAACAACCATTTCGCAAAGAACTCATCGCGCACGTCTCAATGTCACCGCTGCAGCTGGAAGCCTGACTGCGCCATGATGGAACCATAGCGGTCCGACGAGTGCCAGAGGTACTTGAGAAACACCAAGGCCTTTAGGTAAATTTTGAGGATTCGCCTTCGCCTGACTTGGTCGGCCTCGAGGACTTTGCGCAGCACGCCAGTGACGTCGTAGGCCTTGATGACTTTCTTGGTGACCTGGACAATGGCTCCTTTGGCATTTTTCATAGAGATCTTGGGTGGATTGAGTGTAATCTCAGGAATGAATGCCTCGGGCGTCGAGCTCGGTGTCTCAACTGTGGCGTGAGATCCACGACGGGCGGGTGACTCAACGTCAAATTCAAAGACCTCAGGGATACTTCCGAGAGTTGGTGAGAAACGAGGGCTGGAAGGGTAGTGATCAGAAGGCATCTTTTTTGCTGTAGTTGTTTGTGGTCGTGGTTTGGGTTGGGTGGGTCGTGAAGTGGGGTTTACGGTTGTCGATCGTGGCAGAATCTCCGGTGCAGATGAGCGACGTGAGGTTGCAGTTGAGGTAAAGGCAGAGAGCACAGGCCAGATGGGAAGCGACAGCCGTCGTTTAGTGAATGGTGTCTGCCCGCCCTTAGTGGCTCCTAAGAGGTGATCGTATCGCGGCGTTGGAAACAGTAACATGTTCGAGGTCCTGAGCGAGGTCGAAGAAAAAAGAGAGACTGGAGAATACGGGGAAGAGGAGCCTGCTCGCTGGCAGGTCGGGTGTCAGTGGATATATCAATCGACCCCGCATGTGAAGACGGTTTGTGGAGCTAAGGCCCAGCGTTTAATCAGTCATGATGATCGAGCAGGCGAATACACTCGTGCCAGCTCGACCCTGTCTACGTGTATCCAGCCTACTGGCGATTGCACGCATGCGAGATGCACGTGGACCATGCACACTCAAGGGGTCGATGTATCTATCCTACGAGACGCTCAAGCGGGGCACCGAATTTTGAAGGTTCTGTGTGTTCTCGCTATCAGACTGTGACGTGCAATCGAATTTGTGGAGATCGGGGAAGCTAGGGACAAAGAACTACAAACGGCAACTAACTACTCTAGCCCAGGCATGACGTGCGTCGCCGCTACCCTTTCCGTCAACTGTACAAGCGGGAAGTTGGGTTCTTGGCTCCTACAACCTGCATACCACGCTTATAAAAATTCAAAAAATGCACGCTAAACGTAAACTGCTAAGACTTTAAGCAGGAGTCCTCCCAGTCTTAGATGTAGTTGTCTCGCTGTTGCAAGAATTCGCTGCACCTTGGTTTCCGGTATCAACATCCCAACTCCCACATGGCCCGGGAGAGGATGCCCAGCATGCATGCCGAGTTGCGCGTGGCAGCCTGGATATCACAAGATGGTATTTGTTTTTCCGGTCTGTTACACAAAGATCTGCGTCGGCCAATGACGCAGCAAGCGAGTTCCCCGCACTGGACGGGAGTATTGGCAGGGAACGTCTCTTATCGGACTACGCGCTGGGTGGTGTGATACACGCGACAGGTATCCTTCTCGATCTTCGATCCTCGATCCTCGATCATTGGGCCTGGCGTGCAGGCTGGGGATTGTCGTTTCATCTGCTGAGGCTGCCTTCACTTCCCCTCTTGGTTGTCTACATGATTGCCACTTGCTTTCCTTTGATGTAGAACCACCAATCTTGTACCTAGTGACAACAACAACACTATCATGACCTACACTAGAAAGCAAGCCGTCACTTGCATAAGTGTGCTGGTGAGTGATTCGTCCATACTCCACTCTACTTGCCACTACTAACCAATTTGATAGTACCTGGTCATCGCATTGGGCATCGCTGGGTAAACATGTCTCTCAGTGCCAGAGTCGATCAAATCACTCATCCGCTCGTCCAGATACGCCTCGTCTCGCGCTAACGATACGTCGGTGCCCATTTCCGACACCCTGACTGGCCTCGCCACCGCCTTGCCTATCGTCGCCGGCATCCTTCTCGAAGGCGGCTACGACCTCACTCGCTGGCAAGAGCGTCGCCAACATCAAGGCCGCGGCGAGACACAACGACCACCTCTAGTCATCATCGCGAACACGCTCATCTTCATCTACTCGACAGTCGTGGTCACACTTCTTGGCACGCATGTTGCTCCGCCATCTGAGCTAGACTGCGGACTGCGACGGCGGTGGGAGACATTGTTCAAACATAAGGACTCGAAAGCCATCAAGGCAATCCAGGATGCCTTCGAATGCTGCGGTCTTGCCAACTCGCGGGACATGGCGTGGCCGTTTCCTGACAAGAACCACGATGCACGTGCATGTGAGGGTGCGTTTGGCAGGACCAACAGCTGTCTGAAGCCCTGGAAGGTTGAAGAGCAACGTGTGGCGGGGCTACTGATGGGTGTCGTCGGCATGGTATTTGTCTGGCAGGTCTGTCTTTGCCTTGCTCAGTCGAGTCATCGTATATGCTGACACAGTCACCAGTTCCTCATCATTGCCATTCCAACCCAGCGAGAGTCTTGGCTCCACAGTGTCGTGCCAGACCGCATTTCTCGTGTCATTGCCGACGAGGAGCATGGCAGCGGCGGTTCTCAACGTGCTATAGGCTATCTACCCGACTTTGCTAGATACACCGACCGTGTCGAGGAGGAGCGCGACGAGGACGAGCAGGACACACCCAACCGTGCTATCGAGGGAGGAGCCAACCAGGTCAATGGCGCTCTGCCAGGAAGCGCTCAGCGGGACCAGCCACCTACCGCCGAGAATGAGTGGGCCAGGACTTAGACGTCTTTTTGCAGGTGTCGGAGCCTGGCGGAGAACTAATGACGGAACTCTTACTCTCTCGATCGGCGTTCAACGAAGATGCGTCAGAGGTGACTTACCTAGGCTGCAAGCTACGATTGGAATATGAGGGTTCAAGTCGCTTTCTCCACTTGGATGTAACTTCACATATATCAGACAGAAAACAACGCAAGATTGAAACAACACTCGAGATCCTTCTTCTGTGAGCAGTGCCCAATGTCGTCTCATACGACTAACAACCCACTAGAAATATTTGCAGATGTTTCATATCTTGAAGTACTTTATCACGACATGCACCACACAGTGTCTCACCCACGGCTTACAATATGAGTACAAATGTTAACAATGCACATATTCCACCTCGCACAACCCTACAGCCCAACCCCCCAGACCAAACATTATACGTCTACATCTCCCAGACTTGTCCGCCAACACATCCCACCCAACCCGAACCCTCCCATACTACAAAATTCCTCCCCCACAACTTCCCAACATGTCCTCAAACCACACAAACCCCCTCAACCCATCGATTAATCGCATTCCAAAACTACTACAACCCAATAATCCACAAACACACAAAATGTCAAATCCCGCGTTCAACCACCCCGACCGCACACACCTCAACGCAACAGCCTCACCGCGCTATCATCCTGCCCACCACCCCGCGCCACAGCGCTTCTCGGTCCTCATCGATAGCGAGTCTCCCCAGCCCACAAGCGCGCCACGGACCGTGCATTTCGATGACTTCGCACCGCAGCAGCAACAGCAGCAGCGGTCTGCGAATACGCATGTAGAGCAACAAATTAAGAGCGGTGTATCATGGGAGAAGATGACGCCTGCGGAGCGGTTAAGGGAGGAGTGGCGGGAGAAGAAGGCGCAGAAGATTGCGAGGAAGGGGGGAGATGGGGAGATGGGGAAGGAGAAGCGGAAGGGGAAGGTGTCTTTGGGGAGGGCGCTTGTGAGGAGACTTACGGGGAAGGGGGTGGGGGAGAAGGAGAATGGGGGGAAGGGGAAGATGGAATAGATGGGTGGGAGTTTTGAATGTTGTTTTTGGGTTTGTGAACTTGTATAGTGCGTAGTCAGTGTTAGGCTCAGCAAATATGACTTGGACAGACGATGATGAAAACTTTGCAGATATGTTAAAATTTCACTAGACCTTTCCCTCTAACGCGACTTTCCAGCAGTGTCTCAACTGTGAAGTCTTCACTAATTATAGACCGAAGTCTTTTGATCAAGTGTAAAAGCGGCAAGTGAGTGGGTTCTTGTGGCTACTACAAGCCGTAGAACCGTACCAACATGATATATAAAAGTGCATGTTAGGCGAATACTACAATAATTTCAAGCGCGAAGCTCCTACCTTAATACTAGATGTAATCTTCTTAGAAAAACAACTAAACCGTAAGGTTTGGCAGTACTCGCACTATCACGCTAGAAATTTCAATTTGATCTTGTTGCACATAGCGGTTCTATAGTGCTATCTAAGCTGCTGTACTACACCTTACAATGAAAACTGTAAAGCTTTACAAACCTGTTAGCCAACACTACGAGGAATTTAGACATAATTAGAGTTTATTCTGAAACTTGACCCTTTATAGAGTCTAGAATTAACTGTCTTATGTAGACGTTAAGCCTCAGTATTATGCATCGCTCCATGAAACAGAATTTTAATTTCACTGAATAAAGTGCGATTTGATTGACGACATATAATGACAAAGCATTTCCAGTACGTTTATATATCTCAAGAAAACATTCTGCCACTCGTGCTTTCCTCCTATCTTCTCAATACTTTCTCCTTTCATTATCCCATGAACATAGGCTTCTCCAACAAAGCTCATGAACTCCTGCTCCAAGTTACCACATTCTCCTTCCACATCTCCCGTGTCGTTTTGGGTTACCTTCCCCCCTGCCAGTCCATCGTTTGTGCTTTTCTCGCAACCAGTGTGTTTGCGCAGGATGAAAGGAACTTTCCCACCAGAAAAAATGTATACCTTATCGCCGACCCGCCCGTCCGCCGGCCCAATGCCCATGTAGCCCTTTTTAGTCGTAAAGAAACGCCTTCCAAAGGAAGCACGTCTGAGCAGATATATGAACGCGACTTTGTCTCCTGGAAGCGCTTCAATGCTATTTGCTCCTATCAATGCCCTATCGAAGTAGCTTTTCAACACTTGGTCGATTCGAGTTGGAGACCCGGGGAGGTCGTAGCAAAAGTTTGCGAAGTCGTAAAACACGTCGTCCCTCACGGGCATGCCATGGCGATCCACATTGGCGACAAGAGTCCTCCAGAATGCATCCAATGTCCTGCCTCCGCCAGGGTATGGATCGAGCTTATATGCTAGATTGTCCCATTGATCCGTCGGTTGTCTGAAGCTAGTGTGTGCCGGATGCTCTTCAGACACATCGTCCCAAATTGGAAAGCGATCGGCAATGGCGATAATTTCGTCCACATATGAACCCAAGATCCCTATTACATTTCGGTCACTGTGGGGTAGCAGTTTCACGGTTGATACTCCACTAACACTGTAGTGAAGTCGCGCAACTTTGCTCATATTTCCAAGTTCCTTGACAAGGCGTGTACTGAAGACTTCCTGTGACCAGTCTGGTGCCCAAGACGGAAGATTTTTGTACTTTGGGTCCTGCTTTGAGATCTCGCCAACGCAGGACAGGATGTCCAACGACGAATCGTTGTAAAGAATGTGTCTTGTAACATTCCTGTAGACCTCTACGACGTCTTTCGCGTAGTCTGCATAGAAACTTGATTTGCCGTTACTATCCCCGACCAACCCTAATAATGCAAACACCTTGTCTCTTGGATCTGTTGCAGAGAAACTTTCAGTGGCTTTGAGCAAGCCCAACAAACTGCTCTTCTGATTCTGGTGGTAGTCAATCCGAGACAAGTACATTCTTAGCGCACAGTAGGATAGGTCAATTTCTTCTTCGTTCCGCACCACACGGCCTACTAATCCTGCCTCATATTGGTAGTAGTGGGCTACCGCGCCAATCGTCGACCAGGGGAAGACCCTCTCTCCACAAACAACAACAGGCTCGTCTTGTGCAGCAACCATCTCTTGCAGCACCCAAATTCGACCGAACCAAGGTCTATTGTAGAAGCTGCCAAAGGCCAGCCAATCGGGTGAGTCTCCAACCGGGAGGGATCTTATAAGTGTTTCAAGGCACATCTCATCCCAGGTGGTAGGCATTCTCGACGCAAATGTTGGCATTGAGGAGAGTCCAGTCTGTCTTAACAACCGATCTTTCGCTGTTTTCTGTTTCAAACCTATGATTTCGTGCAAGATCATGATAACTTTAATCGCAACTGTAGTATCCTCTGTTTCTTCGCCGATATAAATGACGACACTGGCGGCGCGTTGGTAAATCTGTCGCATCAGACTGACCTGGGCGTTTCGCTCGGGAATGCATGTCTGGTCGATGCAGATTGCGTCGATCCAACCGACTACATCCATGTCGCTACGCCTAACTCGACGGAGGGCCGTGGTCAGGTTTTGGGTGACGTTGTGAGATTGACCATTGATGGTGATGGTGGTGGGATTGAGAGTCGTTCCCCAACAATAGGATAGAGCGAAGAATGTTGCAACATTGAGCTTGGTTGGCGTAAGTTTTATGTTGAGCGGGTCGCTCCAACGTCCTCGGAGTATCGTTGCCAAGCGGATGTGTTGTCCGGGTGGGAGTGGTGTATATATGGAGGGCTCCATCTGTTGTATTTGTCTGAGCACTAACAGACGCACTGAATTTATCAAGTCATGTTGGAGGACATTGGTTCAGCGGGTCGAATACACTTTTAGACAACATCATTTGACCCTATCTATATTTAGAGAGGACTTGGCAGCTGAACAGACGCGGGGAAAGTTGGAGGGGGAAAGCTCCCGTCATACTTTATCGAATCAGTCGGCGTTCCTTTGATAAGATCCCTTCTGGTTATTGGACATCATCGTTTCCTAGGCCAGTCTAGGTGCTTGTAGTAACAGACATGACCTTTAACCGCTGTTCGTCAAGTGTTTAATTCACGGCCCAGGATGTTTTCAAAGAGAGGCTTATAAGTAGATTGCACACGATCCTCAGTATCGTCAGATTGATATTCTTGTCTATGTAGTAAGTGAACGAACTCACCCCAAGTCATCCCCAAGGCTCGTTGCATGCTAGCGCCTGACACTTCGCAGTTCCACCCAATCATTGAATTCCAGCCAGGCGCTGTAATCCTCTTGTAAACGACGCCGTCGCCTTTCTCCGTCGCTCCAAATGTCCAAGTCGAAGGTCGTGGCTGTTGGAGAGGATCTACAGTCTGGGTTGACATAATTAGATCTTGGTAGGTCTTCATAATATACAAGTTGCAAAGGATTTATCTTACATCTGAATGGTATGCGCAGCCACTGACTCAATTTGGGCCATGCAAGCGTAGTGATCAGCCCTAGCACTGCTACACAGACGGCAACTAGGGCCAGGATGTCGGCCTTCGACCACATGCCTGATGCCGAGGCGTCATCGCGGTTCTGATCTTTAGGTGTGATTGGATTTGGTAGCGGTGACCCAAGAGAGGAAGAAGCTAACGAGACAAGGGGCAACAGCCTCATGTCGAAAACTAAGCCGTGGGGCAGAGGTTTGTGTGATTGGTTGGGTGGATAGACCAACCCAAGACAGGTACTGTGTAGGTGTGGCAGCAAAGTGCGGGACGGGCGAGTGCTGTGAATAATTGAATTACTCCGATTTACCCAACAAAGGAAGGACAGAGAAGATTAGAGTTTGAGAAGAGCTACATTTAGGACATAATAGATTCTGCGGGAGCGGTGAAAAAATGAAGACTTATAACTCAGTAATTGCCATGAAACAGTTTCGTTATATCTAGTGGCATACGGTGGTTCGCAATTTCACGAACTAGGCAAACTAGGCAACGTTGTACTGCAGCGCCAATGCTACTCCAGTTGTTGCCCATATCCTCTAATTCGCTGGGATTCGTCCGTGTGAGAAGCAGGGCGTCGACTGTTGCATGCGCGCAGAGCTAAGCACCATGCTGGTCAGGATTACAAGATATTTGCCCAAAATCCTCGAGGAAATACCACGATACAGTACGGCATCAACATATCATGTCACCATCTGAGATTTTCCTACAACGACACACCATCTTAACCATCATCCACTCTATCAGTCAGAATCCTCCGCGTCTCAGCTCAAGCAACCCGTTGTATTGTTCCTGCTGTTTGCGCCGTACGTCATCTTTGCTAAGCCTCTTCCAGCCATCAACTTTCCTCGCGTGCTTTGCAGCCGCATGGTCAGAAACGAAATCAAAGACGTCTAAAAATCGTCGGTCAGATCTGAACGTGTAGTGGATGCGCATGATTGGAGGGACTTACAGTGGTATGGCCTGCACACCCACCTACGTAGCTTGGGCCAAGCGAGTCCAATAGCAAAGCACCCTGTCGCAGTACAGATGCCAATCAAGGTAAGAATAGCTTCTGTCGACCAAGCATTTGATGCTTTCTTGGGTGTTTGAGAGAGGTCTAAACGTATCTTCTCGGATGGTATTGATAATCCATGGACAGAGAGGATTAGAAAGACGAACAAAAGACGTTCGGTGCCATTCATGTTACTTTCGCTCGTGATCTCGGCTGTGTTGATTGGAGTCAGAGCAGTGTTGATGATAGGATTGCACGAAGTCGCTACGACAGCAGAGAAGGGAACGCGGGTGCCAATATCGTTCAAGGCTGGGGTTGTTATGCACGATCGTATGTAGTAAGAGCGGCAGGATGTATATATATCGGACCCAAGAGCTGAAAGAAGTACTTGGAACTTTCTAATGTGTACTTGACTGAGTTGACAGGAGAGTATCATATATACATCATGGACGCGGTCTGGTTTGAACTGAGCATGCGCTTCGCCTCCTCCCTAAAAACATGTCCGCAGACAAATCGAGCGGACACAAAGTGTCCGCGTGCAAAACGTGCGGACACAAAACGTGTGGAAACAAGTGGAGCGGACAGTCAAAGCTTTACCATTTTACCCAATTACAAGCCTACACCGTAAGGCAATGGCGTAGCCTTCCTTCGTTTTGGGCAAGAGACCCTTGCAACATTCAACAAGTCATACTCCTACAGCTGAAAATGGGTAGCGTATCTTTCTCAACCTGCCCCTTTACTGCCAAGCTGGTTTTTCGTGAGTTTCGCATGGTTCTGAATCTGCATGACTCGCAGAACAGCGCTCAAGGCCTCTACCAACAAATGCGACTTAAGATTGAACTGGGCCTTAGCTTCTTGCAATTGTACATCAAAGCTCAGCCTAACCTATCACATCACGATATACTCTTCCCTTCTTTCCAATCTAGTTAACAGATGGCTTTGCTTTCCTATAATGAGAGACAGGAACCAAGGATACCTATTTCGAAATTCTACCACCTAATTGATCGTAGCGACGGCGCGATAGCGATAGCGGGCACATCTTAACGTTTACTTAATAAGCTAGACCGTGGCAGAATTGTGAATGCTTGGGAACTCATATCTACTAGTTTCGAAAGTACATAGTTCCGGAGCGCCATAGCCTTGTGGGCCAACTGCGCCGGTGTGTTAGCAGGCGTTGCACCCTATCGCCTAGAGTTCCCTGTAGTTTTCTATCCGACTTTACGTTCCCCTATAAATCCTTTTCGCTGATTCAGACTGGAAGCGATATAGCACCTGCATGATGTTCTTGTCAAGGTGTGTAGAATGCCTGAGCTTCACTTCGTACCAGGACTTTAGATTCAATAGAGAATATCAGACTTCGAGAACAGAACTTTACTAGCGCATTTGAAAAATTGAACATATTTTCGGGCGACAGATACAAGTTATATACAGAGCTATATGGCGAGAACAATAGCGAAGTGACACTGCTACTGACTTCGTTAACACCCGTCAAGCTCGCTATGATGTACAGATAAGAGGGATAGAGAAGACCCCTTCCCTGATAGGTAATATTTTGCTCAGCATACATGGCACTAGTGATTTACGCCGCGTAGTTCCAACCAGTCCTTGAACTCTAAGAAGGCGTTGTAGTCTTTGAACTCTAACCAGGCGTTGTATTCTTCTTGCAGGCGAAGTCGTCGTGTTTGTTCACCACTCATACTGTGAGTTGGTTCGGAAAGACGTTGGGTATGTCCTGATCGCGAGGCGTCAGTGATTGCGAATAAACCAGTGGATATTACAGCAAGGCTTACGCTTGAATGGTATACATAGCCAACTTCTCCACTTGGGCAAAACAAGCCCCATGACAAAACATGCAATTGCGGTGCAAATACCGATTAGTGTAAGGATGGCTTCCGTGGACCAAGGATCCGGCCTTGTCTTGGGTGCTTGGGGCTGGTCTAGTGGAACATCAGATGGTACTGGCCAACCATAAGCCAGTGAGACCAAGATGATCGATGGCAGAAGCTTCGTGTAACTCATGTCGGATTGGCGATCGGAGCGAAGTAGTGAGAACGCTACATGGTTCTAGTCAGAAAAGAGTAGAAGTTAATATGATTCATGTATGAAGATACCTTCAAGATGGTAATGAACACGCCGACTTGATCAACTCAGGCAGTGAGAAATATACTTGAGGCTGTCCAGACTTCTCGAATCGCGCCGCCACTGGTAGAAGTCAGCACCGTATAGAGCATACATACACTTCAACAGAAACGAGGAAGGAAATTAAGGCTGGAGCGGAACCATGCCCGCCTTGTACCTACCCTCGAACCGTCGCGCTACTACGTGTGTATGCGTGAACGCCTTTTGGGATGTAGGAAGCGTGGAGATGATGTGCCCGGGGAAATGTTTGTGCAAGGCGTCAAGAGTGCACTAGACCTAAGTGGATCGATGCAGCTCAGCCAGTTTTGGGTGGTCGTGAGTTGATATAAGAAAACTTTGTAGAAATGCGGTGAATCGATGGCTGTGCTATGATTTCGGCCAAACCGACAGTACCATAAAAATCGTCACCATGCACACCACTGCCATACGCATCACCACCATACACATAGGACCACATACGTTGATGACTGAGACGATAGGTAGGGATAGCACAAGGCTGAGGCTGGGTAAAAACGATTGCTTGGTAGAAGGACTCGCTTGCTCGACGCACCACTGCTAACGAAAAGTGAGAATTTCTCTTGCCTGCATAGGGGCCATGAACCAACTTCGTTTGTGCCTATTCCAGACAAATCCTGGCACTCTCAACCACGACATCATCCGTGGTGTTGTAACATCTCCGCAATGGCTGTCGGCTGGCTGGTGGCTTATTTGTCCACTCGATACGCCTCGAAAGCTTCTCTGGGGCGTGCATTTGAGCGGTCAAACCAGACTTCGCAAAAGGGTCGTAACTACGCGCGCTGAAACGAATACAGAGTTTGCGTAAGGCTTTTTAGCAATTATGACTGCAGAGCTGTCGACGTGGTCATACGAATTGTGCCTTGGCGCATGTATCTCATGACCTGTGTTGCATGCATCTCCGAACCTACCTCCGGCTCTATCTTTGTCGAGTGCTCTACCTGCTTGACCCATTTTTCAGGACTCGTTCACTAGGCCATATCGGAACGTAATCACTGTCTGTCTTCGATACGTGGTAGATGTATTTTTGGAGCTCGAACTCGCTCTCGGACAAAATCGTTGAACAGTGCTTGGACCAGTCAAGTCTTGAGAGGAGTATTTTGTGCAAAAAACTAGAGAAACTGGACGAAATTTGACGACAATGAAATACGCGTTGACGAGTGTGGGGAAAAATGAAGAAGAGAACATTGACGACAAACACAGCCTGGTCAGTACAGATGCTCTCTAGGGTGCTTACCATATAGACGCTCAGGCCTTTAATAACAGCAATGGACCCTCAACTCAATAGAATTACACATCATCTATTGACGGTTCGTGGTTGATGGATGACACGATGAGGGGCCCCTTCGTAAAAAGGTGACGTCTGGAAGGGTCCGTAATTTAGCGTGGCGGCCCCTCCGCGGTTCGGCGACTCATCGCACCTTGAATTCTTCCGCAATCCTCGACGTCTACACATTTAAAGTGACTCACAGCTCCTGTATAAGAGCTCAGCTTCGCATTTGTCTCAAGGAGACTAATTGTACCTTCTCACAACACAATTGTAAAACGACACCATGGAGACCATCAAGAAGACATTTGCGCAATGCAAGAAGGAGGGCAGAGTATGTTACGATGAGTATTCAATTGTGAACTGGTACTGACGACGATGACAGTCTGCCCTCGTCACCTATGTGACTGCAGGCTATCCTACGATAAAAGAGACACCCGACATTCTGCTTGCCATGGAAGCTGGTGGCGCGGGTACGTTGGACTACGTCCAGAAATCCTATGGCTTCAGAGTCACGCAATTGACGTTTGCAGACATTCTCGAGCTCGGCATGCCCTTTACCGACCCCATTGCGGACGGCCCCACGATCCAGACGGCCAACACCGTATGTTGACCCACCCGCGAATATCCTCAGAATACGCTCTGACACGAGGCCTCTATAGCAAGCTCTCCAGAACGGGGTAACAACCTCAGATGTCTTGCAGATGGTCCGCGATGCCAGGAAGCGCGGCCTCAAGGCGCCTGTCATGCTGATGGGATACTACAACCCTCTGCTGAGCTACGGCGAGGAGCGCATGTTGCAGGACGCGAAGGAGGCTGGTGCCAACGGCTTCATTATGGTTGATCTGCCTCCGGAGGAAGCTCTGCGCTTCAGGAACTTCTGCACCAGCTACGGGTGAGTAACCTGCGTCCACGTCGTGGGAGATATGTGCTAATCATAATGTTGTGTAGCCTGTCTTATGTCCCCCTCATTGCCCCCGCTACATCCGAGCACCGTATGCGCGTCCTTTGCAAAATCGCCGATTCCTTCATCTACGTCGTTTCCCGTATGGGCGTCACCGGCGCCAGCGGAACCATGAACGCCGCTCTTCCTCAGTTGCTCGATCGCGTCCACAAGTACTCTGGCAACATCCCGGCTGCCGTTGGCTTTGGTGTCAGCACAAGAGACCACTTTTTGAGCGTCGGCAAGATCTCAGAGGGTGTCGTCATTGGCAGCCAGATCATTAACGAGATCGCTGCAGCTGCACCCGGAGAGGGCGCGAAAGCTGTCCAGGCGTACTGCGACAAGATCTGCGGCAAGAGCAGCCGACTGCCAGTACACACGCGCGAAGTCGGCATCATCGAAACTATGAACGAGGCGAAGGAGCTCGATGGCGTCCATGTCGATAAGATCATCACCGATGACGACGTTCCCGATGGCCCTGGACTCGCTGATCAGCTCGAAGCTTTGAACATGGACGACGCGGACGGCGACAAAGACGAGTCCGCGCTCCCTCAGCGATTTGGCGAGTTCGGCGGCCAGTACGTGCCCGAGTCGCTAATGGACTGTCTTTCTGAGTTCGAAAAAGGGTTCAACGAGGCAATTGCCGACCCAAAGTTCTGGGAAGAATTCCGATCACACTACGAATGGATGGGCCGTCCAGGTCATATGCATCTGGCAGAGCGACTCACCGAACATGCTGGAGGTGCGAACATCTGGTTGAAGCGTGAGGATCTGAACCACACCGGAAGCCACAAGATCAACAATGCCCTCGGACAGATCTTGGTTGCTCGACGACTCGGCAAGACTGAGATCATCGCTGAGACCGGAGCTGGTCAGCACGGCGTCGCAACTGCGACCGTGTGCGCCAAGTTCGGCATGAAGTGTACTATCTACATGGGTGCTGAAGACGTCAGGCGTCAAGCGCTGAACGTGTTCCGCATCAAGCTGCTAGGCGCCTCTGTTGTTGCTGTTGAGGCCGGTTGCAAGACGCTTCGTGATGCGGTTAACGAAGCTATGCGTGCCTGGGTTGTCAAACTCGACACGACTCACTACATCATCGGGTCCGCCATTGGTCCTCACCCCTTCCCTACGGTCGTCCGTACCTTCCAGTCTGTCATTGGTGACGAGACAAAGAAACAGATGCAGGAGATGCGTGGCAAGCTTCCTGACGCAGTCGTCGCTTGTGTGGGCGGCGGCAGCAACGCCGTCGGAATGTTCTACCCCTTCTCCAAGGACCCGTCTGTGAAGCTTCTCGGTGTAGAAGCTGGTGGCGACGGTGTCGACACCGACCGCCACAGCGCTACCCTCTCCGCCGGTACCAAGGGCGTGCTACACGGCGTCCGCACATATGTCCTCCAGAACAAGCACGGACAGATCAGCGACACGCACTCCGTCTCTGCCGGCCTCGACTACCCTGGTGTCGGGCCTGAGCTGTCCAGCTGGAAGGACAGCGAGCGCGCCAAGTTCATCGCCGCTACTGATGCTGAGGCCTTTATTGGTTTCCGCCTCATCTCCCAACTTGAGGGTATTATTCCTGCGCTTGAGACGTCTCACGCTGTTTATGGCGCTATTGAGTTGGCCAAGACGATGGACAAGGGCCAGGATATCGTCATTTGCTTGTCGGGTAGAGGTGATAAGGATGTGCAGAGCGTGGCTGAGGAACTGCCTAAGCTGGGTCCTAAGATTGGATGGGATCTGAGGTGTAAGTTTTCATCTTTTTCATGTGAGGGTATCTATGCTAATATTCAACAGTCTAAACCATCTCGCCAATCATATGGTTGAGTGCTTTTCCGGCTGAGAAGCTGGGTTGTGTACCATATATCTAAATCTCACCCGCCAAGTGCCAGCCAATTGTAGTATATACAAATACAAAATGTACATTTCGAGACGGTAGCTCACATATGCTGGTGATCAAAGTCATGCGTGAAGACCTTGAAGTTGAATGAAGACAGAGAGAATGAACTGTCGTAAGAGTCTATTATACTGTCGGCGATATGAGTATACAGATCCGTGTCACATGTCCGCAAAGCCCCATGGTGAGATGTGCAGCCGTCGCCGTAGGTTGTTCTGGGAAACTTGAACAGATAAAAGCCGTTCTCTTGCTCTGTTTGCAGATTTGTGGGATTATAGTGCAACGGGAAGGAGGGCTGTGAGAGTGAGGGTACGTAAGAGTTAGAGAAGAGGAGATGGCGTGTGGTTCACAAGAGAGAGGCTATGGTCCAACACCGTAGGACGCATATAGAGACTTGATATTGACGAGGACGGCGTAACTGTGAGGGTTTTCTGAGTAATTAGAGCCAAGACGCTGCCACGCGTAGACTGCTCTAATGTGTGTGATGCTTATATTGGAGGGATGTAGCGCGGTGGTAAGTCGAGTGTTCTGTGTGTATCAGTTTCAAGCTCGGGATTGGCTTATCAGTGGTGCTCGTCGTACGGGGGGGGCGCAAGAAAGACACAAAACGGGAGAAGGAACAAGAGCGGCTGGCAGAGGCCAAATTGCATTGCTGGGAGACTGAACGGCTCAACGCTTTCTCATACACGAGAGCCGTACGTGCTTCTCTCTACAAAGTGGGAGAGTGACCACAACGCCAACTCCAAATCAAGCAAGTCTATAACCCTCCCTAGGCTTTTTGGTACCCTCTTGGGATCGGGTGTATTACAGGTAAGAAGGAAATGGCGACTCCGATAGAAGAAGAGTGGGTATCTATGATATCCCTCCTCCGAGGCGCTCGCGTGTGGCCGCGCCTGCAAGTAACCAAAGGCGGGCTACCGTTGCATGGTGCACTTCTCCAGCGCAGCCAGCAGCTCTGGTCTCTCTGCCAGCGCCTGTCGAGCCTGGGTGTAGTTGAACCACTGCCTTGATCGCTTGTGCATCTCAGGCCATTGTGCTTCCTGCCTCTCGACAACGGCCTGGAAGAAGTGGTACGAGGCCTTCGGGGCCTGTGTAGTGAGCTGGTCCGCCTTTCGCCTCTCTCCAATGAGCCCGAGGTCGTAGCTGATTTTGCATATTATACCAGCCTCTTCCCAGGCCTCGCGCTTGGCGGCGTCTTGGGCGGTTGCTTCGTCCGTCTCCCACCCGCCTTTGGGGAGGACCCAGCCGTTGCGTTTGGTGGATTGGATCAGGAGGACGTAGTGGTTGTCGGCAGAGAGGGGGACTACGCCGGCAACGAGTCGTTCGCCCTGGGCGCCGTATCCTGGGGGTGGGTCAGTTTGGCGTCGAAGACAGAGCAGCAAAAAGGGGGTGTGGTAGAAGATTGGGTGTTTTGGGTGCAGATTTGGACGTGTGATGGGCGCACTTACGCTGATTGACGCGGCCGGTGCGCGACTGCATGGGCAGCTGCTGGGTGGCGGCCATGGCTGCCGTGGGGATGGCCGAAAGAGCGACTCGGGCAGGCACAGAGGGCGTTCCTGGCGTGCTGCTCACTCCACACGGTGCTGTGGCTCCGACAAGGCTCGGTCGCTAGGGCAGAAGCGAGCTGGAGCGGTGAATCAAGCCGAACAAACAGCGAGAGCGTGGGTGCTGGCGGGTGAGCAGGTGGAAGGGGGTGTGGGAGGGTGCAGTCGAGTGTGGGATGACAGAGCTCAGTCGTCCCGCGGGGGACGGGGCTGAGGATGTTGAGAAAGCCTGCGAGGAGCAAGGGAAGACATAGTGAGGTTGATTTTAGTACGTCGTTGGGGTCAGGGACTGGACTTGGACTTTTTGTTCGGAGTGCCAAGTCCGATCTCTCCAACTAGCGTGCATACTCGGTAGAATTTGGGAAGCGACGAACGAGTGCCAGAAGCAATTAAGCTCGGGCTGGCCATGCACAGGCACGAGCAGGTGCAGACGGCCGTCTTATGTCGAGCTGAACGACGTGCGAGAAGTGCGTGTCGCCGCCTGAGTCGTCTCTGTCTGGCCGCCCATCTGGGTGACGTATGGGGTACGGGCAGTGGGAGAACGAATTACCCAGTAGAAAACGTGCCACTGGCCCCGTGAGGATGCTGCAGAGAGGATTCCCAGAGTCTGGTCTGCATGATTGTGATACACGACGCTCACCCACGACGGCGACTTGTGCCAAAGCAGCCGCCATCTCACCTCCCAGCAACAGCCGCAACCACAACACGACCATTGACCAAACCCTTCTTTCCCAACTGCAGTCTGCTGGCCATCGCTCCATCAGCGCAGGCGCTCGTCGCGACATCACTCCGTTCCTGGACTACCCCCACCATCCTGCACTGGGTCCTATTATGCAGTCCCGTGTGACGCCTTGCGGTGCGTCTTTGCTCCAACCATTCACCTGGATTCTAGCCCGTGCCTGGCTGGCTGGACACGGACTGTCTGCATCCCCAGCTCGGCGAACACAACACCTTTGATTCCTGCGAGTTCACCCGCGCTGATTGCTATCTACAGGCTACAGCAGTGAATCCTGTGGATACTGCAAAGATGCATCGAGTGGCCGTCGCAGTCAGAATTCTCGTACGTTGATGTTCTTTACATTTTCCCGATCCAGTGAACACAACATCGCTTGTCACCTTGACTTTGCATGGTTGAAGTCATGTGTAGTGTCAGTCCACCGCTTGTACACACATCCTAGAACCTTTCGTACCTGTCTCTCCTGGTTGCTGCGTTTCATCACCCTGATCTACTTGCATGCTGGAAATAGAGATAGTCTGGACTAGGTGAAATTCGTTCGTGCACTAACGTAGCTATATAATCAGGAGCTTGTTACTATTTCTCATCGAGCAACCTGACAGTTGATGTTTATCAACTCCTCGTAGATCGTGGTTGGAGACGGTAAGTGATCGACCACATAGGGGCATGCGATGATCAGTTTCTTGTGTCGAAATTGCATCCGCAGTATGAACGAGTGCTGACGTTAGCCAACCAGATCAGGCACCATCTTTTACAAACCGGATGTCCTACGACACTGCTGTCCTCACTACACAATTCGGTAGGGCTGTTCATGTAAACGTGACTTGGTCTTCCAGGCTTACCCATGAGTAGCCTTCCCGTAGCCTCCTTCAAACCCTCAAAAGACCAGCGACGGACAGTCAACAAATGGAACGACTATGTCTTAGGCGAAGAGTATCAGAAGGAAGCCACGAAACTGTATCCCAAGACAAGAGAGTACGTTGCAGCAATCTAAACATACAATGGTGATCTGACTTCTACAGAGAGAAAGCTCGGCTCAAGACTACATTCGACCTGATCTCTGAAGTCTGCAAGGCAGATGTGGAGAACATCAAGCGTCCACCAGAACCCGCACACAGGTTCGAAGTGACACTCGAACCCGCCGATTTCACAGTCGAGAAGTTTGAGGTCTTCAAGAACTACCAGCAAAACGTTCACAAGGAGAAGCCATCCGAGATATCGCAATCCGGCTTCAAACGTTTTCTCTGCGCTTCACCCTTGCAGAAGAGTTCTGAACAAACGAATGGAAAGACTCAACTCTTAGGCTCCTATCATCAATGCTATCGTCTTGATGGCCGCCTCATTGCAATGGGGGTTTTGGATCTGCTACCTCATTGTGTCAGTGCTGTCTACCTGATCTATCATTCGGACTTCGAAAAGTGGCAATTTGGAAAGCTAAGCGCTTTGAGAGAGACTGTACTAGCGCTCGAAGGTAGCTACCAGTACTACTACATGGGCTACTACATCCATTCGTGCACAAAGATGCGGTACAAGGGCGACTACAAACCGCAGCATGTTCTGGATCCAGAGACATATGAGTGGAACCCTCTAGAGGGCGAGCTGAAGGAGCTTCTTGACAAGAAAGCCTACGTCTCGCTGTCAAGAGAACGTCGGGCTAAAGGTGCTGCGAAGCCTACGACTGTGGAAAATGCCAACATGGAGCCCCTAGCAGATGACTCGCAGCCCACTGACCTCTCGGAATTCACTCTAGCGACTGCAGCAGAAGGCGGCAAAGCAGTACAGAACGGAATGTCGCTGTTCGACTTGAAAGTTCCGGGACTCATGACAGTAGAGGAGATTGGAGAGCAGCTGAATCTCGATGCAATGCCTATACGAGTGAGAGGGCGAATGGCAAAGACCAGGGTGAGTTTTGATGATGCTGTCATTTGTACCGATGTCCAGGGCTGACAAGTTGCAGGACCTGATGTCATGGAACAATAGTGATATACGGGATCCTCATTCGGTTAAGGGAATCGTGGGCGAGTTGGTCGCGTGTCTGGGTTCGGAAGCCTCGTCGAAGGTTGTTGTAGAGCTTGGTTGAAGGTGTCAGGAGTGGACGCAGACCCTCGGCTCTTTGTCACGATTGACGATGAAATTGGGCATATATCGAATGATTAAACTTTTATCACAGTACTCAAATTAGATTGTTGCTCAATCCTCGTACAACACAACTTTACGCTTGAGCGTTGATGTGTCTAACCCATTCAAGCGTGTTGCGCCAAGATGTCCGATCAGACCAAATATGTCCCGCGCAAGTGCACCACTTTTACAACGCAGCACAATGTCTTCGTCCACGATTGAACTCGTGGTGCGCCCGCGTGGTAAGCATAACCCAATCCCTTTTTCCCACACTTCCTCGCCGTTTTCTGCTATCGGCTACTGTCAATTGCAACGTTTCTAACAATTATTCAGGTCGCCCGATCAAAAACCTCCCCGAGACCATCACCGTCAGCTCCGATGCGTCGACATCCCAGGTCTTCGAACAGATTGCAAATGCGTCCAAGTTCTCAATCCACCGCCTGAGGGTTACAAAGGGTAGCGACGGGTCGAGTCTGTCCAATGGCGGAAGCGTGACAGTGCACGAGACAGGGTTGAGGAACAGGAGCGCCGTGGATGTAAAAGATCTGGGTATGTCATATTTCAATTGCGACATCGGATATTTCTAACATCGCTGTTTAGGTCCCCAAATATCATGGCGAACCGTCTTCATCGTCGAATACCTCGGACCCCTCCTCATCCACCCACTCTTCTACTACTCGCGATCCCTGATCTACGGCACCTCGGCTCCTCCCTCGCAGCTCCAGAAGTTCACACTCATAATGTGCATCATCCACTTCGCGAAGCGCGAATACGAAACACTCTTCATCCACCGCTTCTCCTCGGCCACCATGCCCGCGCGCAACATCGTCAAGAACAGCGGCTACTACTGGCTGCTCTCCGGCTTCAACCTCGCGTACTGGTCATACGGGCCCAACAGCCCTGCTGCGCGCCCTTCGAACCCACTGCTCACGTACCTCGGCATCGCGCTGTTCTTGGTCGGCGAGAGCTGCAACTACAGCACGCATGTAACGCTGCGGGATCTGCGCAGGCCGGGTAGCACGGATCGTGGTATTCCGCAGGGTCTGGGCTTCAACCTCGTGACGTGCCCGAACTACATGTTTGAAGCTATGGCGTGGATTGGCGTTGCGCTTGTGAATTGGAGCTTGAGCACTGTGGTGTTTATTATTGTTGCGGTGGGGCAGATGGGCGTGTGGGCTTGGAAGAAAGAGAAGAGGTACCGCAAGGAGTTTGGCGACAAGTACAAGCGGAAGAGGTATGCTATCCTGCCTGGTATCTGGTAGGTTGCAGTAGAGATGGGGGCTGAGATCAGCTGGGGTCTTGTGTCGCTGTGGCTCATCGTGAGGAGTCATACAGCGCCAGGAGTCATAGGGGGCACATGTTCCTTGTCCATTGCCTGCTTTTCGTAGTTTGGGGTCCGGTCAGGCTGAGCTAAGGCGTAAGCAGAGGAAGTACCGCATCGTCTGCCGGACATCAGCACTATGCAGCAATAATCTCATGCGTAGCTGTAGATCCAGCAAGCATCCCTTCGACGTGACCACTCTGCAGCATTTTCTGTGACTATAGTGACTCGTCGATCCTGCACGGCTTGCTATCTAGATAGTATATCTTGCTTTTGACCCCAGACCCGGTAGCGCAGCGGGCGGCGCCTTCCCTCGGAAACGCCGAGCAGGGACCTGCATGCAAACACGCCGGCACTGCCCAAGCCAGAGTCACCATTTCCCAATTGTGCTTCACCGACAAACCCCAAGCCAAGTTGCTGCCTGCATTGCCTCTTTCAGGCGCAACTGCACAACTTCACGTCAGACCGGGGATCTCCAGCGGTCAGCACACAAGCTCGACTTGCCTCGTTCGTCGCGTATCGCGCCGGGGCACAGCTCCCTTCCAATACACGGCGTGTGATTGGTGGGTAGGCACCGTGCGTCGCGGCCCGCGCTGCGGCTGAGCTGGAGGGATGGGCGATTGACGTCGGCGGGGGGCGCAAAAGAGGGTAATGGTTCGCGGGTAGGTGGGCTTCAGCCTGCTTCGGATTGGGGGTGTGGTGGGTATAAGAGGGCGGGTGGTGGGGCTTGTGTTGTGTTTTAGTTACTTAGGCTTTGCTTTCTTGTTTATGCCGGATTTACTTCTATTTGGCGCAGTTGGGTATACTTTGTTGTGTACTGTGCTCTTTATTACTTGTTTGGTGACCTGGGGTGTACGTCTTGTATCTGAGACTGTGGATATACCGCCTTCAGCTAAGGAGGACGAGATGGATGTAAGTACTTGTTCTTGTTCATGTCATCGTCACTGTCACTATGATATTTCCTGTTCGGCAGTTGCGTTATCTAGTCGGCTTTTCCATGTGAGATGGCAGATTGCGGTTTCTCCCTTCTGAGATCTCGTTTGTTTAGCGAGGTTTTGCTCCTTCACCTCTCTCAACTTGGCTAGACAGAGATACCTTCATCCAGGTGTTGACAAACTTTCCCCAGCAACAACATCAATCACCCGCCATGACCGCAGAGGCAAAAGCGGCGTGGGACGCCCACGTCGACACGCGGACTGGCGTCACACCACCCAAACCAGCTGAAGTTTCTGAGCTGAATAAACTACGGAAAGCTATCGGTGGGCCTTTCAAGTCCATAGCCTCGCTCATCGGCGCTGCAGCGGCACCAGTGCCTGATCTGCAGACAGGCGATGGCTCAAAGATTGTCCCGGAGGAGAATACCGCGCTGTACAAGAAGATCGAGGGCGGTCTCAAGGATTTCTCTTACCTTGGAGTTGAAAACATTCAGACCCTGCTGCAGGTACAGAAGGAGAAGATGACAGGCGAGCTTACGGATGACAAGACGTATCTGATGGAGGGCCTGGTCCGGACTGCGGCCGCCTTGCCGGATGGCTCGAAGATGCAGGAGACGGTGACGCATCAGTTCCTGACGCAGCTTTGGAATGACTTGCAGCACCCGCCGCAGTCATATCTTGGGCCAAAGTTCCAGTACCGATCGGCTGATGGCTCGAACAACAGTCTTGTGCACCCCCAGCTTGGTGCTGCGGGCACGCCGTATGCGAGAACCTGCAAGCCGTCTATGATGCAAACTCCTGCAAGGCCGGATCCGGGCGTTGTCTTCGATAGCATCATGACACGCAAGCATGCGGAGCTGCACCCAAACCGGGTCTCGAGTATGCTTTTCTACCTGGCTTCGATCATCATCCACGATTTATTCCGCACTAGTCATGAGGATTATTCAGTGTCGATGACGAGCTCGTATCTTGATCTTTCGCCGCTGTACGGAAGTAACCAGAAGGAGCAGGATATGATGAGGACGAGGGTAGACGGGAAGATCAAGCCTGACTGCTTCTCTGAAGCGAGGCTGTTGTTCTTCCCGCCTGGTGTCGGCGCCTTGCTGATCATGTTCAATCGCTTCCACAACTATACTGTCGAGAACCTGGCGAGCATCAACGAGGGGAACCGCTTCGCGAAGCCTGTTGCGCCAAAGGATGCGAGTGACGAGAAGGCCAGCCAGAAGTACGAGGCCCAGAAGAAAAAGTATGACGAGGATCTGTTCCAGACGGGTCGTCTTATCACCTGCGGTCTTTACGTAAACACCATTCTCATCGACTACGTCCGGACGATCCTCAACCTCAATCGCACCGACAGCAACTGGCAGCTTAACCCTCGCGCTGAGATCAAAGGCGTGGCCATGGGTACTGGTAACCAGGTTGCTGCAGAGTTCAACCTCGTCTACAGATGGCACTCCTCAGTGTCAGACCGCGACGAGAAATGGACGCAGGAGATGTGGGACAGTCTTTTCGGCGAAGGTCGCGATCCCAAGTCAATCGGCAAGTACGAGTTCGTTGGAAGAATGAGCGAGGTCTACTCGAAGACTGATCCGGATCCCTCAAAGCGAGAGTTCGCTACTCTTAAGCGGAACGCCGATGGTACATTGCCTGATGACGACCTCGTGGATATTCTGACCTCTAGCGTCGAGGACTGCGCCAACTCTTTTGGTCCGAACAGAGTTCCTGCTGTGTTCCGCGCCATCGAAGTCCTGGGTATCGAACAGGCACGATCTTGGAACCTGGGTTCGTTGAACGAGTTCAGGAAGTACTTCCATCTTGAGCCGCACAAGACGTTTGCAGACATTACGAGCGATAAGTATGTCCAAGATCAGTTGAAGCATCTTTACGACCACCCAGACAAGGTTGAGATCTACCCTGGTCTTGTTGTTGAAGACGCAAAACAACCCATGGCCCCTGGTTCTGGTCTCACTCCCCCATACACAACCTCTCGCGCCGTGCTTTCGGATGCTGTCGCACTCGTGCGAGGTGACAGATTCTACACTGTCGACTACAATCCTCGTACACTGACGAACTGGGGATACAACCTGGTCAATTCCGACACCAGCATCGACAACGGTTGTGTGTTCTACAAGCTCTTCTTGCGCGCTTTCCCGCAGCACTTCAAGCAGAACAGCGTGTATGCACACTACCCACTTACTGTCCCCTCGGCCATGAAAGAAGCCCTCACAGATCTCAACAAGGCACACTTGTACGACTATGAGAAGCCAAAGGCCACTGCCCACCCGCACATCGTCAGTGAATACAAGCTCGCCACAGAGATTATGGAAAACCAGGACATGTTCAAGGTGACATGGGGAAAAGCAATGGAGTATATCATGGGACCCGCAGCGAAGGACTTCATGCTCGCAGGCGACGGCCCCAAGAATGCCGATTCGCGTGCCATGGTATCCAAAGCACTCTACATCTCCGACTGGGATAAGCAAGTGCGCACATACTACGCTGCAAAGACGAAAGAACTGCTCGCTGAAAAGGGTGCCAAGATTGCAGATTTCAACCAAGTCGATATCATCCGCGACGTTGGCAACCTCGCACACGTGCACTTTTGCGCAGAGCTCTTCATGCTGCCACTCAAGACCACAGAACACCCCCACGGCATCTTCACAGAAGCAGAGCTCTACCTCATCATGTCCAGCGTCTTTGCACTGATCTTCTTCGACGCCGACCCGGCTGGCTCTTTCCCGCTGCACATCAAAGCCCACCAGGCCACCCAGATCCTCGGCGACACTGTGCAGAAAAACGTCGAAGCAATCGCCCACAGCGGCCTCCTCTCCCGCGTCATGCAAGCCGTCTGGCCCCAAGACTCAGCCCTCAAGAGCTACGGCATCCACATGATCCAGCGACTCCTCGCGTCAGGCAAGAACCCCACCGAGCTCGTCTGGGGCCACATCCTCGGCACAGCAGGCGGCATGGTATCGAACCAAGGCCAGCTTTTCGCCCAAACAATCGAATACTACATCCTCGGCGCAGGCAAACAGCACTGGCCCGCCATCCAAGCCCTAGCCCAACACGACACCCCCGAAGCCTTCGAGCAGCTCATGCACTACGCAATGGAGGGCTCGCGCCTCAACGGCGAAACAGGCGTCCTCCGCGCCGTCGCAAAACCAACAACCCTATCCGAAGCAGGAAAACCCCTCCCCCTCACCCCAGGCGACACACTCTTCGTCAACCTGCGCGCCGCGTCCCACGACCCCGTCGCGTTCCCCAACCCAGACGCTGTCGACCTCCACCGCCCCCTCGACGCATACATCCACCTCGGTCACGGCCCGCACCAGTGCCTTGGCCTGCCCATGACGCGCGTCGTGCTCACTACGATGCTGAGGGAGGTTGCGCTGCTGAGGAATTTGCGCCCGGCGCTGGGCCCGCAGGGCAGGATTCATAAGGTTGAGCGCAAGATGGGGGCTGATGAGAAGTATCCGTATCATGCGTATTTGACGGAGAACTGGGATATGTTCTTTCCGTTTCCTTGTGGTGAGTTTTTTTTTGACTGTTTGTTGAGAGGATGGTTTGCTGACTTGAGATTAGCGTTCAAGGTTAATTGGGATGATGAGTAGGTGAGTAGCTGGGAGGGGATGCAATGGGATGGGATGGAATGGTAACGGACAAGCATGGACATGGAACATGAGATACGAGGACATGAACTACGTCAAACTGGAAATGATGCAAATCCACGGAAGGAGAAGTGCAGGCACACTTCCCCCAAAGTACATAACTCTCGGTATCTTAAAAACTCAATAAGACCTCTTCATAGGCGGCACACTCTTACACTCCCCCTCATCCAACGTCCCCATCACAACCCCCCTAGTCCCCCACTCGACCTCCCCCCCAACCCCAGCCTGCCACGTAAGACTATGCACCATCCACGCCGCATCATCCCTCTCCTGAAAATCATCCCGCGCATGCGCACCCCTGCTCTCCGTGCGCGTCAACGCCGCCTTACTCGTCTGCACGGCATTAGTCAGCAGACTGCGCAGCTCGAGCGTCTCAACCAGATCGCTGTTCCAGATCAGACTGCGGTCTGTGACACACAAATCAGACTTGAATTTCCGCTCGATGTCGCGTAGTTGCGCGGTGCCGGTGGTGAGGGAGTCGTGGGTGCGGAAGACGGCCGTGGTGTTCTGCATGGTGCGCTGCATTGCGTCGCGGAGGGCAGAGGTGGGGGATTTGCCGTCTGCGGCGAGGAAGGAGGGGATTTCGCGGATGGAGGGCAGGCCGATGTCGGAGTTTGACGGGTTGTGGGGTGCGGAGGGGGCGTGATTGTCGGCGATGTGGAGAGCGGATGCGCGGCCGAAGACGACGATGTCGAGGAGTGAATTTGCGCCTAGGCGGTTTGCGCCGTGCACGCTGACGCAGGCTGCTTCGCCCGCGGCGTAGAGGCCGTCGACGACTTTCTCCCCGCTATCCGTCACGTCGAGGACCTGGCCGTGGTAGTTCGTTGGGATGCCGCCCATGCAGTAGTGCACTGTTGGGAGGACGGGGATGGGCTCGCGGGTGATGTCTATGCCTGCGAAGATGGCGGCAGTTTCAGCGATGCCGGGGAGGCGCTCCATGATGATGTCCTTGGGGAGGTGGGAGAGCTGGAGGTGGATGTGGTCTTTTTCGGGGCCGCAGCCGCGGCCCTCGAGGATCTCTAGGTTCATGGAGCGGCTGACGACGTCGCGGGATGCGAGGTCTTTTGCGGTTGGGGCGTAGCGCTCCATGAAGCGCTCGCCTTGGGCGTTGAGGAGGTAGCCGCCTTCGCCGCGGGCGCCTTCTGTGATCAGGACCTGCGTGGTGTTAGCTGGGTGGAGGGGTATGGGTGGAGGAGCATTTACGCCGGCGCCGTAGATTCCAGAGGGGTGGAATTGCACGAATTCCATGTCTTGCAGCGGGAGACCGGCTCTCGATACCATGGCACTGCCGTCACCGGTACTTGTGTGTGCGCTTGTTGCGCTGAAGTATGCTCGTCCGTAGCCTGTCCTTGTCAGCTCTCGTCTTCATTCCAAGCCCGAATCATTCTCAATCTACTCACCCCCAGTCGCCAGAATGGTGTTCCGCGCAAACATGCGATGACACGTCCCATCCTCCATGTTCAGCGCCGTAATCCCCACACACTTCCCCTCACTCATCATTAGATCCAGCGCAAACCACTCGATGAAGAACTGCACCCCCTCCTTCAAGCTCTGCCCGTACAGCGTATGCAGCATGGCATGTCCCGTCCTGTCCGCTGCACACGCCGTCCGATACGCCTGTCCGCCCTTGCCATACTCCAAGCTCTGCCCCCCAAGAGCGCGTTGGTATATCGTGCCTTCAGCGGTGCGGGAGAAGGGCATGCCGTAGTTTTCGAGCTCGACAACAGCGGGCACAGCCTCGCGCGTCATGTAGTGGATAGCATCCTGATCACCCAGCCAATCTGAGCCTTTGACCGTGTCGTACATGTGCCAGCGCCAGTCGTCTTCGGTCATGTTGCCGAGCGCGGCGTTGATGCCGCCCTGGGCTGCAACCGTGTGCGAGCGCGTGGGGAACAGTTTCGATACGCATGCTGTTTTCAGACCGGCTTCCGTGAGTCCCACGGCGGCGCGGAGGCCTGCGCCACCTGCTCCGACGACAATGGCACTGTGGCGTGTGAGCTACTGGGATTGCGTGGAGACATGGCTCGAATTGAGGGCGTACTCGTAGTGGTGGTCGACGACTGTCAGGCCTTTGACGTCTTGAGTGCTTACGGAGGTAAGTCCTCGCTGTTGTCTCGAGATCCGGGGGACGGAGCTACGCGCACCGAATCTCTGGCGCTGGATAGCACGCGCAAAGGTACGCATTGTGAGGATCGAGAGGATTGTACGGAAGGGGAAGACCCTCAAGGGGATCAAGAAGATAAGAGGCAATGCACGACGACATACTTCCTCGAGCTAGCTTAGCTGTTGAGAGTCGGCGTGCCCCTCTCTGGGAATAATCCGTCCTCGGTTATATCGAGTCGATCGATGCGGGAGGTGAGGCATCTGGCGAGAGTCCACCAGCATCGACATGGCCCGCTTTGGTAGTGGCAGACCTGGAGATCTTCAATATACCATTGACGTATCAGCTTGCTCGACGGCAGCATCTATGGAGTCGTGTTGGACCGCCTTGGTTGTGGGGAATCCTTGTTCTATCTGGGGATCTCGACGACGTTAAGCACGTCCACGAGTCATGCACGTTGATCTTGCGGCCAATCAGGGGTGTCATATTTGATGGGCTCAAGTAAGCGGGGTCTGGTCGGCTATATAGACTGCGACGTGACCGTGACATTATTTATTCTCTCCACGTCTCTACTCGATCTGTGAAGCTTACTCCGCATAGCAGATTGCTAACCATGATTGAATCTGAGAATGCTCGAGTTACCTTTCTAGCATAGCGTAGCCATCATCTCCCGTCTTTTTTCCACTCACTTCTCTACTTCTCTTCACAACTCCATGTTAGGTTCGTACGCGCTCTATACGCTTACCCATCCCCTCCTAGGCCCTCACTACACTACATCTCAAAGGTCCCTGTCACGCCCATCCATCAACTTGTTTTATTCTTCTCATTGATCTACACGCACTTCGCACTATCACGTCTATGATCTTCATTTCCACTTCATCAAACAAGCGTGTCTTGCATTGCACATCAAACAATCACGAAGTCATCACTACACACATCCACCCATCACTTGGTACACCGTATGTCCGCGCTCACACCTGACCGAGAATGGTAATTGGCGGGATATGTTTACTGTGTATTGTTGTGACAAACCATGTAAGGGTCAGCTTTGGAGGGAACCTGGAGTCGAAATATTACATTATACTTCATTGCTGATACATCGACACGCCAGCGTGTCTTTCTAATCCGTAAATACGTTCGTGTCCTGTTTCCCTCCTTGGTACTCCGCAGATTTCCTCCCATGGTCGTAGAATGGAACACAGCCTTGTCAGGCTCGATAGCAACGTCTTCTCCATCCTTCTCAGATAGTCCCAATTCACATACACCAAACATCCGAGAGATGGTGTGCAATTCCGGGCAGTCTCCATTCCGCAACATTCCAAATCATCAGAACCTGCATGAGGCACCATCACAAAGTTCAAGCCCAACACCCCCACCCCCTCACAACCCACAACTCCCCCGCAAAGTCCCCCACTCAGGATCAAAGTACCGCCCAAACCCCCTAATCTCACACATGCGATTAAAGCACTTCTGGCACAACTGATTCTTCAGCCTGGCCCTCTCACACCTCGCATGCCGTCTCGGATCCGTCTCCCAATTCGGATCATGCCGACCCTGCGCATCAACCGGCCCCATTTTCCAGTTCGAATCGACCGGTCTACGTAAATGCGGGTCCATGAAGACGCACGGGAATCCCAATCTGTCGCCGTCGAATTCTGCGAGCCATGGACAGGCTTGCTCTGTCGCTTTGGCGTAGCAGCGCGTGCACAGTTGGCCGCGGTGGCGTACGGTGCCGCAGAGTCGGGCGTCCTTTGGGTTGAAGGCGCGGCGCCAGGGGTGGAAGCGGTACTCTGGGTCTTTGCAGGCGCAGAGGTACGACCAGCCTTTGCTGACGCGTTCTTTGTTGTCGCGTTCGACTTGGTGCATGTAGTCACAGACCAGATGTCTTAGGTATTGACTGTCTGGCTGTGTGTCTGCGAGGTTGAGTAGAGCGTCTATGCTCATGTTTTTGCACCACGAGCATATGTCTCGTCCTAGCTCCTGACCTTCTGGACTGGAAGCACAGGCAACCCCGAATGCGCAGCGCGACTTGGGAGGTGGTGGCAGCATCTCGAAGTAGGTTGACGACTTATTCCAAAGCCAGTAACCTGATGTTGTTCGGGGTGGCAAACGTACGGGATCAATATTTCAGATCTCAGCTCAGTACTTCGTTGTAGCCCTCCACGTCATCGTCCTCTTCCTCAATTTCCTCCTCCGATCCTACCAACCTCGGAACAAATCTGTCCGCCTCTTCATGACACAGCCCAGTCGGCGTAAAGTACTGTACGATTCCAATTTTGTGCAGTCTTCTTCTCCAACACCTCTCACAAGCCTTGCCTTTCTTCTGGACAATGCCACAATCCAATCGAGTACCGCGGAGGTTCAAATCGAATCTTCGCCACCGACAGTGGCGATAATCCGGATCTTCGAAAGCGCAGAGGTAGCGGCCGTGTGCCTCGATGTTTTGTTTCGAGACTTGTTTTCGAGAGACTTCTTCGCTGACGGTGTGGATGGCAGCGGGATTGTTGTTGGCCCAGATACAGAGTTGTTCCGGATCGTGGCGTTTAAGACAGTCGGGACAGATTTGGCTGGCGCGGTAGACTTTCCTTCCGATTCCTAGACAGTATATTCGACAGAGACAATGGACGGTGGGCGGAGACTTAAAGGTCGAGGATGTCGAGGAAGGAGTCATGGAAGTCGCCGAAACTATATGGGTCTTGGCTCCGCAGGTTGCCGTTAAACTCCACCTTCAGTCACTAGCTTAACGTTGACGCATTAGAGCTTCGTTTGAAGACATGTTAGCAGCAAGGGTTGGTATGTGGATGACCTTTGCGTTCCTGGGCTGTGTCAGGGTACAGTGCTAGATTTGGTGTTGTCTTCCCAAGTAAAGAACGTACGAGAAGATGTTTCGAGTAGTCCAGTGTCGAAAGTGGAGCCAGTGTTTCCTGTTGTATCAGCCTCAACCAATATGGCAAGATGCAAAAGGTTCATTGTAGAACAGCACAGGCACATATAGAAGAGCCTTTCGCTTGGCACAAGCTTGGTCCGATATGTCTGATCAACCAGAGCTGAAGCGGTGTGAGAAGCCGGCCTATCACGCCCGGTCAACAATTCGTAACCAGAAGCATGACCATTGGTGTAGCCGATCAAGGGATTACTTCATGGTCATCGTGTGGTGATGCGTTACGAGCAAGCTCTGATCACCCCGAGGCATAATCCTCCGCCTCAAGCGAATCACGGACTGAATGCCCGACAGACTGGCAAAGGTCCAAGCGTGTACCGACCCATTGGTCGAGTTGAAGACGTGTAACAGATGAGGTTGCGATGCTACTCGCCGCCACTAGACTGCGGTCATATCCGTCAGCTATTTTGCAGCTAAAGTGGCAAGCCAGCAAACTCACCGCGATGGTGGCGCCAACGTCTAAACCGTGAGATTCGGATTCAAAATTCAAGATTCAACTCCGACGTCCCGAGATTTACCGTGATCGCTGTTAATGCCTTATCGATCTACAAAGAAATATGCCCCTCTTGTGGTCGGGCACCTTTTCATAAGCATAGTCTTGCTAGATGCCTGATATTGAATACATCGGTCGCCTGACTACATCATCCTTCTCCTTTTGGGTCTGTCATAACCTAGGTTCGTTTCGAGTACAGCAGATCTCAACTGATGGTGCGGCATCCATGCAGCGCAATCGTCGTCGCGGCACTTGTTGAGCAAGGGCCGAAAAAGCGACCTATCATTGCTAACGTGCATTGTGTGCAACCGTTGCATCGGTTTTCCTAGGCAAGACTGTCCGGTTAATCGGGTGGCATTTCGAAAGATCAACGACTCGTGCGCCCGATGGTCCGAAGTATAAGCAAAGACTTGGTCCGCGTGGCTGTGAATCTTCCTAAATCATCGGCATATAGCAGGCCGTGGTCCGCCACTGTAGATAAGAACCAGCATATCCGTGGTATGTCGCAGGGTAACATGGGTTCTCTTTGAGAACTATGGGCCTTCCCGTCGGTGGTCGTCGAATACTGTCTTACTCACACGCCCGAAGCACATACATCGTACCTGAGAAGCCCGTATAGTGATGCCCAAGAATCTTGCCAGCAAGCTGGAACTGGCTGCACCACATAAGTTGTGCAACTCAAGCTCACGATCCATGCAGGTCGCGGCGCCCAAGCGAATAATGTCAAATTTGTTGTGTTCGTTTCGGCTGCGAGGTTTCGAACGAATCAGGCATCTATACTAGACTGTAGCGAAACTTTCGTTGAGCAATGTACTGCAATGTAGTGCACTTCAAACGAGTAAGTCCAACCGAGCTCACATTGTGGGATGGGATGCGTACCTCTCCAAGTTGCTAATCCTCTCGACACGTCGCATGATCTCATGATCTTCAGACCGCTTATCGGCGCGTGCGCAGCTCGAGTCATCTGTGCCGGATCGTACTAGGTTGGCATTGTTGTATGTGAACAATCTCGGCAGAATGCGTCGTGTTAAGTAGACATGACACTTTCGTGGACAGAGTCGAGTCGACGTGAATGAATCTCTGCACGCCTATTTACACTTTGCCAAGATTCGTTGCGTAATCCTACCTGAAAGCTACTCGGCGTTGCCGACTCTCCGCGATTGAAGACGGAACTCGTGCCCTACCACACTGAGTCGTACCTGTATACTGATGTTACACAGTACCATGTCGTACATTCTGCCATCCACCAGGCACAATCTAGATAGGGAGCAGCCGTGGCGGAGTTCGGCTTTGCATCACGCATCGGATTGTTCCACCGAGATGACGGTCGGAGAATGTCACAGGTAGACTCGCGGGTTCGTAGACTAGACAGCATCATCCTTGCAGCGATGAGGCTTCTCGAAAAGACGACGTTGACAGGGAACAAGGGCTTTGGGGTTGCATGGAGTCCCCTGTCTGGACGCTAACGTGGCTATGACCTAAGATCTGCGAGACGACGACACTGGGTAATTCCACTCAACCTCAAAGATCTGTTCAGATTTGAGTGTTGTTAATCTACTGTCAAGTGTTTATTCCAAATCATCTCTGGCTACACATCAGTTGTGCCTTAGGCTCCTTGAGAACAAATCCAACATTGTTGGGCAGATTTACGTTCAAATCTCATAGTGTGTGTATGATTACCACGATTTTGCGGAAATACCACATAGAAAATTGTATTGAACTTTTGCCAACTATACAGTCATTGCATTTATCAGAGAAAGAGTTTACACAGCAATCTACAAGATTGTCGTGCTTACTTCAAGACAAGTCAAGCCCAAAGACCCAGCAGAAACAAAGCAGGCTACATCGCACCCACTCTAGCATTCCGGAATGTCGAGGCAGTGCGGTGTAACTTGTTTGGAAAGATTTAGACGGTTATACGTATCGTGTGTGTGTTATGTACGCCTAACGTAATTCAGAGTATGAAGAATTAGCAGGACGGGCAAACCAGCATTATTTCGCAGATCTTTGGTCTTGCCTTGGGCTCATGCCAGCAACGGCGTATGGAAGATACAAGTAAGCCGAGAAGAAGTATTTAGAACTTCATCATAGCGCAATATAACAGCCCTCTACGCCCAGAAAATGCAGCATCATACGCCCACCACACAAGCCATCCACATCTCTACACCCACCCACTCCCCCATCAAACAGCCCCCTTCTTATTCGCAAACCTCTCCAACGCCGGCCCATACTCCCTCCTCAACTTCTGCCTCTTCTCCACATTCCTTTTCTTCTGCCTTTCCACCGCCTCCCTCGCCCTATCCTTCTCCTCATCCACCACATTCCGACTCCCACTCTTCCGCAAATACCTCCTAAGCGCCGAATTCCTACCCCTACCCCTCTTCTTCAACCTCGCAATCTTATCCTCCTCTTTAAGATCCAAGTTGCGCTCACGCCTTCTCTGCTCATCAGACGCCAAATCGAGATTACCCACGAAATTGGGGTCGAGGGCGATCATCTCGGGCTGCAGTTTTTCAAGCAGGGCGTGGACTTCTGTTTCGCGGCGCTGTCGGGATGTTTCGTAGGGGTTGGTGCCTTGTTCCATTGTATCTGGGTTGGGCTCGCCTGCGCCGGGGATCAGGATGGAGGAGAACCCCCTGTCGTGGGAGATGCCGAGGACGTCTTCGAAGGGGCAGAAGCGCACGCGGCCGATGCTGAGGCCGTCGCCGCCCCAGGCCATGTAGGGCGTGGGCAGGACGAGGTCCGGGTTGTGTGTGAAGATGTCGGGCTTGTAGATGTTGACTTGGGAGCCGTAGCCGACGGCTGTGAGGTTGCGGTCGGAGATGGAGAGGGATGTGCCGGGGATGCGGAGGTGGTGGGTCGAGATCTCTTTGAACATGCGGATGTCCCAGACGGACATGCGGCGGTCTTGTGATGTGCTGACCATGTATGTGCCTGATTTGTCGATGGCGAGACTGCGCACGGGGCCGTGGTGGGGGAGTAGTTTTACGAGGGGCGCGGCGCTGTTGGGCGACCATAGCGTGACTAGGCCCTTTTGGTGGCCGACGTGCAGGATGGCGTTTTGGGGGTTGTGCGCGAGGGACGTGGCGGGGCCGAGTTTCGTGTACAGTTCCCCCAGCGACTGACCGGTGGAGACGTCGGTGTAGCGCAGGATGCCGGCCGTGGAGACGGATGCGAGCAGGAAGTGGTAGGGCAGGTATTCGAGGTGTGTGGCCTCGGAGTGGTTCTTGAGCTGGTGCAGCTCCACGCCGTCGCCCGAGTAGATGTAGACGCACTTTTTCTGGGCGACGGCAAAGTTCTTCTGGTTGCTGATGTGCAGCCAGCGCGCGTCCCGCACCGTCTCGTTGAGTTGCAGCTCGCAGCCCAGCTTGCCAGCTCGCCAGTCAAACGTCGCGACATGGCCTTTTCTCCCCGCAATCAGCAGATCGCGCCCGTTGCGACTGTAGTCGCATACGTCGTATGGCCCCAGGCCGTCCAACCGCAGCTCGAAGCCCTTCTTTGCTGTCTCGACGCCCACTTCCTGCTTGATCTCGTCTTGCCGTACTTTGTATGTTCGTTCTAGCTCATGCTCCGGTTCTAGAAGTCCCTCATTGTTCTCTAGCAGGATCTCGACGTTCTTCGCCTCGAGCGCCGCCTGCTTGTTCTTGGCCTCGAGCGATCGCAGGTTCGAGCGCAACTTCTTGTCCTTGACTGATTTGGGTCGGATCTTTTCGCCGCGCCCGTATTGCTTTGTTGCCGACTCGGTGAATGCCGCGAGTGCGCGCGTTTCCTCGTCGTCTATGGGCGCGCGTCTTTGCGACGTGGGTTGCGATTGTGAGAGCTCGGTTTTGGGCTTTGGCCCGCGTTCGGTGGCCATGGTGACGTTTTTCAGACGGTATATGGTAGTGAGGAAGCCGTTTGTACGTGGTAGTCAATCTTCAGTGTTTGGCGTCGTAGGGTTTGGGGCGGACTTTTGGGACGTTGTGCGTGAATGCGCTTTGCGTGTCGACCAAAATTTCGAGATTCTGCCACCCGTGACCGCTTCGAACTCTTGGCGTCGATTATCCAATCGCCAGCCTTCGCAGCCCGGAGCAATTAACATCGCTCAACATCTCCTTTCCTTTATTGTCCACTCAATCCAATATATCAGTGAGGAACATATTCAGGTGGGGTGTTGGGTAGGAGAAGATGTCAATCTAGTAGGTATGAAACCATCGTTCAAGTTCTGGTCTTGTCGAATGATACGCATCGAAATATCATTCACGCAAAACAATGTGTTAATCTGAATATAATTGTAAGTAAACAAGCATACAAACGCCTCGTCCCATTTTGTCTACCGAGGTATCCTGTCCCAAACCATCCCAGCCCATATCATGCAATTCATACCATCATATCATCTCCACCCGACCTAGATAGCCATCTCCACCTCAGCTTCAACCCCAGTCTCAGCCTCCTTCTCTCCTTCAATTTCAGGCCTCCACGCCCTCGCCGCCCGCGGCCAGACCCTCTTGTACAGACTGACGGCCACACCATCCATAGGGTTGATCTTCCCGTCAAATGTCGCCTTGAAGTATCCGTGCGTACCCAAACTCTCCTTGATAAACCCGCTCCTGCCACGCTTCGTCCACATGGGCAAGCTCTTGAACCACTTGACATCCCCGTCGTTGAAGAACATGTACCGCACCGTGACGACGCGCTTGTTGATCTTGTATGGGTGACCCGTCAAGACGATGCGCTTGGCGATGATGCGGTTCATAGACGGCGGGAGCGAAGTGCCGGTGCCGATGAGCTGCAGGAACGAGGGTGACGCGGTGGGTGTGATGCGCTGGAAGTATAGCACAGGCACATGACCCCATGTTAGCGGGCCCATGAAGGAGGCAATGGCGGATTGGCCGGCGTGCAGATAGCGGTCGAACTTGTGCACGTTGTTAGGCGTGTTACCCGCTGCGGAGAAGAGCTGAGAGTGTGTTAGTAAAAATTAAGATTCGGTCCAGATCAGAAGACTTACGGGGTTGATGATGATCCGTCGCGGACCGCACTGAGCAATCAACTCTGTTTTGGATTTCAGAGGCCCGTTATGCTCTGAGCTCAGAAGAATGCTGTAGTTGCAGGATGTGCGCTTGTGCTCGTGTCTCAGCAGGGAGAACATGGCGAGTGGGCGCGATTGAGATTGTTGGAGTTGGAGAGGGACGCCGCGGAGATGGAGATGTACTCTTGTGCCGGGCTTCACACCGCCAGCCCATGCTTCACGCAGGAACTTTGTTGCTGTTCGCTTGTAGTCTGAGATTTCGAGCAGGCGCTGCCACTCCTCTGGCTCGTAGGGCTTGTCCTCCTCAGTCTCCCAGACACTCTGCTTTAAGCTCTTCAGACCACGGTACTTGATGAGGCGTTCCCGTGCGTTCACGTTCGGATGTAGCTCAATCTCGTCGGGGAACTCCAAATCCTCATCAGCTTCGTTCTTTCTCGACTTTCTGTACGCTTCGATCTGCTCAGCCTCGTCTTCGGGCGAAGGGTCCAAAAACATCTCTGATTGCGGGTATTCTGACGGACCGCCCTCAGTCATTGCCCTTCCATCAACGTCCATGCCTTCGACACCATCTGCAGGATGCGCCTTTTCGCTCTGGCCCTCTTCGGGAACATCCTCCATGTCAAAGTCCTCAAGGTCAGAGCCAGAATCAGAGCAGTCCTCAAGATACCATGCGCTTTGGTATTTGCTGGTACCCTTTGGTAGTCGCTTTGGCTTGGGCCGCGCATCCAATTCCTCTTCATCCGAGAAGTAGTGATGGTCGTCGAGCAGTACACCCTTTCGTTCAGTCGCAGCCATAGAGGGAGCATAGTTAGTGGCATCCTCCATGATCGTCTCCTCGGGCGCAAGATCCGCTAGATCGTCCTGGTCTTCGCTTGGACGGTCTAGCACATTGTCTTCTTCCGAGTCCACCACCATGCCGTCGTCCTTGCCCTTCTTCCTCGCCTCAAGCGGAGCCGCAACAATCTTGTCGACTTGAAAGTCACCCCAGTCGCCGACCTGAATCAGCCTGTCGGCCTTCAAACCAAGGCCTCGGACGACTCCAGTCAGAACAACCTCTCCGGTGCCGTCTTCGTTGACTGCAGACTTTCCACTCGGCCAGGTGATATCCTCGATGAACATGTAGCTCCTCTGATCTCTCCATCGCACGCCCTTGGTAGTTGTTGTGCATAGAGAGCGTATGAGGTTCGAGGCTTCCTGTCGGTTGTCGAGTGAGGAGACGCGCTCGGTGGTTGGTAGGAAATGCGAGATGTACGACTTCAACGATGCGACGACCTGTGGTCTCCGTTTGGCAGGCTCAATTTTGTCCAGTCCCTGCACCACCGTGAAGCATGTCGTAAGACCCTGACTCTCGATCGACTTCAGAATCAACTCGCCCTCTGTGTCTACCTCCTCCTCTCCCGACAGCACGAAGATGACGAAGTCGGCGACTCGGCAAGCGTCCAGCGCTGCCAGCAGATCCCTCTTAACCACCACATACTGCACTTTCTGCTTGAAGCGGTCGACGTTTGTTCGTGTCCATCCGACCTCTGGAACCTCCTCTTCGATGTCCAGACTGGTGTTCAGGCTGCGCACGGCGGTGGCGGCAGAGACGTCCGCACACAATGGGATGACAGCAACAACCCTCGGCGCGGAGTCCTTGCCAGCGAACACGTTTGTCGCCTTTGCATGCTCAGCGTCCTTGTTCACGCGCATCTGCTTCGCTCGGTTGCGGCGATCGAATTTCGACATGACTTGTTGGTGGGGTGTCTTGCGGCTTCCCCGTTCGAACGACTCGACCTTGCCTATGCGATTGGTTAGAGCTGTTCTGCCATGCACAGGTCGTAGAATGCGTGCCTTTACTCAGCTCCTTCAGCGAGTTCTTGGTGGCATGGCGGGACTTGAACGTCTTCTTGTTCTGCTTGGTGGTGCTGCGGTGGTGGTGATTCTCGGGTGCCATGGTGCCGCTGCTGCTGCCGCCCGCTCTGAATCTGTAGGGAATAGACGCCACTTTGACTGTGAGGTGTTGGAATGTTTGCGCCTGGAGAGCGCAAGTGCGGGACAAAATCCGTGGATTTTGGTCGCTAATCGATAGTAATTTTTAGCGTGCGGCACAGACATCGTCAGGGTTTATCAGGGTTCATGTTGATTCAATCAACACCATCCATCGTGACCGTCATCAACCCGGCCGCAGGGCTACATACCAGGCTTTCAATTGAGGCTGGGTTTCGTCTGATTTAATTCACTACGTTGGGAGTCCATATAATTAAAAAAAAATCCGGTGTCAAGTTAATGAGACACGAGAAGATTACTAAGGTCAATCAAACAGCCAGGAGTCCAGTATATTAAACGATCTTGGTGCCATACCTGTCACTGCCAACTGGTATATTCTGTAGTCATTACATAGGCAAGCAGTCTCTTCAGCAATAGGCCTCGATAACACCCTTGTAGCCCTCAGCACTCGAGTGCAGTCGTTATCCATACTCGAAGTTAGAGTGACTCTCAGTCAAGCGTAAAAGCGGGAAATGAGCTGTCTTGTTTAGAGCTTCTAGAAGCCTCAAATCCATAATTTTACCAAAGTGTATGCTGGGCGTATACTGCTAAGAGTGCAGGTATAAGACTCCTACCAACTCTTTAGACTTTGCTGTCCAGCTATTGCGAGACTTCGCTGTACCTTGGTTCCTGGTATTCCGTCTAACTGAGGAAATGCGTAGAATGCCTTCCTTAGCATGCTACCCAAAGGTTCATATTTGGGAGGGTAAATCACGGTTGAGTGTCGAGAGACCAGCTCTTGCATGAACATGGAGAGTTCGGCCAATCTCAATGTGTGCTCTCTTGTCAAAGTCGATTCTTGAACCCATGCTTGACGACTGATAAGTAACGCACTACGGTCTGGCTTAAAGGCGGTACGACTGACCGATTGCATGTTGCATATATCATTGTTGTGGTAGACTTGACTTATCATGTCACATCTGCGCGACGCACACCTGATGGTCTGCCTCTCGCTTTCACGAAGCGTGCCGTATATAAACTACACTGAAGAGCCACGAGATTCCGGATCAATGCTCTAGAAGGTCTATCCCGTGACGTATTCGCCAGCTCTCATCTGTTGTCTAGGAGCTTCGTTCCTGCCTTCACCTGTACTTTGACCCACATCAAGCGGCAACAAACACACTCTCACCGCCTTCGATTCATCACTATCTACATATCGTTACCCAAAACAATCACTCACCTTGACACCACATTCCACACCCCAAACACGCCAAATATCACAATGGGAGCCCGCGACAGGAACAAGAACTTCGGCGCGTATGACCAGAACGACATCGACAGGCTTAGGGGCGTTCCGCTACCCGAAAAGTATGTGAAGACTCGCAGGCTCTACTACCGTCTAACAACCCTTTCAGGATCAAATGTGGCCGCTGCAACAAGAACTTCAACCACGCCAACTTCTCCACCAAGCAGCTTACCGATGCCCGCTTCCAAATCAGGAACCAGGGCCGAATCGTGAAGAACCCAAACTGCCAGCGATGCACCGGCAAGCAAGTCGTCGAGATCGAGTGCATCATGTGCCACAAGACGCAGGGCTTGGAGGCTTTTGCCAGGGTTCAGCGCAAGAACCCCAGCGACGCGGTGTGTAGAAACTCTACTACGGTTTCATACTCGTCACTAATACAATACAGAAATGCTACAAATGCATGGATGAGCAAGTGGCTCTAGCCGCTGTTGACGACGACACGTACGAGGATCCGAAGAAAGCCTTCATAACACCTGACCACTCGCGCGGCCGTATTCCTGAGTACTGGACGTCCTCTTCGGCCTCAACAGACGACTCCTTCTCTACAGCTGTGGGTCTTTCATCACCCCCAATACATCCCTATACGCTGACTCAAGTAGGGTGACAATGACAGCGAAACGACTTACAACGACAGTATTCGTGACGATCTTGACGGCGGCGGTATCTCCTTGTCAAACCACTTCCGCCACACTTTGTCTGTGTCTGGTTCTGTCCCCGAGACCCTGATCGAGACCGAGTACGCGCTCCCCGCTGCTGATCATAGCTGGAGTGAGGTCTGCACCAAGTCATGGCACACCAAGTCTGTCACTGCCACCAGCTCCGGCTTCAACCCAAACAAGTACGGCAACCCCAACGCCAGTGCTACAGCTTCCTCTAGCAGATCCGTACACTCCTTCGCCTCGAGCGTGGCCGAACGATCTGATTCGTCTGAGAGGATTGAGACTCGCGCCAGTGGTTTTGCAAAGGTCAGGGCTTTTGTAAGTCATGATAGTGTCCTGGAGACATCCGGACTGAGCGGTGATGTGAGTTGAAACTGACAATGGTACAGAAACCCTCGGCTCCACTGAAAGACGACACGTCGTCGGAGTCAGAGGAGGAAGAGGTTGACGACGGCAGTGATGATGACGACGACACTGTGATCTAGGGTTTTCGGGTGTGCATACTGGGTTTGCTTTTCTCTGGCCGTATTGGGGTCGTCCACAGTCATAACATTCGTGGAGGGGCGCCTACAGGCATCCTGGGACTTCCATTCTTTAGCAAGAACGAGGATATTAGTCTCTATGGAGCTAACTGGATTTAATATCAAAAGCGTATTTTGATGAATTTGAGGCAGTATGCGGGATTTCGAATAGGTCAGATAAAATCCGACTTTGATAGTTTCTGCATTCATGGCAATATCAAATTCGTTGTGTACCTCTTCAGTGTGATTCCAAGTCCAAATCATCAGCGTCCACGATGGGTGAGAGCATTTGGAATACGCCAGGTGAAAGTATGTGTCGCTCTGACAGTGAAGCCTTCACCATGTTTGCCACTTCACTTTGTGAGAGTGAAGTAAAGGAGGCGACCAGGCCCGATCGAGCTATAATTGCCACCACGTGAGTGCGCGACTAGCGGGCGTCCTGCGACGCGCCTCCCTTGCTCGACTTTTGGACCCCCGCTGACCTTTATCTCAACTCTCCACACGAAGTACCATTCGTACACTCTACACTCTTTTGTACTTGCCATCGCTGCAACAGACAGACTAAATATAGGCAAAATGTGAGTTGAAGGATACCTGACATTATAGATGCAGCGCTGATGGGTGGCAAATAGGGCTGGACGGCGACCGAGAGGAAGTGGTATTCGTGGACCGCATTCTGCGCTGACGGATTTTTTGGCGGTGAGTTGATTTCGCTTTTCACATCTATAATTGAGGGTTGCAAGTGCTGGGATGAAGAGCTGTTTGGCTATATTCAAGATTTCGAATTGCAATCGCTTGAAATCACACGTCACATCCTTAATATGGAGGCTGCGAATTTGAGAGAGCGTATAAACTGATTTCTTCATCAGGCCAACAATATCTCCGCTCAGGAGATTCGTGATTCGTACCTTCAGCGCGTACAGCGAGCTGAGGCAGATGCTGCGCCTGCAGACAACGGCGAAGGTCCTTCAAATACCGCCGGCAATGACGACAACGAGGATGATGAAGATGCGCCAGCCGAGTCGTCTACAATGGCGGCGGAACGCTCTCGAAAGCGCAAGCGCAACCAGGACGAAGCTATTGCGAAGATAAAGAAGGGCAAGGAAGCGAAGAAGAAGGCTTCGGCGAAAAAGAAGAAGAAGGGCTCCGACGATGATTCGGACTTTGGTGACGTGCTGGATATGTACAGCAAGGCGAAGAAGTTGCCTGGCCAGCTGGAGAATTGCGAGGTCTGCGACAAGCGATTCACGGTCACGCCGTACAGCAAGGCTGGTCCTGACGGTGGGCTGTTATGTACACCTTGCGGCAAGGAGATGCTGAAGGATGCTAAGGCGCAAGACAAGACGAAGAAACCTGCTGTTCGCAAGGGTCGCAGGAAGATTGAGAGTAATCGCCTGGACGGATTGAACCCGCGTGGGACAAAGACTCTACAACAGCTGTGTATTGAGAAGCTGGCGAAGCATTCGGAGGATATTGACGAGCTGGGCGAGATGCCCGAGAGCATCATGAACCGGATCAGTGAGATCTTCTCGAAGAAGAGGGCCATGAACTCGACTACCATGAAGCTGTTTCTCCAGCCAGATATGGAGCGAGTGGCTGTACATGAGGCGGCTTGTGAGTGCAGTATTACTCGACAGTCACGAAAATCTCGACACTGACATGAAGAATAGATCTCGAGACAGAAGACTACAACCAAATCTTTGCCATCTGCCCCAACATCAAAACCCTCTCTCTGCGCAACTGCTGCCAGTTCAAAGACGAAAACATCGACTACATGATCGAAAAGGCAAAATCCATAGTAGACATCCAGCTCCTAGGTGCCAATCTCGTGGCAAACGAGAAATGGATCGAGCTCTTCATCGCGCGCGGCCCAGCCCTCAAAGCCCTGCGCGTAGAATGGCTAGACGCCGCCTTTGACGACCAAGCCGTCGAAGCACTCACAACCTTCTGCCCGAACCTCGAGCGCCTAAAGATGGAGCGCTGCAAACGCCTCGGCCCGGATTCCATCGACGCCATCGCCCGCCTGACAAACCTGCGCCACCTCACACTACGCTTCTACACCGAGATCCCATCCGCCAAACTGATCCACATGATCGCCTCCGTGGGCCCCAAGCTCCGCACACTGTGTCTAGAGCACTTCCTCGACACCGCATCGGAGCCTACAGATGAAGTCCTCGATGTCATTCACGACACGTGCCTCTCGCTCAGCAAGTTCCGCTTCACGGAGAACCACGAGTGCACGGATGCCGGCTTCGTTAATCTGTTTACAAACTGGCACTGCCCCCCCTTGCGCTACATAGACGTGAATTCTACCCGCGACATGGACAACACCGCCCCCGAAGGGCCCCTCGATTCCCCCATCGGCCTCGCCTCCGCCGGCTTCAAGGCCCTAATGGCGCATTCAGGCGCGCACCTCGAGTTCCTCGACATTTCGTCGTGTCGGCACATCGCTCACGAAGCTTTCACGAGCGTCTTCGACGGCGTGAATGTGTTCCCGCGCCTCGAGGAGATCAATCTGTCGTTTAATCCTGTGGTTGATACGCAGGTTGTGGCTGGTGTGTTTCGGAGTTGTCCTGCTATTCGCAAGGTGGTTACGTTTGGGTGCTTTGGGGTTGAGGATGTGGTTGTGCCGGGGGGGATAGTGCTGATTGGGGCGCCGAAGGCGCAGGATGTTATTGAGCAGTTTGGGGATGTGGGGGTGGATATCCAGAGGGGGGGAGGGGGAGGGGGGAGGGTGGTGCCTGTTATGGGGTGAGTTGGGGATGTTTCTATGCGAAAGGGTAATTATCATGAGGGTAGAACACGCGGTTATGAACACAGCGAAGCACTTCATCAATCCATGATACATAAAATTACAACATAAACATACAACCCCCAAAAAACTAACTCATAAGCAACCTCGTAACAGCCCCAACATTCAACGTCCTCAAATCACTATAATGCTGTCCCGTCCCCAAAAAAACCACCGGAATCCCCGTAGCATGCACCATACTAACCAGCGTCCCCACCATATCGCCCACAGTATCACACTTGGAAACGACAAACCCATCCAGCCCCCTCCCCGGGCCAAAACTCGCGTTGAAGTTTCTAGCCTGCGCAACGCTATCAGTCCCCACCAGCGCCTCACCAACCATGAGAATCTTATCCGGATTCGCCATATTGCCGAATTTCTCTAGATTGGACATTAGTCTCGCGTCATTATGGCGGCGGCCCGCCGTGTCGATAAGCACAACGTTGAACCCATGCTTCTGCGCATGCACGACGGCGTCGGCAGCGATATTCGCGGCATCTTTCCCGTACCCTTTTTCGAATAGATCGACGCGCGACCCAGGCTGGCGGGCTGTCAGCTCCTGCAGATTCCGCACGTGGACGCGCAGTTGCTCGACGGCGCCTGAGCGGAAGGTGTCTGCTGCTGCGATGAGGACGCGGTTATTGTTTTGGAGGAGGAAGAAAGCGATTTTCGAGAGGTTTGTTGATTTGCCGACGCCGTTTACGCCGACTATGGATAGGACGTATGGGCGAGAGGAGGAGTTTTTCAGGGAGATTTCGCGGAGGAGGTCGAGGGAGGTTGTTGGGGTGAGGATTTTTGTGAGGGCTTTTTCCATGGAGGATTTGAGTATGGTTTCGATTGCTAAGTGAGGGGGTTAGTTGGGGAGTATTGGTAGGGGGATGAAGGGGGGGTAGTTTACCAGTAAAACTCGGCGTTTTGATGCCGATTAGATCGCGTTCTACGCTGTCGCAGAGGCGGACGGCGGCTTCGAGGGCGACGTTTTTGCGGAGGAGGTGCTCTTCCATTCCCTTGAGGGGTTTGGCGAGGGCTTCTTTTGTGAGTGTTTTGCCGCCGACGACGTTTCGGAAGAGGCCTCCTATCGCGCCTAGACTTGATCCGACGAGTCCGCCTGTTGGTGTGGATGTTTCTTTTTCTTTCTTCGCGTTCTGTGCGGCGATGATGGCGTCCATCTCGTCGTCTAGATCTCGGAGCACGAACTCGCCCTTGTTCGTCTTGCGGCCCCACGTCTCCTGCTTTACCTCCTCCAGCGCTTCTGGTTCGTAGTTTTCGTCGCGGACATCCGCTTGTGAGTAGTCGAGAACTGTGCCGTCGTCCTCCTCGGCGCCAAACTCGCCCCAGACTCTGTTTCTCTTCACTGCCCCCTTGCCCTTCCGCTTGGTGGAGGCTTCGTCTCCTGAAGACACTGGTGCTGAACTTAAGGTCGCCTTCTTCTTATCCCGCCTCGACATCTTGCCTCCTGCAGGCCTGGCCTTCCCTGTGAGCAGCTGGCTCCGTGTCGCCGGCGTTGTGGGTCTCGATGTGTCTGGTGTGGGAACGGGTGTGGAGTCTGCACTCGTGTCGTATAGTGGGCGCTGTGGTGGTTTCTGGAAGGCGGGTACTGGCGCACTTTCCTCAGCACTATCATTATCGGTGCTCGACTCGGGTGTGGTGAGCTTGATGCTGGGCGCATTGGAGTCGCTCTGGCCCTCCATGTCGTGCATCTGCCTGTCGAAGTAGGAACCGAACTTGTCGCAGTTGACGACGCTGCTGTGCTCCGTCTTGAGCTGGTCACCATACAGGCCGACAAACAGTGCGCGCACATTGTCGAGCAGCTTGTCTATCCATGTGAGGTGGACGAGGCTCTGGTAGACTGCCTGTGGGGTGGTCAGCCATGCGACATATCCAGAAAATAATACATGAAGAGAATTGGACCACACACCACAAATATAAGCCCCAGATCCTTCGCAGCAGTCCACTTCAACGTATACCCCTCCTTCCTGTACGTGGGCTTGGAGCCGCTGTCCTCTGCCTGTGGCTGTATGCGCTCCTCGATGAAGACATCGCGAATCAGGCTGTTGATGACATTTGCGCCGACGGGGGCATACGTGCGCGACCACAGGACGACGCCCGACGTGGTCAGAATCTCAAACGTGTCTAGCATGGCGGGTGCGCAGCAAAAGTGTGGGGGAAAGACGTCGTGGTTGCGGGTTGGGCGGGCGAGGGACAATGACGACGGTCCAAGCGCTCGCTCTCTTGCCAGATTGTTCCGAGTCGGAGTCGGGAGTGTCGTGTGGTGTAGGCGCCAGAAATTCGGCTTCACGACATCGCTTTTCCTTCTAGACACGCCCCTTTTTATACGACACGTCTCTCGCTGGAATTAAACAATTGAATCGACGACACGCGCCGCAATGCAGCGCCCCGCGTACAACAACCCGCCCGCGCACTCTCCACCACGTACGCACTCCTTCAAGCTCCACGAATGTTGCTATACTGACTGACTCCCTGCAGTCCACCACCCCATCCCACAACACGTCTCGACAGTCCCGCAGCTGCGCTCGCCCCCTCCACCCCAACCGCCCTCGCAACCCCAATCCGGCTATGGCTACGGCCAGCAAGGCGGCGGCATGCCCCAGCAAGGCGACGGCTACGGCATGCACCCAGCCTTCGGGGGCTTCATGAGCGACCCGACAGCGCAGCTAGGTTTCCAGATGGGCAAGAGCGCCGTCGACGCGGGGCAGCAGTACATGGAGCAGAACGTGCGTCTCCCCCCCCCTCCCAGTATATCAACGAATGAATGGGTGACAAGGGGGACATAACTAACAAAAACACACCAGCTGGGTCGCTACGTCTCCGTCGGCGCGCTGAAACACTACTTCAACGTGACAAACTCATACGTCCTCGCCAAACTACGCATCATCCTCTTCCCCTGGTGGCACCGCCCCTGGTCGCGCGCTCCACGCCATCCCGACCCCTCCGTCGCTGCATCCTCGTCCCTCTACCTCCCGCCCCGCGAGGACATCAACAGCCCGGACATGTACATCCCCACCATGGCGCTGGTAACCTACATCCTGCTCTCGACGCTGCTCGCCGGTCTACGCGGAGCCTTCCACCCCGAGCTGCTAGGCTACACAGCCACCATCGCAGGCCTCGTCGTACTCCTCGAAATCCTCACAATCCGCACAGGCACCTTCCTGCTCGCCATCTCCTCGTCATCACAACTCCTCGATCTAGTCGCGTACTCGGGGTACAAGTTCGTCCACGTCATCATCTCCCTGCTTCTATCACACCTGACGGCTTGGATGGGCGTAGGCGGCGCCTGGCTGCCCTGGCTCATCTTCCTGTACTGTTTCAGCGCGAATGCGTTTTTCCTGCTGAGGAGTCTGAGGTATGTTCTGCTTCCTGATCAGAGCGCGCAGGGTATGGGTGTGGGCGGGAATGCGGCGGCGGGGTATACGGTTGCGAGGAGTCAGAGGAATAGGAGGACGCAGTTTTTGTTCGTGTATAGCTATGTTGTGCAGTTTGGGTTTATGATGTGGTTGAGTAGGGTTTAGGGGGGGGGTGTGGATGGGAAGGGAAGGGATGGTTGGTGTGGTGCCGGTTCATCTCGAGGACAAAAGGTAGCTGTGTGGATGTGATGGAGTAAGGGCGCATGATGTGGGGTGGGAATAGCAATGGAATGGGAGTTCTCTGAGCATATCATAGCACATCAGATACTTAGGCATTGTACAATATATCCAAAAACGAGTTTTCAAAAGCGAGGCATCACATCACCACGCCATACAAGCTAGTAGTAGTAGTAGAACATGAAGCGCACTTCTCGATTCCTATCCAAACATATCCAATATCAATCCAAGTCCAACATCACACCACGCATCGCCGTAGCGAGATAACGTTCATGAACATACAATCCAATTCGATCCAATCCAATTCAATCCAAGCCGAGCTGAGCGCCAGATCAAGATTCAGAACAAAGGAAAACACGCCAGACACAGAAAGAGAGATGATTGAACTTGATTGGATTTGAATTTCATTGAATTGACTAGTCCGACAAAACAGATAAGTATGTAGAGAGAATATACAGCATAGCATAGCATAGCATAGTCGGATAACGGATCAAGAATCGGGGATATCGAGGAAGAGGAAGAGGAAGAGAGATACTGGTATATAAGGGAAAGTTCTCGACAAGCAATGGAGCTTTTCTTCCATTCCATTCCATGCTTTCTTTCTTTGTAAGTATGTGTGTGTGTGTATTTTAACCCTTTTGCGGGCTTTTCTTTGCACTTCCTCATCATCATCACATGTTATGTTCGCAACGTATTCAAAGAATGCCCTTCCACATGCCCGGGCCCTCCCTCCGCAGCGCCATCGCAACCTCCGTAGCACAGCACGTCCGCTTCTTGCCAAAGTCCTTTTGCACCGGCACGCGAGAGTACTCGGGGACCGTGTGCTTGGGGGACTGCAGGCCCTTTGCGTCGTCGTCGGGGACCAGCCAGTGCGAGGACACGTCCCAAGGCTGGGCGACCGACCGATCGGCGAGGATGGTCTGTTGGCCGCGGAGGTCAAAGGCGGAGCGCGTGCTGTGGAGTAGGTGGCGGACGTTTTGCTGGAGGTCGACGGATGACCTGCCGCGCTTGCGGCTCGCGACTGAGGTGCTGCACATGGGGCTGTCGACTTTGCTGGGCGTTGTGTTTACGTCTTCAATGTGGAAGCTCTCCATGTCGGGTGAGGACATTGGCTCGCTTGACGAATCACCCGATTCGCTCGATGATTGTAACCGCCGTCCGAAGTTCCGGCATGTCGCCAGTCGGGCCAATTTGACCTGACTTTGGTTTGGCGCCCAGCCAGTCGACGAGACGGAGGAAATCGACGATGCGCGTGATGATCGTGAGTTGTCCGAGATCATTGACTCGGGAGATGAGGAGAAGGAGGAGGAGGCCAGGGAAGGTCGTCGGCCCGAGAAGTGATAGGCTTCCAGACCGTTTCTGATGCTTGGGTTGTACTGGTCGACACAGCTGCGCGCCAAAGACGAGCACTGTGCTTGTTGCATTGCTGCCGTCATCGATGAACGTTGCGATCCAAAAGCCATCGCACTCGCTGCAGGAGTGTTGCTGGCGTAGGACTGCGGTGTCAACGCGGGCGTTGGCAATGGGCCCAGGCGGGCTAGAGATGGTGTGGGTGGGAGGAGATCGGGCTTGGGCTCCAGGAAGCGGGGAACCTGGTAGCAAGAGGGTGTCGGTGTGGTCTCCTTGGAGCCATACAGATCCGACATTGAGGATCGGGAGGAGGAGAATTGGCTGAGCTGCGGTCTGACCTCGCGACGAACAGGAGTGACTGGCGCAACAGGAGCCAGGTGGACAATATCCAGCTCGGGTGTCAAGCTAGGAATAACGTCCTTCCATGTGTTGGGTAGGCAAGCTCCCGGTGACGACGGTGGGTTCTTGGGTGTGTGTCGCAGCATGACATCCTGCCACTTCTCCCAAACCGAGTCGACAATGTGGAGCTTCCAGTTGACAGCTTCCAGAAAAGCCATCTCGTTTGTGTTGATCTCACAAACCTTCAAGCCGGAGATCTTGCTCCATGCTCGGGCCGAGTAGTTGCGGTCCTGCAGATACTTCGACGCAAGGATGAGCGCGGCGAGGAACATGCGACGACCACACTGCAGAGCGCGAAGAGATGTATCTTCAGGTTGAGCCATTGTGAAATCGTGCTTTGGCAGATGAGCCTTGATGAGAATCAGGTAGTACAGGGCAACCTGCAGAGTGGAGTAGCTAGTGCGCGACCGGCGAAGAGTCTCCTGGATGAAGGTGCGGAGAGGAAGCACTCCACGGCCAGAAGCATTCTCACATACACTCTTTGGTTCGGAGAGTTGCCAGATGACCTCAACCATTTGGGTGGCAGAGTCTTGGAAGGTCAGCGGGTGTGTGGAGAGATGGAGATCCAGAGGATCCAGGGATGGTATGTGTACTAACCGACGAGGCAGTCGACGAAGTTGACCTTGCGGTCGCCTTGTCGAACCAGCTGAGGTGGTGGTCGTGAATTGACGGTCGTCGACGATCGTCGAGGGTTTTGTCGCTGCTCCACTGGCGCCACAAACTCGGTCCGCAGGGATGGCAATCTCTCCTGAGCAGTCTCGCGGCATGCCGAGGACTGGTACTGGGGGAAAGTGCAAACCCGGTTGATGGACTGGTATGGGGCCAAGCTGGAAGGGTTGACGGGAAGCGTAGGAGCTTGCCATGCCCTCAGGCTCTGCTCTTCTGACTCCCATTTGGAGGGGCATGATGTGGAGCTAGTGCTGGACGCTTGTGATGCGTCATCTGAGAAGATGGAAGAGGTAGAAGAGGAAGCGGAGGAAGAAAGAGCAGAGGCATAAGGGTAACTGGCGGGCGAAATACCGAAAGAGGTAGGACGCAAGTAGTCGAAGGTCATGATGAAGGAAAGGAGACTATAAAGAGATAAGACGATAAGGAGTGAGCAGAGAGGGGGATGATGCTTTGTCGTTACGTCTCGGAGTGCTGACCGTTAGGTAGACCACGAGGGGTGGCGCGAAGCGTGACCGTGGGGTGACCGATGAGTAAACCGATGGACAGACTGCACGTTATGCGTACAGTTGCCAAGTCGTTGAATGTGTTTGCGGATGCGCGCCAGAGATGACTTCAGTCACCGTCAGCTGCAGAATCACCGAAACAAGACCTGAGGGGAGACCGTCCGCAGTGGAGTCGGAGAACACAGCTCGTGGGATAGCGGGGCTATCGCAGAAGCTGGATGCGACAGAAAGCTGCGGTGATCTAGCAGGCGAAACCTCCAATGGCGAAGATCTTGTTTCCGGAAGTAGTGGTGATTGCTGAGCGACTGGTGACTGAAGTAGTAGTGTAGGCTGTAAGGTACATGTTGGCCGGGCAGATGTGACGTGAAAGAGTTCGAGTGCGGTGAGTACCGTTGGAAGGTATTACCGAGCCGGAACGCTTCGAGAGTCGCGGTGATGGATTAAATCGGGCGTTTGATTACTATTGGTCGTTGGTATGGTGTTCGACGGCAGGTGACGTGTAAGGAAGTGGCGGTCGGCGACGGAGCAGTCGGTGAGAGGGGAGCGCGCTTGGTATGGCAGCTACGCAGGCGGGACAGAGAGCGCTTTAAACAGGCAGCCTCGTCGTCAGGTACGGGACTGGAGGGGGGCGATGAGTCGTTGGGTAGGCGGCAGTGCGGCGGCGACGGGTGTCGTGCTGGGCTGCAACCTGGGCAGAGACGGAATGGGCTAGGTGGAAGGTGGTCGACAAGGATGTGCGATGGACGTAGTAGACAACTGGTAAACCGTCGTCCTAGATCAGGCCCCAGGGCTCGCTCGTCTGCGTGGTGAAGTCCATTGCTGCTGTCTTGAAGATGGAGGGCCGGGCTGGGCAGACTGGCGATTAATAGCACGTAGGCAGCCCCGGCCCTGCAACGCCCCCAGCACTAGCTCCAAGACCAGTCATCGCCCGCCGTCGCGCGCACGGCCTCTTGCCACACCAACGGACTCATCATTTTCGATGGCGATTCCAGTTTCGACGGGCACGAAGAGCCGTGTGGGTCCGTCGCCGTGCTAGCCAGTGCCGTGATTCGCCTCCGCTGCTCGTTGTCGTCGTGGTCGTGGTCGTGGTCGTCGTGGCCACCGAGCATCCGCTGCCCGCTCGAGCGCTGCTGGAGTGAGACCCCTCCCCTCGTCACGCACGCATTACGCATAGCCCGCCAGCTCGCACCTTGCGACAAGCACCGCCGCCTGTGCCTGGCGCAGCGCGTTACAGACGCCCGTTACCACGCTTTGCTACGCACGCCCAGGGTTCCGCCTGTTCTAGTCGCGCTCTCGACGGCGGCAGCACACGGCGTCCCCTATTCCTCAGCGCGCTCAGCAATCCAGTGCGTGCCAGCCTGTCCTGTTGCGCCTCTGTTGTTTGTTGCCAACCCCTCTTGCGTGCCTCGCCAAGACGCTGCAGCTGCTTGATATCTCGCTCGCCCCATTGGCTCGTCCCAGCCACGCCAGCTGAGAAGAGCCATTTTACGCGTCCATGGTCCTCTTGCGGTGAGATTAGGGGCAAACCCCCTCCATCATGGCTGCGACCGCCAGCCGTGACTCTGCGACACACTTCATTTGATCGCCCGCCTGTCGCGTTGCACTCTGCTTGTTGCCTCATACTATCGAGTGCAACGCAGCACAAACACGGGGCTGGCAGAGAACTGCCGCCTTCCTCGCGCAGCCAGCCTGGGCGAGACGTGTGCACATGTCCAACTCCTCAAGGCGAGCCATGTGTGAGCAGCAAACATTGCCCCTAATGCCGATCGCTGGGCTCTGGCAATTTCGCCGCGACGTCCAGCGCTTGATCGTTCGCTGAAGATCCTTCCCCATGCAACCAAGTGCAGAGTTTGCCGTCCGTCTGCTTCCAGAAGGTTTGGGGCTGCCAGCTGACGACTCACCACCGAGGACAACCCTCCACCATCGGAAGCCATCTTGTTCTGGAGATCGAGGGCTTGGCTTGGTCATCGCTACCATCCATACCATACCACACCACCACCACGGCAACTTCACTCAACCCTCGGTACAGCCGATCATCACAGTCGCAGGCAGACGAGACATCCCTCGGAGAAGCTCTAGTCTCATCAAACGAAATGACGATTCTGCGTTGCCAACGTGACTAGGCTGACGCGAAGTCTGGTGACCTCGTGACCGCGCTTGTGCCGTATCCGTATCCCGGCGCGCAACTAGGGTCAACGAACCAGAGTCTCAGCCTAATGGTAGGGTCTGAGACGTGATAAAGTGCTATTATATGACTCACTGCTGCCTGGACTACTCCCAGAATATCCACACGAGGTTGGACAGACAACCAGTCGGCGATAACGTATCCATAGCGACAACGCGACCACGTCCCAAGCAAGGCAGAAGACCGTCAGCATGTGCGTCGCAGAGTGGGAACGATGACGAACTGAACACAGTGTGATATTGCGCCTGATGTGGTTGTTGACGCTTTAAGACGGTAGAGTGGAGTCTACCATCGACGTGGATATGCAGAAAGGTGAGAGTTTCAGGCCGCACGAGAATATCTCCAATGGCGCGCAACCGAAGCAAGTTGCTCAACAAGAACGGTACAGTTCTACCAGTAGTTGGTTATCCTGGTTCTCCAAATCTTCCACTGAACGCCACATTCATTTATTCTCTGTACCACGTATTAGTCTTGCAAGTCACACACACTATCACATTATTCGCTCGCCGGACAAGGACCAAGTTTGAATTCGTTTCTTGTCTTTGATTTTTCAGGCCTCGCGCCCTACCCTGTCTGCAGTTCTTTCTTCTTTACACGTCATCACCATAGTCTGTTTCCCCTTCTTTCTCTTCTCCTCTCAACTCCTCTTGTACATTCGCTGAGCCGAGATGGCATAGTCAGCATGAAGTGATCTCACTATCATCCACTTCCGCGCGGACAATAAAGTTGGTAGTAAGAAGGTAAGCTGCGGATCGGTTGCTCATACCAAGGCATCAGATCGGACGATCTGCGTTTCGCTGGGGTGCGTCGCATAGCCAAACTCTTTCCTCGTTTGAGTTGTGAGATAGATGCATGAGCCATCATGACGATGAAATGGAATGCAGTGCAGTACAGAGAAGTGATAAAGAGCAAAAGCAACACGGATAAGTATGTGCGGGTGTGTTTACGTTACATCTTCTTGTGCTCAGCTACTCCTCTTGTGCTGTACTAGAATAATTCCTCTCTTTCACTCACTTTAGCCGCCCTGCTAGCAAGACTACTTGTATACATCCAGGGTGTTGTGTGGAAACACATTAGACATGTAGAGACAGACCTAGGTACTGGATGTTCAAAGAGTGAGTGTCTGGAAAGCATGTATAGCTATAAAACACTTGTTATGAACTCTTCGTACCTGCTAACACACGAACGACTATACTCAATGAAACGCCCCAGGCATAGCAAGATTCTCGTCCCCGCGAACCGGCTCTTCCACCGACGGATGACCAGCAGGTAGCTGGTCCAGCCCAACCTCCGCATCGCTCACAGCAACCGCAAACGGACACCCCGCAGCCTGCGCCCGCGCCAACGCCGACGCATCAATCGTCTCATCAGGCAACGTCTGCTCGTCAGGCACAGCCTGAACCCCAGCCTCCGCCTGCGCACCCTCAACCACATCCGCCGGCCGCACCCCCTTCCCCAGCACCTCCCTCTCGACGTCTCCCTCCGGCGCAATCTGGCGAAACATATCCATCGGATCAAACCACGTCCGCACATCCCGCAACTGCAGCTTCTCGTTCACGCTCGCCACCGTCACGCCCTGGATATCTATCGTCCCCCCGTGCGCCTTCGCCCGCACCTTCTCCCCCTTATTGTTAATCCCCACGTAGTCCCCCGCCATAACGCCCCAGTGCCGCCACCGGAACGCTACGACCGGCGGCCCAGAGTACACTTCCAGCACTTCCCACGCGAAGGCGGGCATCATGCGCTTGAACGTCTTATGCGACGAGGCGAAGTCGGAGTGCTCAGGCGAGTAGTACTCGTTCGCCGCGATGATGGCGTTGTAGGTCCCGAGCTTCAGCATGTGCGATGCGGGTTCCGGCTCCGAGGCGTTGATGGCGAAACTGTATGCCTGAGGGTCGATGGTGCGCCAGTCTGGGAGGTGCGGCTTGAAGGAGGCTTCTATTTCCCAGTTTTTGACGAGGTTCTCGACGAGTTGGGGGAGGGAGAGGGGGGCGTGGGTTTTTTCCTTTGCTGCGGTGAGGGGTTAGTGGGTGGGTGGGTTTGTCGATGGGAGAGTGAGAAAGGAGGGAACGCACTTTCTTCAAAGACTTTGCGCGTCTTGGTGTAGTCTGGTGCTCTGCCATATCTCCATTTTACGCCCTCGTCTTTGAGCACGGCGTTGGGGTCTGTGACGTAGTCTGGTAGTTCGGGGGCGGGCGGCTGTTGAGCGTTTTCGGTGGACATTGTTGCTTTGGGTAGCGTTGCTGTGTTGGAGATTGAGAATGGTGGTTGTGGTAAGTTGACCCCTCATCACATACCTGATTGCTGAATTTATACGCAGTCAAGAGACACGTCGGTACATGCGTATCTGCAATCGATCAACGCTAAACTGTGCGCTTAGCTATCAACAATGAAGCCGCGGACCAAGTTGTCAACAGTGAAGCCGCGGACCAAGTCGTCAGTCAACCAACGCAGACCGTGAAAGCCGATGAGGTGTTCTACTCACTACCAAGACTTCAATATCACTTATCACCAAACTTGCAAAAAAACCGACTCGTCAAGATCCGTTCCTCGCCAACATTATAAATACACCCCAACACTCCAACACTCTTACACATGCTATTCCGCACTGTAAAACTCCCGCCCTTCGAAAGGTCACCTCCTTGCGCCTATTTGCTCCCCTCCCTTGTGGAGCTGCTGCATGTACTTTGAGGGTGCGTCGCCTAGAACGTGAAAGCAGGACGGTGATTGGAGGGTTTAGTGCTCGCGTAGTGGACTGCTGGGTACACGGGATGTGGGGATGCGGGTGAACGGGCGGGTCGTGTGTAGAGGGACGAGTAGGGACATAATTACTGTGTTCGTGTTGGTCTGGTGGGTGGGTCTTGGGGGGTGTTTGCATGAGAGGGTGGCTTTTTGGGGTTGCGCTGGATAAGGTGTGTGGGATCTTACATGTGGGGAAAGCATTGGAATGCTTTTGTGATTTGTTCTATTTTACCCGTAGAGCCTGTGCCTCGGTTTTGATGCGTCTAAGACGAGAGATTTGTCAACTGAGACTCGGACTTGCTCGCGCGTCGGGAAAAAAGTCGGAAGTAAGATGTGTGACCGAACAACCAACATGACCACGATACTACATTTAGATAATTTGCAAAAAGGGCAGCATTTGCAGAATAGGCTATCTAAGTCTTTGTACTCTTCGTGTTTCCACGAAATACCCCACCGTTATGCTATTTCTTGCTTTCATCGCGACGCGAGAGGTTACTGCACTTGAGGCGTCCCAGCGGGGTGAGATCGATCAATCCAATGAGGAAGCCGAAGGATGAAGGAGTTTCTCAGCTGTCAGCTGACATTCACGTAACCTTGCCAAAAACACTGTCGCGTCGAATTAGGCCAGGTTCCATCTCCAGCGTAATACCAGCATGGCTACCGCTAATCTCCATACACTTGATAGCGACATACTCTTCGGGCTTTTGGCTACCTCGACGGATCTCGTCTCCCTGCGATGCTTGATACTTAGCCACCGCGCCCTTTACCACGCCTTCAACGACTCCCGTCGCCTAATCCTGAGGACGGTTTTCAAGACACAGAACAATGTACACCCCTTACGTAGGCTGAACGAGCGCGACATCACGGCGGCTGAAAAATACATAAATCGCCTTACGTCAATCAACGCAATCGACCGCGTCGCTCTGCGTGAGGCTCTCTGGCCTGCGCTCGAGCGCACCATACCAGCCAAAACACCCTCGAAATGGGCCACGACGCTGCTGGCTTGCTACAACAAGGCAGAGCTCAGAGATGATGCCCTCTCATTCGCAAAGCGCACCATGGGCCTTATTCTAGCCTCGCCTCAACCTCTCCACACAGAACATCGCATCTTCGCGAGAGCTGTCATCCGGACATATATGGCGGCAAAAATGCCCGACGAAGCCATAGAACTGGAGGAGACGATTCTACGTCATCTCGCTCCACGTTCGCCTGACCACAGTATCTGGGCAAAGCAACTCCTCGTCACCTACCAAGATACCGGACATGCTGAGAAGATCCTACCCCTGCAGTTGGCTAGCTGGGAGCTCTACAGACAATCGGTGGGCTCTGGCAGTGAAGTAGCCTTGGACTGGGCACGCTCAATCACGCGAGGCTACCAGCTCAAAGGCGAACATGAAAAGGCCATTGAATTCCACCAGACGGTGTGGAATTGTCTCGATCCCACAACGCAGCAGTACGTTGCCTGGTCACGGCAACTAATCCACTGGCTGCAAAAATCAAACCAGCATGGCGAAGCCCTCGTAGTCACAGAGCAAGTCTGGCACCATCTGCAGCCCAACGCACGTGGTTACAGGCCGTGGGCAGCGCAGCTCGCTGACCAATATGAAGCAGCCGGTCGCCCTGAGATGGCGGTTGCTGTGAGTGAAGCTGTCTGGGCGGAAGTCCTTGCGTGTTTGACGCGCTTTCCTAACGACGCTTCCTGGAAGTATCAGGCTCGGGGGGCGGGGCTTAAGCTCGCTAGAGCGTATCGGCTGAATCAACGTGGGGATGAGGCTACGGCGCTGGAAGCAAAGTGCAGGGAGATTAGCATTTAGAAGGCTCGCGCTTATGTTGGTTGGCCTAGAAGACTTGTTGTTGTATGGAGTTCTTCGTCTCTGGATGTGGTTATATCTTAGTAGGTATACGTTTGCATCATGGAGAGAATATGTCCCAAAGAGACATGTCAGCACAACTCGATCGTCGTGCAAGAAGGCAACTTGAGACTCAGGACATCCTCGGACACCCACCGCAAACGGAATATGGGCCGACTGCGTCAAAGCTCTACGCGTCGTCCCAATGTGCTTTGTCAGTTTGCGTGCGAGGGGAGGACACGATGATCACTGAGCGCTGAGGCAAGACATAACCATCGCATAAGACTAAGGCTTTGTTAGCCATGCGAGTCTGGGTCGAGGGGGATTGCGCTGATGTGTAAACCAGCCAGGATAGGTGTATAGTAATCACCTGAGGTGATGGTTCGGGTGGATCGAATGTATAAGATTCCCTGAACGCAGAGCTTTCAATACTGTTTGTGAACAACATTTGATTTATCCACTGAGGAAGCGAAGCTTGCCTGCAGTTGCTCTGGGTAGAAAATGGCATCCTCACTGTGATTTGCTTGCTGCATCGATTTCCGGAATACAATGCAATCCACAGACTGACCGATATATATGTCAACTGCCGAACATGGTCTGCCGATATAATGCGTGAATGGATCAGAAATCAGTTGCTTCACATCGCACCCTGATTTGAAGTGTTGAAGTGAATGGGCTTGCCAGTCGATGAGGTTCAAGGTGGGATGTTGCATCTGCACTATGGCATACTAAACTTTAGCTGCATATAATCACATACATGGCATGTAACCAAAGTAACTAACTCTCTCCCTGATCACTGACTACCATATCCATAGCATCTTGTGATTGACTTCTTGCTGACATGTGTTAGAGCGGGATCTAGCACTAGCGCCCGCGGAGGCTGACGTCATGTTTTACACAGGGAATTGTTTTGACTCAGCGTTGTAAATAGAGTTCTCGTTTCCATCAACAATCACACCCCGTAACCGTCAATAGTCAACCTTTTCGCTCAAAATGGGTCGCCGACAGCGCCTGATCAGCAACTCCATTCTGCGTGCGATCTTCAGGGCTAAACCGATAGAGAACGATGCAGAGGCGCGTCCTGGATTCTTCGCGCGTGTCCTGGCCTTCTTTACCTTCTTTCAGCTCGCGCTTACCAGATACCGCGCTTCGCTCTTCAAGAAATTGAGGAACGAACAATGGCAGATCGAAGAGGAGGAGTATACGGAAAGTTTTCGCAGCTCGAGCCAGGGTAAACGGACGGATTTGATCGCAGCTGGGGATCTGGGTTATTCCGGCTCTGTATGTCATTCCACTCGCTGCAGGAAGACAATACTGATAGATTGCAGACCTTCTTTACGACACCAAACTCAAAGTACCTGGTCAAATCCCTGCCTCGACACTTCGAGCAGTCATTCTTCCGCCAACGTCTTCTTGAGCCTTACGTTGAACACATGGAGTTCAACAAAGATTCTCTCCTCGTGCGCATCACCGACCTTCTCTATTCTCCTACAGCCACAATCGGATCTGCTCTTGGTTTCGCGCCTAGTCACCACATTGTCATGGAGAACATTCTTTACGGAAAGACAAGTTGTAGTAAACACCAACAAGACCAATGGGAAACCTACGACCTCAAACCAAACGACTACTTCTATCCTGAACGCGATGTCGCAGGCGGCGCACTGGCCCCCCAGAGCGTAAAGGACCGCCTTATCGACGAGTTTCCTGACAAAATTCGAGTGACGATCGATCAGAAAGAAGAGCTCGTCGCACAGTTGTCCAGGGACTCGAAAATTTTGCGAAACAACAATGCCGTAGACTACTCGCTATTCCTCGTGCGCTACCCAGCTGACATCAACGGTGTTCCTCCACCACCCGGACGCGGCTCGTCATGGCGCACAGGTATAACGTCTCGTGATGGAAGGTGGATCTACCGAGCGATCGTCCTAGACTTCTTTTGGGCAAAAGATGCATTCCAAGCGCAAACTCTGACCGGCCTGGTAAAGCTGTTCAACGCGCTGAAGTGGGGCAAAAACCACGGACCTATGAGCATCACAACGACGAGCGAAGAGTACAGACAGAGATTTCTCGGTATGATCGACAACATGGTCGAAGTACCCGATAGCGCTGGGCGGCCGGCCGGGGAGATCAGAAGTCCCACACCAAGGACTGTCGAAGAGGTCTAGGAGTCGTGCAAGGATGCTAAGTCGGGACGAGGTTGGGCTGTGCTAGCATTTCAGCGATGGAGTTTGGATTTGTTCCCGTTACATAGATGATACCCTATTAATTGCAACACAACCAAATTTATGTCAGCGAAGACCATTTATGACCGACTGTCAAATGTACTCGCCTTTAAGTCATGAAGAGAATCCTAATCGTCATAGCAGGAACAATTCAATGCATCATGTGTACTAATGGGGTGGTGGGTGAAATCTGATCCCACGCCGACAATACAATCAGACGAATATCTTGCTCCAAACACTAATTAACAGCCTATTCAACTCCAGCGATGCTAATACAATTCAGCCGAGCAGAGAGAGTAACAAACGTACAGTCCACTCGCTATGCTTCTTCGTATACTAGTGATGAACTAGGCCCGGCGGTGAGCCCAACCTCCCCTTGGATGTTTCGTCATCGTACATGATCCTTTTGCTTTTAGGTGCCTTTTCGAGTAGAGCGGACGATCATGCCAACACACATCTAAGCTATTTGTCTAATCCCTCATGGGAGGTGATGGGGTTACGCAAGTGGCCACGAGGTCAAATTGGATATTGTCTGAACAGCCCTCGTGTCATTGCGGTTCGTGTTGACATGTTCCTTGGAGTGTCGAGTGAGAGAGAAGACAGTTATGGTACTAGATATGTCTGTACTATGAGGTGAGGGATCAAGTTGCTTTTACACAAGTAGCATACATCTTGGACTATGTCTGTACAGTAGGATTCGAGCGGTGTGCGTGAATGACGTCATACAGCGAGATACTCCTACATATGATCCCTGTGCACATGAACATATAGCGATATAGGACATCGTGAACTTGAGGCGTACTTGCCACGGTGTATCATTACTCTTGCCGCGGACGCATTAACATTACTTCCACTAAAACTTCCGCACCCCTGCGCTCCTCGGGCGTGAGCTAACTAACACAAAACCCCTCTCAGAACAACACCTTTCTCATCTCCAGATATCTATTTCTTGCACACTACCCTTTGAAGTACACAGCCGACGTCTCTCGCTTATCGTTCTATACATACGCCATCCTTCTGCAAGTCTTCCTTGCAGTTCCGCTGGAACCGATTGCCTGCCAATCACAACCCCGCACGCTGAGCCCTACGTCACACGTCTGACCTCATAGGGTCCCCGCAGGCGCCCCAAGATGTCGGTTCTAGCTCTCAAAGCGATCGGTTACGGCGCCGAACAGATTCCTGACAGCTTCTTTGAGAAAATTCCAGGCGGATACTTTACGCCGAAAGAAAAGAAAGACCGGAAAAAGGCTAGGAAGGATCGCAAAGAGAAGGGACAGAGAAGCGAGAGTCGACGTTCGCAGCGAGATCGCAGCCCTTCGACGGATGAGTCGGACTACAGCGCTTACGACGATACCGATAACGAGAGAGAGCAAAGAAAGAAGAAAGAACGAAGTCGTCGAACGAGGAACGCAGGAAGGAGTTCTAGTAGAAGTCTGAGCCGTGGCAGATACAACCAGCGCAGCATAGATTCGGACGGCGCATTCAGCGACCATACAGATATGGCAAACGTCGAGCAGGGACAAGGCGGGCTCCCATACTTCCCTCCGCCGCCTCAATCTGCGTATGAGGCATACAGCCCGCAGGACTATCCTCAAAGGCAAGCGCAAGATGATTTCTACCGACCATCATCAGCGCGGCCGGCGTACACCCACCCCTCTCAGGTAAATAGCTTTTCTCGTTCTCGCAGTGCGACACTTCCGGTGACGACTGCTCCCCCTACACCGGTGACATCACGTCCGCGAACCTCGACGAGCAGAACGCCATCGAATTCGCCGAGTTATTTTCGTTTGCAGTCTTCGATGTCTGATTCTCTTTCACGCGGCACTCCGCTTTCCGCTGTCTTCTCTCCTTCTTACGATCCGCCTCTTGCGACCTTGCTCCAACGAGCCGCCACTAACACTCCTCAGCCAGCAGCTGTGCCACTGCATAGCCAGATACATGACCCTTCTTCACCTACAGTAGCATATGGTGCTGAAGCTGCGCACCGCTTTGAGGAGATCCAACACGCAAAGTCCACGCCAGGACAACAACCTCGAGTTCGTTCTACAGCGCGGTACTCTCCAGGTCCAGGTTATCAACCTTCGCCTCCAGTGATGCCAGTGATGCCAGTCGCTGCTATTCCTCCTCCTCCAATCGGCTCGAACTCTGAGTATCCTCCCTACCATCCTGCAGAGTTTGCTTCCGGCAATCCCAACCTCCAGGCGTCTGGTAAATCCTATGTCGCACCACCACCCTTTCGCCGTCAACGATCGAACTCTCAACCATCCTACGCATCAGAATACGATGCGCCATACCCATCCTACCCTCCTCCCATTTCTAGCCAGCAAGTTTCTCAATACGACCGATCACCCAGCCGCCGTGACAGCAGCACCAAGCACCGCCGTGAACACGGGCGTAGGGCAAGGTCTGCTGATTCTCACTCCCCATCCCGCTCTTCTCGCCAGTCCCGTCATCAAGATCGTTCACGCAAATCCCATCATGAAGAAGATTCACGCATGGCTGACTTTCGTGAAAGATTTGATGGCATGGACTTACGGAAGAAGAGTCTGGCGGCTACGGTGGGCGGTGCGTTAGCGGGCGGACTTGCAGGCAAATCTATGGGAGGTCGCAGTAGGCTAACGGCTATAGTAGGCGCGGCTGCAGGTGCTCTCGGAGGTCGAACGTTGGCGGAAAAAAGAGAAGGGTAAGTCGGGTTCTTCTCGTGATATATTTTCTCCTTGTGGTTGCACAATAGGTTGAAGTTGGTTGATCTGATCTAACGCATCAAATAGGGGTCGAGATGACTACCGCTCTTCGTCTCGTCCGCGCTCCCGCTCACGCTCCCGCTCACGCTCGCGCACTCGTGACCGCGACCAGAAACAAGACCGTAGTCTGCGTGCTAGAAGCAAAAGCGTGATCGACCGGTTCCGTGGGAAATCTCGTGATGTCGAAGTCCGAGTCAGGTCTCGCGACAGGGACGACTACCGTTCTTCTGATGAGGACCGAGACAGGCATCGCGAGAGGGATGATCGTCGTCCTCGTGAAGACCGAGATAGGCATCGCAAAAGGGACGACCGTTCTTCTCGTCATGGTCGCAAATATGTCGAGGAAGAAGAGTATGATTACTTTACTTCGTCGGAGTCCGAAGGCGATGGCTCACCTGTCCACGTGCGCAGGAGGACAACCAGACGGGAACGCTAGGTTTAGTAGTCGAGGATGTTTTGATATTCTGTTATCGTCTTTTTCCGTGTTTTTGCGTTCATGTTTCTACGTACGAACAAGGGAGCGACTTATGATTACGACTTGACGAACGGCACGAACCATCAATTTTGCGATGTTAAGTTACATCGTTACCAGACGTGTCTGATAGAATTCTGCATTATTTGCTTCCTTCACACATCGCATAATCTTACGTTATTTAAACACGTGATACCCATTAATCCATACAGACAGGCAAACAGACGACAATATATCATCGCAATTCTTCACACAACACGACAAAGACTCTACGACCGCACCAACCCCACCCCCCTCTCCAGCCTCAACTCCGTCCCCAGATACCCCCCCTCCACAAGCAGCGGCACAGAGCACCTCCTCCCTGTACCCCCCTCCTTGAACTCTCCCTCCAGCTCTCCCTTCCCCTCCAGCCCATCCAGCTCCTCAAGCAGCGCGCGCATCCTTAACTCATTCCTCGCAAACACAACCTGACCCGCCAGAAACAACAAGCCCCGCTTACACAGCACCTCCTTCTCAACAACGAACCCAAAATAGCTATCCGGAAACACAAAACTAACGGGGATATCCGGGAACGGCAGATCTGCCAGCGCAGCGTTGAAGCGCGGGTTTGTCCCCGCGGCGTGGAATCCTGTGAGCAGTTTCTTCACGTCGAAGGACTCTTCTTCTTCTGCTTCTTCGGCGTCTGTTTCTGTGTCTGTTTCTTCTTCTGTTTCGTCTGTGCTGGACCCGTCCCCCCGCTCAACCATATACGGCTGCACATCCGCAATAAACTTCAGACTACTCAGCGTATTGCGCACAAACGTCAACACATGGCCCAGCGTAGCCGCATAGCGCTCTGCACCCGTACACAAGGGCCGCCAGCCGCAGCCATCCAGCTGCGGGACCGTCGTCAGCACCGCGGGGTAGTACAGGAGGTCTATCTCCAGGTGGCGCACGAGTGGCAGGTCGGGGAGTTGCAGCGGGGGTTCGAAAGCGCCGGAGCCGTCGTGGTGGCGGTCGTCTTGCCGTTGCTGTTGCTGGTGGTCTGCTGTCCCTGGTCTGCCGGGTGAGGGTGGGATGGAGGAGAGGTAGAAGGTGTTTTTCCCGAAGAAGACGCTGCGGGTTTCGGCGTGGAATTTGCGTGATACGCGCATGATGGAGGTGTGGAGGTTGTATTTTGCGGTTTGGCGCGCTGTGGGACCTTTCAGTGGGGTTGAGGCGACGAGGAGGTGTGTGTAGATTCGTAGACGGAGGTCGGGGGGGAGGGCGTCGAGGGGGGAGTGTGTGGATGGCATTTTTGGGTTATGGGTAGGTGGTGAGTATGGATTGTTTCGGGAGCTTTTTTGTATTTGGTTCGGAGACTTTGAGGGTAGGTTCGGAGAGTAATATCGGTGGTACGCGAGGGAGGTGTTGTGATTTTGGAGTGTTGTTTGGTCGAGGCGAAGAAGCAAAAATCAGTGATGTCGTCGTGTGTGCGAATTAGATATCGTGTATTGACTGATCAATTGCGGCGAGGCGTTCGAGGGGGGCACGAAAACAATCCGACTATTGTTTTATTTGCTTTGTCGATGTGGGATAAGTATTGAATTTGTGTATATCGACAGGCCAACAAAGCAAAGTAAAGTAGTCGATCGGGGCTCTCACGTCCTCTTTGTACTCCCACCCAAACCCATTGATTCCTTCATTTCTTACGCGGCAGATCCAGAGCCGCATATCCACAGTACCACCGCATGCGTCTGCCGAGCACTCACCGCAGCAGGGCACCGCAGCGGCGCCGTAACCCTCGTTGGCCTACCCGCTCGCTCGCTCGCCATCCCTTCCTTTTCCCTTCCCTCTCTTAAGCATCTGACTAGCGGAGCCTAGAGAGCTGGCGTGATGTCGCGACCCACCTCGCCCTGTATACTGGAAACCAATGAAAGATATGCGGAGCGGGTTCCGCCTGCTGTCAGGCGTTGTTCTAGCAGTTTTCGAGAAGCGCGCTAGAATGAATGTCTCCCCGGAGGAGTGGGCTTTTTCGCAAAAGCCCAGAAAACACAAGCGTTGATCGTGGGATTGTGCCGAAACCAAACGAAACCGACGAGCTGATGTGTGGCGCTGAGTCGGATGGGCTGCCTACCCTATCTGTGTGTCGTCATGGGCGGGCGTTTGGCTGTACCTATATGGCGGAACGGAGGCGCTGGCTTGTGCATGGCGGGTTGGGATTGGCTGTTGTGCTTTTTTGTTGATGTCGTTGTCGGGATTGGCAAGGCGATGGAGGAGATTACCTTCCATTTGTCCTGATCTGATCTGATCTTGTTTTTTTGATCTTGCTGGGGGTGTCTTCCGATGCATATTCTCTTGCATCGTAGATCATCGTACGTTGTTTGTCTTGATATGCGTTGTGCCACGCATATAGTTACACAACAGGAACCTTAGGCGTGGTCACCCTGTCGGCCCCCCATCCCTTCGAAAGGATGTTTTTCTCTATCATTCCCACATTAATACTAGTCCCGTGCCACACGCAAACTAATTGAGATGCGAAACTGACTTGTAAACCTTCTCGCAACGCTATGCGGGAGTGCACGTGGCTAATACCGCTATTTCTTTGTTTCGATTCTTAGTCGAGTGGAGCATCGGCAGCAGGTATGCACGCCTGAACATCCAGAACCAGCACCGCTCCAGCCACACAATCTTGACTCGACGAACCACACAACCGAAAGGGAACCTGACTTGCAAGCCTCCGCGGTATAGATAGATAGATAGTCGATGTTCATCGGAAGCCTGCCTGAAGGGAGCATCGGAAGCTGTGAGTGTCCCCGTCGTTCACGGCATAACTACGGTACGGGCGCGCTCGCTTCCTTACCGGTACCTACTCGGCGGTAGAAGATGCGATGCGTCACGGGCACAACTCCGCCAATGCCAATGCACTCACGTAGCCATGCATGCTGACCGCAATCTGCGCTTCACAGTCGACCTTGCAACGGACCGATTATCGATTATCGTCGTTGTAGGGGTACGGTGAGTTCGGCGAGTCTGGGTGAGCAGGATTCATGTAGAGCATCGGGCATCGGGCATAGGGAAAGCGTGCCGATGATCGTCAGATCCACTCTGCAACGTTGAGTCGGCGGAAAGCAGGGTGGGTCGATTACCACAGTAGGGACGTTTTTGCTCGATGATGATGATGATGTGTGTCGGGAGGATGGGAGTGTGGGGGCAGACGCCGTAGACGCTTGGATCGAAGGATTGTAACGAGAAATCTTCCCTGAGTACTACTAAGAGTGTAGACTAAGACGGAGTAGGGAAATGCTGCAGCATCTGCTATCCGTTCGCCTATCTCCGTTAGTGAAACGTTCATGAATAGTGAGGAAATGAAAAGATGTAGCGGCGGCGCAGGAGTTGCGATTGAACATCCAGAAGGGAATGCGAAAGTAGACACGTGAAATTAGGCGAGACTAGGTCTATTCTATCGTGTTAGCATAGTGGGGCGTTCTTCGTATCACGGTTGAATGGTGAAAGAAGTCAAATATGTTCTTGATTCTATCCTAGCGTGCATTCGTCGCGTAAACCTTTCGTGAACGCGCTTTGCAAGTGCAAAACACAGCTGTGTCATGCATACTAGGATTTGGAATATAATACATGTCATGAATCCTTCGAGTGTCCCAGCAAAAAGGAAAGGGGTAAGCAAACTTGCTCGTTGTCAACTTGAGCTTTTTGGAGCTGGAATGGGCGTTATTGCTGATACACTGATGCGCAGTTGGTTGGTCAGGACGGAAAATGATTCGTGTCATCGAGAAAGTTACTTCGTAAACAGAGAAAATTGTGGCTCTCCCCCTTCTACAAACAAAGCGAGAACTCCACTCGCTGACGAGCATATTGTAAAGATCCGCTTGAGTTCGTACACACTTGTATCAGCTCACGTGAAGTCGTAGAAGTTGCCGGTATCTTGAGCTTGAAACAGGTCTTCGTAGAAATCGACTTCTTCCTGCTCGGTCTTATGTGACACTGTCCTCTCGCGCTTAATGGGTCGCAAAGATGTAGAAGTAGAGCGGCTGCGACTGCTGGATTTGTTGCCGGACAATCCGAATCCCATATCAGGCTCAGCCCGTGGGCGACTCTGAGGAATCGGTGCGAGATCTTTCGCCCGAGCCCACAAGGATAGTGGAAAGAGAGGCTTCACCGTCTTCTCTATGCGATGTAGATATCGATAGTCAGGATGCTGGGCTTCAGATCGTGGGGACGAGCTGTCGAATAAGTCGAACTCGGTAGGTGCAGGATGTGAAAGTGAAACCCCCTTGGCTTCGAGAAAGTCGTAGAGATCGAGAACCTCGTCTTCGGCATCTATGAGGCCGTGGTCAAATGCCTCGTGGTGCGCCGCCCACAGTAGGAAGTAAACCTTGTTCGTTGCAGATGGCCAGACGTTACCGCATTGTTTCTTTGCACTAGTGATTGACCCTTCAAAGTGGAAACCAAGGCTCAGTCCCTGAAGTAATGAAAACTCTCTAACTGTGTAACTTCGAGAGCCAGAGTAATGGGTATTATCGCCGCCTGAGGTGGTGACGCATTTTGCCAGACTAATGTGAGGATTGACTTGAGTTCCATCCATAAAACTTTCCAATTTGGGTTGATGGTACGTATCATGTCTGAAGCGTCGCCACTGCTGATGGAGGGGTCTCAGAGCATCTTCTATGGTGACAAAGCGCTTCAAGCCACTCCCGTCAGGACCATGAGTTGGGCTCGGGAATGGTGGGAGGGGGAAACCAATTCTGTTCCAAGTCAATACGCGCAGCAGATGGAAAGATACTGTTCTTACTTGGACCCAACGAAAATGAGCCTGCGCCTGTGCTGAGGGATGCCAAACCATGCTTGATCCTGGATCTTGTACCTCACATTGTAGCCTCTCAATAGGATACCATTGAGCAAGTTGCGAAAGTACCCACGGTGCTTGGATAGCTTGAGCAGACCTGGAGCCTGTTCTAAAGAGAAGCGTGTAGACTTGAGTTTGTGAAGCCAGGCCTCAACCGTGTACAAGGTCAGTATATTCGCTTCATCGTTTGCTCCCGCGCTGGTACTGAACAGAAGTTTTAGCAACAATCACTTGGAAAAGACTCCGTAGCATCACTTACTGTGCTTCCGACCAGAAGCAGCATGGACAGCTCATGTGCAGATGATCGCATCCATGCTGATAACGAGTCGCCTTGTCGGGCAGGTCTTGTGCATCCCAGTTCAGGTGCATGGCGCCGGGAAAGTTCTTCTGGTAGGCTGCCATTGCACAGGGATCATTTTCAAGACCCCAAAGAACACGATATCCTGCTTGTCGTGCGCCATCAGACACTCCTCCAGCTCCACAATAACCATCTCCAAAAGTAAAGACTCTACTCTTCTGGGGAATGTGTTGGGCTGACGTCGTTAACTCGATTCGGTCTTCGTCGTCGGATGACGGCTTGCTTGAGCTTAGTGACAGGGTAGGTGTTGAACGCTGGGAACTGGATGGTACGACTGGGCGCGGAGTATGAACGTGCTGCATAAATTCCGTGACCTCTCGCTTATACATCCTACGAACCTCGCCCCCGTATGACTTGTCCTCTTTATGTAGTTCGACGACGTGAACCCAGCGACAAATCAGTTGGCCTTGGTGAAAGATCCATTGACGGACCTCATCTTGCGTCTTGAGCCGCTGAGGACCCTGTGGGTTAGAATGTCTTAAACCGAATGCCTCATAATTGAGATTAGTAAAAGTGCATCTGCGTAGACAGACGACATCCTCTGGAGACACATCGTTCAGGCCTTGAATGGAGCGTGGTCTCTTGTCGTGATTATGCATCTCAATTAACATGAAGAGATCATTCAATTTGTCTGTAATTTGATCAGCAAGCGTTCGATATATTGAATGTGGATCACGTACTATCGAAGAGTGGCCGTAAAGAGGAGCAGCGTCTCAGGCGGTATCCACGCAAGATCACTTCTTCACTGGCAAGATCCTCAATGATGTGTTTGACGAACAAGAAATCACCGGAGGTCATATGCTTGGTCTTCCTGTCAGTGTGGTCGCGCAACTCTATCACGGTGCCGGGGTGGACGGTGACGCCACTCTCAAGTATATGCCACGGGAGTTCTATCTCTGTTGGATCAGGAACCAATGCTGGTGGGATGAAGTCGAAGAATCCGAAATCATCATCCTCGTCTCCGGTCGTGATTGGGCCGTCTTCATCCAAGTCTTCAGTGTCGTACGCCTGGACGTCAACCTCATCTTCGGAGAAGTTTGCTGGATCGTCGTCGTCGTTGATATCCAAAAAGGATATGGCTTCTGCAAGGCTGTTGCCAGACATGGCGTCGGGGAAGTTGGTACTGAACAAACAATATTAGGAAATAGCAAAACACACGTTGAAGCCGAAAAGACTCACTCCTCGCTCTTAAGTAAAATCAGAGATATGACCCCACAAACTGCTTAGCACTCCTCTTGGCGTCGAGTGAGCAGAAACAGAATGGTGGAGGTGGTAGTGTCGAAGTTTCAATCCCGCGGGGCAATCGACTTTATAGGCGACCAGAACTGCAGCCATCCGTGGTGAGCGCTACTAACCATGCAGCTACGCGTGGTGAAGGTGATCTGCCCACCATTGTCGTAATAAGTGGTGGGATGTGTGGTGAAAGAAGCTTGCAACGCGACATATTTGGTTGTGCGAGGAGGTTCACGGTGAAGGGAGAGTGATGAGGTGAGCGGAGGGGGAAGAGGAAGGTGTGGTTGGGATTGGGTGCATATGAAGAGGAGGCGGTGAGCTGCGCAAGGTACGGGAAGTGTGAGAGTTCCGTTTGCATATTTCCAGCCTGTCGGGACGGATGTGGAGAAGCAGGGTTTCAGAGTAGGCGAAAGATGGAAATTGGAGAAACATGCGGGGTAAAGACAGACAGACAAACAGAAAGGGAAGGAGCAACAAACACGACAGAGCATGACGATGATGAGTTCTCAAGATGGCTTGCCCCACCCCTCCTATCTGTACACAACCCTGCCCCCACTACCTATCGTAACCTCCATGTAATCGTGCACTCATTGAATAGTCTTGGCGACAAAGTCCTTCTCCAGCCGTCCAACCTCCTTCTTGAACGTCTCAATCTCCTTCCAGCAGTCCAGCGGCCGTCGGTCGTTCTGCCTCAAGCATGCGACAACGCCCTCCTTCGCCTTTTGCAGATCGGCACTAACCTGCTCGAGCTTCTTCCTCTGCTCCAACTTCTTCTTCAGCGTCTCAATTTCCTTGGTCACGCTATCTCTGCTCATGTCCTTCTGTCGCTGCTTTTCCGCGAGGGTGGACGAGGTCGATGTGGCGTCTTGCAGCTTCTCGACCAGAGAGGGCGAGGAGGGCTCCTCAGACTCGGAAGAGAGGGATTCATGCAGGGAGGACAGGCTTTGGGATTCTTGCGAGGAGAGCTTTTCGAGTTCTGCGGTCAGGCGGGACTGGTATTCAAGTTCTTGGGCTCTGGAGCGCGTCGAGTCCGTCTGGCAGGGTGTTAGTCCTGCGTTGTCTTCTCTTTCTTCCAGGGCGTGTGTGCCGTACGAAAGTGTTCTTCTGTATCGAGTCGACCATCTGGGTGGAGAATCGGACGGGGTGGTCTCTGCGCGCAAACTTATCAGCCCTTTGGTCAAATTCGGCCGGGGCTGCAAATCGACATGTCAGCCATTGGCGGTGCGGGGGCTGACGTACGGCGAGAAGACATGCTGCTTGACCTCGGAGGAGGGTTTTGACTGTTCGGCGCCCATGGTTGCGTCTGGCGGAGCGGCGGGATGCGTGCGCGATGATGATGTTGCAGCGGGAAGATGTTGGAGTGTCGGCATGTCGGGATTGACGGGTCGCCAAAGCTGCCTATGACGGAAGGGGAAGGATCGACACGAGGCGCGTCGCCGGTCGAGACTCTGGAAAATGGAAAGTCAAGATGCGACGTTGCTCTTTGCACCAATTGTCCTTGGAGAAGCAGAGCGAGATTAAGACGTGACATTCCTATCAACCACGCCTTGTCGACATCAAGAGACGCGCATTTCCATCTACACAGCAATGGTCCAGTCCTCGTTGACCGGGTGGCTCAAGAAGCCCTCGGCCACACAAGAAAGCGTACAAACTCCAAAACAGGCCCCAATAGCACCCCCGCCTGCAAAACGCCCTCCACCGCCGCCAAAGTCTGTCTCCGCGCCTCCGCACGTCCTCACAACCAGCACGCCAGTTCCGCCCAAGACAGACAACTGGAACGACATCCCAGATGACTTCCTCTCAGCTCCGTCGAGACCAAGAGCGAAGAAAAGCCCACGATCGTCAGCTGCACCCACACCCGCCGGGCCGTCCAGAGTGCCTACACCTGTCGCTCCACCAGTCCAGACGCCCGCGATCCCCCAGCTCTTCGCTCTGCGCCCCCTCCCACCCAATGTCCAACTTGCGCCACTCACAGAGGGACATCTCGACGCATACAAGCGCCTCAACGCCCTCACCCTGCCCATCCCCTACCCAGACTCGTTCTACAAGGAGACGATGACAGAACCTCACCTCGGCATCACACTCGTCGCCCTTTGGCACTCGTCACCCACACAAGCCAATTCCTCCGCTGAGACAGAAAAGCCACGTCTTGTAGGCGCCATTCGCTGTCGTCTGCTCCCATCCTCGCAACTTTATATCTCCACGATTGGTATACTGGCACCGTACCGCTCACACGGTATCGCCATGCACCTGCTGCAAGCTATCGTCAAGAAGGCGGTGGAATTGCATGGCGTGAAATGCGTCACGGCGCATGTTTGGGAGGCGAATGAGGAAGGTTTGGAGTGGTATGGGAAGAGGAACTTTGAGGTGCTGGGCAAGGAAGAGGGATATTACAGGAAACTGAGGCCTCAAACTGCGGTGCTGATGAGGAAGTGGATTGGGGTTGGGGATCTGTTGGGCGGTGGACAGGCAATGTGAAGGTTTCAGGGGAAACAAGGATGAGGTATGGGGCGAGCATGTGTGTTACCATCTACACGCTGCACGATTTGGTGGAATACCAAAGAAAGGTTCAGGACCCGCTCGCTCAAGGCGTCTTCGTCGTCGCGATAGGACGGACGTTGACCCTCCACGATCAGTCTCGCACTCGCGATTCCTCGACCGTCGTCGGGAGATGCTCCTCCATCCAGTGGCAGCTCTACGTCTCGAATGCTAGATCCACGCCAAGACCCACGAGATTGTGCGAGCCAGAGATGCGCACAAACCTCGGTCAGCGCCCAGAGCTGCCGCTGCATCACGATGTAGGATAAGAGGAAGGAGGAGACAAGCTCGCTGCCCACGGTAAATTGTACGTCTAGGGTGTTTCAAGAGCCTAACCACAATGGAAGCTAACTTACGAAGGACAAACCACCGCATTGAAGAACCCAGGCATATTGTTTACGTACAAACGTTATCATGAAAGCACAGGTACAGCAAGTAGCACTGTGTTACAGAGAGTAAATTATCACAATTCTTCCTCGAAATCCTTACTGTCTCATTACTTCATCCTCCCACCACCTACCACTACCACCGACTTTACCACATTATTTCCAGTCTTAATCAACAGTCAATCCGCATAAGAAAAATCGTACCTGTGCCCACACACCATCTCATTCTGAAACGCACAGCCAAAACGCGCAATTATCGACTAACCCTCCGCTTCCTGACAGCGGGATGCACGCGGAAGTCACCAAGGTGGGGCAAATCCCTTCTCCACAAAAACCTCCCCACCTAGCGTATCCAGCCTTGCCGGACCATGAACCGAGAACTCGGTTCGGGAGTCCTCACGACAACGTCATTTTTCCATATAAAAGTGCCCGTCATTGCAACTCTATTGCCTATTCCCGTTAAACCTCCATCGTGCCCTATCTTTCTTTCATATCTTCGTCGTCATTTCCATCTACTTGACTTCTCTCAATTCCTCTCGCTCTCTCTCTCGGGCAAGAAAAGAAGGATTCATCTTCAAGCTTGTCAATTCCAACTGCGCTTTCCTCTACACAGCATCAACCCACATCCCCAACCCCGCACAATGCCAGACCCGCGCGTCTTCATAATCCGCCACGGCGAAACAGAATGGTCCCTCAACGGCCGGCACACAGGGACCTCAGACATCCCCCTCACCCCCTCAGGCGAAAAGCGCATCTGCGCAACAGGAAAAGCCCTCGTAGGCGACGACCGCCTGATCGTGCCTGGAAACATAGCACACATGTACATCCCCACCCCCCTCTTCCACCCCACCAACCACCCTAACCACTCTCACAACGCAAAGCTACGTATCCCCCCGCACACGCGCGCAACGCACCCTCGCCCTCCTCGACCTCGGCTGCCACGCCACAATGACAGCACGCACGCAAACCACCGACGCAATCCGCGAATGGGACTACGGGAACTACGAAGGCCTGACGTCGTCGCAGATCCGCGCCAGCCGCTCGGAGCGCAACATGCACCCTGAATGGGATATCTGGCGCGACGGGTGCGAGGGCGGGGAGTCGCCGGCCGATATAACACGCCGTCTAGATGAGCTGATAGCGGATATACGTGCGCGGTTCCATGAAGGTAGGTTCGGGAAGGATGCGGGGTGGAAGGGGAGGGATGGACAGCCGAATGATGTGCTTATTGTTGCGCATGGGCATATTCTGAGGTCGTTTGCGGCGAGGTGGGTGGGCAAGAGTTTGGAGGATAATCCGAGTTTGATTTTGGAGGCGGGGGGTGTGGGGACGTTGAGCTATGAGCATGGGAGGGTGGAGGAGCCTGCGATTTTGCTGGGGGGCGCGTTCGTGGTGGAGGTTGTGAAGAAGCCGGAGGAGGAGAAGTGAACACTGTGGGTTGTTGTGTCTCGCGCGTAAGAAGATGGCGTAAGGGAAGTCATCGTTGTTTGGGCCATTGCAAGTCACGGGTAAGAAGGCGTCAAGTCATGCATTCATTGTTTTTCCTTGGTCATAAGCGTGAACTATGCTATGGTATACGCATTTCCTTTGCTAGTCGCTTATCTCTGTTCATGTCCCATGTCTGTCGTAATCATCACGCCCTTTCCCTAGCCGTCTATCTCGTCTTCAAGCCCTCGTTGGCGTCACCGACTGGTAATCCAGACTCTTCTGTCGAGCCTCCCGTTCGAACTTCTCCTTGTTCTTCATGACCCACAGTCCAAATTCGCGAGCTGCAAAGGCGTTGGCCAGAACGTCGCGACCGAAAATAGGATCGTTCTTCAATACGGCGCCTGGGCAGGAGGTGCGAGTCAAGCTCTCGAGGCTGAGCTGGGCCATCGACAGTGGTCCGTTGGCTGCCTTCTCGACCAACTTCGCGACATCAACGGCCCGTCCGTGAATCATGCGCAACGCGTCGAGGTCGGAGCGCAGGTTGTGTCCAACGATGATGGTCTCCCTGTCGATGAACGTCCACAACGCGGAGCGAGCAGCGGTCCAGCCCTTGAAGATCTTGTATCCCGTCTGCCGCGCGTCCTCCATGTCGACAAAGCTGGATAACCCAGTCTCTGGTGTACGCCAGTTTGCGACTTGTGCGGCGGGATCTGTGCAAACCAGGTTGCTCATGAGAACTCGGCAGGAACTGACGTCCACGGCGGCAATCTTGACCACCTCTTGGCGACCATCTGCGAGAACGATCTTGCTGCATGACATGGCGATAACACTAAGACCAGGCTGTGCTCGGTTGTGCTCCGGGGACTGCTTGAAGTCGGATACAGGATATTGGATTGAATATTCGGCCTTGAAAGTCTTCGGCGGTGGGATGTACTCGATGTCTTGGAGGATCTTGGGAAGATGGCACATTTGGTCGAACATGCTCACACAATCAGGCTGCCTAGCTACACCTATACGCGTCCAGTTCATGCCGCTGACCGTGAGCTTGCCATCGTGGTGGATGTAGATGTCGGTCTGCAGGCGAAGGCGTAGTATCTTATCCTGGATGAACTTGGCTTGCTCCATCTCTGCGAGGCCGCCCATGTTCTGGCTGGTAGGCAAGGGAGCTGGAGCGCGAGCTGGTGCGTGCTGAGCAGGTGCACGATAAGCCGATGCATGATGTGCGGATGGTCCATGCTGCGACGGCGAGTGACGGACAGGTGTGTGTCGAGCAGGCGCTTGGGATGGGGGAGGCCTGGTAGAAGCGGGAGCAGATCGTTCACCGCGACCACGACGTTGCGAAGAGACTTGAGAAGCGCCTGGTGGCTGGTGAAGGAGGCCTTGAGCCTTCAGCTGCTCGCGCGTCTGCTGACTGAGCATCCACGAGTCCCTGCCGTGCAGGTCCAGGCCTTGTCCGCCAACACTATGCACGTCAGTATGATGCACCTTCAGGCCCTGTTCGGACCGGTACGTCTTGTGGCAGCCACTGATGCCGCACACGAAGGTAGGAGGATCTGTTGTGGAGGTGGCGAGAGAGTTTGTCGGATCCGGAGGGCGAGAAGATCCTGAGAGAGACGCTGGTGTATGTATGGGATTCTGTCGAAGCACCGGCCGTCCAACGTTCATCGTGATAACCTGGCGAGGCATGGGCTGCGCGCCCTGGACAACCGTCTGCGGAAGCTGTGGTGCCGGGACCCGAACACTGAGGGTATGGCGCGCTTGGGTCGATGAAATATGAGGCTGATATACTTCAGTAGACTGGACGGCCGCCGACGGAGCCTTCGAGCTGTGTGCGACCGACTCCGTTTCCGGACGAGCGACTTGACCTGCACATCCCAGGAAATGACGATTAAACCTGGCTTGGCTTGGGAAGGCTTCTTTGCAGTCATGACAGTAGAGGTCGTTCGCGCTGAGGGCACTCGGAGTGTCGGAGAAGTCGTCGTAACCAAGGACCTCACTGACTGTGGGCTTGGGCTCGGGCTCAGGCTTGTCCGCGTCGACGAAGCCCCTGTAGGCGAGTTGCAGTTTCGGAGGCCTCTTCGTCTTGTGGTCACAGCAAGGTCCATCGGGGAACGAACGATGGGCGTTGTACTCTTGCTGGGTTCTGAAGGTATTTGAGCATCTGTCGCACGCATGTTGCTCCGTCGATACACCACTGAGAGCCTTCAGACCACCCGAGAGCTGGTTCGACACGTTTGAGGCGCCGTGCCCATTCTGAATCTCATGTGCTGCCAGAGCTAGTGAGTCACGAAACTCCCATTTGCACACTGCGCACTCGTACGATGCGCGAGCTGCGTCGGGATGGTTCTGGACATGCTGGCTAAGGGCCATCTTGGACTCAAAAGAGTGCGAGCACATGCTGCAGTGGAACTTTGGTGGCCCCGCCATCGCTCTGGTGCGAGTCCGTTAGCGAGGTGAGGTGAGGTGGAGGTGAGGTGGGTTGGGTTGGGTTGGGTGCTCGTTGTTTGTTTAGCGCGTCATTGCCGCTTTTGTAGTGGGAAGCCGTGACGGTGCCCCCACAGTCACAATGTTTGTGACGTGCTACAGGGTAGCGTGGAGGTCTTCAGTGCATCGAACACGTCGAAGTGACTTGAAAAGTCGACCAGCCTGGAGAATACCGAGAAGTTTCGAACATTCCATCGTCTTCAGTACAACACCTTGGAAGAACACCAGGTCCAGTGACGTGTCGGGGAGCGTCCGTCTCAAGTCGAATCCCATGCGTTTGAGTCCGCTCCTGGAGAGGGCTGGAGCACTTCCGGGTAGGATGAGAGTAAAGAAACTCAACATACCTCAAACGATGTCGTCGGTCTCGTCCTCCTGTACAAAACCTCGTCAGTCAAGAACTGGAACATTGTAGCCACCCAAATTTGAAACGATAGAAGGAATGGAACAAATTAAAGACTTACGTCGCCTGCGCGATGAACCCGCGCGCGCATGTTCCAAAGCCATTCTATGGTGGCTGCGATCGCGTCGGCCGTCAGTCTGCAGGCTACAGCAATGAGGATTCGGGCCTAAGAGTGGATAAAAGTCAGCTGTGTTCTTCAAAGGGTCACAGTCATGATAATGCACCAAGGATAGGATTATGTGAAGGAGTCGACTTACGAATGTCATATCGAGGATATGGATGGAAGAGAGGTTTCCGTCAGCACAACTATGTTATATCATGACGCTAATATCGACTGTAGGCAGTTGCATTTGAGTCAACGTTGTGGCAATTGCTCTGAATGTCACCAGTGCACCTTACAAAATAGAACTCTCGGGGCTACGACGATAGTCCAGCCAGGAGGTAGTCAAGGACTTCTACAATCTCTATTATATTTTGCATCGTACGCTAAGAACCTCCAGGATCTACTATCCCCGCTTGAAACCAGAACATCAGGCACCAGGTAGCTCTTCTTTTCGGTGCAGTAGCTGGATTTGACGGCGTACGGCGTGGATACTACCAGGTAGATTTGCACAACCTGAACACCTCTAGCATGTCATACCCTGGAGGTCCTCGATGGACTCCAGTGGTTGGCAATTTTTATTTGGCTTGGCTATTCTTGCAAGCTCTTTCACAGACGGTTTGCTCCTGCTTGAGGACAAATAGGGGAAATTTTCGCAGAAGTGATTGAAGGGGCAAGTTTCACGAGAGTTGGCTGTGAACTACGGTTTGCCTTACGTTTCGGTCCCTTGGTGTATACATTGCATGAGGAGAAGCGGGGATTGCGTCCTATAAACCGTAATAGAGGTAATTATGAGCCAGTTTACGGAAAAAATGATAGGCCATCCATGGTAGAGAGGGTCACAGGGTCCATCGATGTTTGATAGCCTACCAGATTCTAGTGCAACCAAACTTGATCCCCTTCTCCAGGAAGTCTTAAGTTGCAGGTATCTTATACTTAAACTTGCACATTTCTTCCTTTCTTTCTCTCGGCACACTTTCCAGGATGGACTTACCACCCTCACGACTACTCTGCACTGCATGCAAGGGGTTAGCTTCACCACCGCCGCCGCCCTACACTCCCTTCTCAACGGAATCACAACCCTCGCACCTCAACACAAAGACGCTTCGCCTTCGTCGCTTTCTGATTGATATCATCGCTTTTGCATATGGCGCAGATCTCATCACGCTTTGCGATGCTCTTTCAGGCACACCCCTTGCCTCGAGCGGTGGTCTCAACCTCCAGGATTTGAGCATACTGTCCCATGACGAGAGAGGCGAGCTCCACCGACTTTCATATGTAGTTCTTGCCTCCTTGGGAAAGGCCGCAATAGGCCTAAAACTCTCAGACCACGATCTCGCCCTGTTGGACTCTGACATTGTCCGTCCCACACACGAACTCAACATCACCTTGTCCTACGTACTGGAGCTTCTCTATTACTATCGCAGGCACAAAGGAGTTGACCGTCGTTTCACAGGTCTCTACGGGTACAGATGCATTCTCTGGCATCGCCTATCAGAAGAAGAGCTCGTTCAAAGGTTGCACTCTGATGATCGCTTGGTAGAACGCATCGCACCTAACGATCGAACACGACTCCTACTCAAGACCGCGATAGCCGATTTTGGAGAGCAGGAACTAGAGAACCAGGCGAAAAGCGGGTCTAAGAGGAGTTTTCGTAGTCCTCAACCGGCCATCGATCTGGCACAACGAGCCATGAAGACTCGAGACTTTCCTTTTCCTTTCCGCCTTTACGAGAGACTTGAAAAAGCGGAGAGAAGGAACGATAGCGCCTTCCAGGGTTACGCACCGGCGCTTGATCTGGCGCGGTTACTCACCAAGGGTCACCGCTACCTTTCTCCTTGCCACGAGACGTCAAAACGGTAACAGTGCAAACGACGTGCGCGGAACTCTTCTAGGTCCAGGTTCACAGGTTCAAAGGTTCAAAGGTTTAAAGCCGACACCTCGCTGGAGAATGAAAGATTAAATAGCAGTGACTGTCCAAAGCACCCCAAGTGATATAATAGGGTGTGAGTGTGACTTGCGGGACTGGAGGGTGGAACGTTTGATAACAACTCAGCTACAGTTGAATCTGATCCTTTTATCCTAGTCCAAATTTTGTTCTGTTCGCTCTCCCCAATCTGACAACCCATTCCTTGCATAAAGTGTAGTCGCTTCTCCCCCTAAACCATGTATGAACCAAGGGGCGAGAACGTAGGAACCGACTTGTGACAGGGTTGCTTGACATGTTTGTGTACTCGTCAGCAAATACTTCCAGGCCGGTAGACATATATTACGGTATAATAAGTAACTAGGAGTATTGGACAAGCTTCATTCTCACTCCTATCTTAACAACAACAACCCCTATCTATAGCTTAGCCCCCCTCTCCCTCTTCGCCAGCACCCTCAAATCCTTCCTCAAAATCTTCCCCGCCGGACTCTTGGGAATGAGATCCAAGAACACAACCCCACCCCTCAACTGTTTATGACTCGCCACATTCTGCCTCACAAACTCCACAATCTCGCTCTCCCCAATCTTCTTCTGATCCGCAACCACATACGCCCGAGGAACCTCATTCGTCCCGTCATCCGTTTCAATTCCGATAACCGCCGCATCCAGGATATCTGGGTGCGACAGCAACACAGCCTCGAGTTCCGCGGGCGCAACTTGCAGGCCTTTGTACTTTATAAGTTCCTTCTTGCGGTCGACAATGTAGAATAGGCCGTCGCGGAACTCGGCGATGTCGCCCGTGTGGAACCAGTCGCCAGTGAAGGATTCCGCGTTGGCGGCGGCATTCTGGTAGTAGCCCTTGCAGACGACGGGGCCTTTGATGAGGACCTCGCCGGGCTGGCCGGGCTCGACGTCCTTGCCGTTGTCGTCGACGAGGCGGGCGAGCATGTTGGGGATGAGCGGGGATACGGAGCCCGTGTCGTCGTTCATGCCGATGGGCATGACTGTTGCGCTGCCTGTAGTCTCGCTGAGACCCCATGTTTGGCTGATGAAACACTCAGGACCCCCGAGTTTCTGACTCGCAGCGTGTTGGAGCTCTTTACCCAGGGGTGCGGCACCCGAGATGGCGATTTCGAGCGTTTTGAACTGGTCTGTTACTGCGGGTGATTTCGCGATGAGCAGATAGATGGGGGGCACCGTGAAGAAGAAGGTTATCTTGTACTTTGCGTTGTACTCGAGGAATTGTGCGAAGTCGAAGCGGGGCATCCAGTATACGATGCCGCCCATATAAAAGGGATTGATGAGGTAGCCTTGAATGCCTGCGATATGGGCGGTAGGGAGATGGGCGACTGTGCGATATTCGAAGTTCGGACGGGAAGTCGAGATCCAGGCTTTGAACATGTCTCCAGGAATCACGGCTTCGGCGACGAGATTGCGATGGGAGAGTTTCACACCTGATGAGTCTATTAGTACCCCTTTTCAATACCGAGAATGTCAAGGGGAAGTTACCTTTTGGCAGTCCCGTTGTCCCTGAGCTATAAATCAAGATCACCAGACTATCTTCCAGCTCCTGTGAATCTGTGATTTTCTGCCATGGTAGCCTATCATTCTCGTTGATCAAGTTCTCTCCCAATTGTCCATCTTTCCCAATGACTTGCAACGTCCAGTCTTTTCCCTCACTCATAAGCAAAACCCTGCCCCCACCGCCTTCGCCCCATCCCGCCTCTTCAGCCGCCTTCACGGCAATCTCCTTCGTTGCGTCACAAGTCACTGATACTTTCGACCCAGCGCCCTGGATCTGCTTACTAAGTTCACCAGCGGTACTTGCAGCGGAAGCAGCGGAGAAAACACCACCAGCACCTATAATACCATACGAAAGGACTGGGAGAAGGTAGTGGCCGGTTGAGATCACAGAGCAGATATCTTGGCCTGCTCCTTTTGCGCCAATGCCAAAGTGCTTGCGAAGTACTGCTGAGGTAGCTTGAGTGAGCGTGCGTGCTCGGGAAATTGTTAAGCGAAGGGATGGGTCTGCGGCGGAGATATGAATAGGTGTGTCGGGTTTTGCTAGGCAGTGCTCGGAGTCTATCGAATATCAGTATTCTTGTATGCAGCGCGATTCTGTCGCGATATCACGTGGTCTTGGTTTACCCAAAGCACCCTGTGATCGATTGGCTGTTGTCCAGACGAAATTGATACTTACCAAACAGCAAACTCAAGATGTCTAGATTTGGCACGGGATATGTCTTCGCAGCGCGATAAACCACGCCGTCAGATGTCTTATCCACAATTGTAGTCATATTAGAAGCGGCGAGTTCTGGAATAGAAGACGCAAGTTGCAAAACACAAAACAAGACAGATTCACTGAAGAGAGGTTGCGCTACGCAAATAAGCTGTTTGAGAGCAATAGGCTTTCTTTTCAATTGTCGTATTGCTGATCTCAGATGTATAAAGGAAGTTGACGTTAACGCCGCGGCACACTCCTTCCCCCTCTCTTGCAATGCTAAGGTCCTCGGCTTACATGATCTGACCCCAGTGATCCTTTAAGAGAAGGGGTGGTGGCTCTTCGGTGGCTTTCGGTAACTTTTGGAAAGTAAGTATTGGCGAGTAAGCGGGGTAAGCTTGAGCATTGAACGAAGTGTAACTTATAGCACGCCAAGACGTCGACGACAAAAGATACATCAGATCTTACGCATGTTCGCTGCAGAGATGGGCAGTGGATGGTGTGCAATCCACCTCCGAATGCATGTCAAGGCTCACCTTTGCAACGTACAATTGATGATGAACATTTTCTTGCATAGTCATCAGCAGTGGATCCTCAACCTCGACGCTTTCTGCTCGGCTCGTCAATATCTGCTCCTTCAGTTGCAAAATTGCTGTTGTTAGTCTCAACTTCGTCAGCTTGGTGACTAGACTTGTTGGGCTTTCGCCTTTTGCGTTTCTTCTTGCCTCCTGGTTGCTCAGCGACGTCCAGTTGTGGTTCCTCTGGCACGATTTCCACGTCCATCGGCAGTGCTGCTGGCCTCTCAATCGCCGGCAAAGTGCTGGCGTCGATATTAGCCTTGCGCATGCCTCTAGGATTCTCCTTTTCGAGAAGCGCTAGATATTCGGCAGTGCGCTTTGTGTGCTCAACTTTGGTCATGACCTTCCAGTCGTCTGGCTTGTTGGCTTCTCTCCACTTTCGCCAAACATCATCGTGCATTACGTTTCCGCTCAGCACGACGAAAGCGCAGCTGTTCCACAGCATGTGCACTGCCTGAATTGGTAGCCACTTTGGCTTCAATTGACCGTGTTCCTTCAGCCAGTATGCTACTTTCGCAGGAGTCTGACAGAGGTTCCTGAGATGAGGCTCGACATAGATTGTGCGCTGGTCCCAGAAAGCAAGGCCATCGTCGTCGACCACGTCGAAGCTGTTATTGGGAACGAAAGGGAGAGGATACGACGACGGTTTGCGACGGACAAAGTAACCGTTCTGTGCGACTTCAAGGATATCGGAGGGATGTTCTTGCAGCGCTTGCTGAAGGAGGACCTGAGTCACTTCAGGCTTCATTTTCGAGATGTTTGGATGCTGGAGAATCGCGGTGAGATGAATAACTATTCCTGAGGGTCAGTTATAGCTTAAGATCTCAGTACACACCAACATACATTTCTGCTCCCCATCCACTACCCTGTGGCGTTCCTCGAGCCATTGTTGCCGCTTCTCCTCTTGGTGAGCATAGTCGGTGAAGATCAGTTCAATCCCAGCAGCCAGCTGCGCGATATACTCTGGCGTGACGGGTTTGACTGTGAACCTAGGCCCGCGTTTGCTAGCTGTACTATCCTTCACTTCCTGTTGAGGGGCGGGAGAATATGTAGTCGTCCTAGTCCTTCTCATAGCCTCGACAAGCACATCTTCGCTGCTGGCTCGAGTATTTTCGGCAGGAGGCTTGAGTGAAGGGGTTGCTGGGGGCTTTGGTCGCTGTTCTCGAACGCCCTTGAGCCTGACAGCTCGCGGAACGAACATCGTGTTAAGCTAACGTGCGAAATTAGCTTGTCGATGTTCATCGCGTGTTACGGAATGGCGCGTCGCGAAAGTGTATGCACGGGCCATATCTCGATGACCGAATCTCCATCTCATCGCGCACCTCCATTGCACTTAGACAAAAACACCTCACACAAACACACCCCAATCTCACGCCCATCATGGCGAAAGAAAAAAACTACAACCCCGTGCAGGCCGAGAAGAAGGCTGAAAAGCAAAAGCAAATCCGCAAGCAAAAAGCCACCCTCCAAACGCAGCGCAACGAAAAGCTCGCGCGCCGAAACCCCGTGCGCATTCAACGAGATATCGACTCCCTCAAAGAACTCGATGAGGGCGGGCAAATTCGTCCCCATGAGCGGCAACGGCTCGCAGAACTGGAGAAAGACCTTGTAGCGGTGAACAAGGCGCGAGTAGCGCTGGGCGACAAGGCACCGCAGTTCAAGCCTGAGCGAGTATTCCACGACGATGTTGGACGGGGTGACAGAGGTGATAGGGGTGGGAGAGGGGGGAGAGGTGGTGTATTGGGCAAGAGGGGGAGGGACGGTCAGAGAAAGGAGGACGATAGTAGCGATTCGGATGCGGACGTAAAGCACATCCCCATGCCACGCGATACGCCACCACCGATACCAAGACGATACCAGCAGCATGCGCAAGATGACGAGGCACCGACTGAGCCGAAGAAGCCAACGATTGTCTACGAAGCTGCGCCGCAAGTTCGCGATCTACGCAAAGAGGCTACGAAGTTCATGCCTACGGCAGTCGCGAACAAGTTGAAGCTCGCGAAGGGTGAGGGGAGATTGTTGGAGCCGGAAGAGTTCGATAAGCTGCAAGAGGAAGGATATATGGATAAGAGCACGGCGGATGCAGAGACAGCAAACGAGCCTACAGCGGAAGCTCAACCAGAAACGAACGACGAGCTTGATGAGTTCATGAGAACACAGCGCGCTTCGGCTAGTGACGCTGCTGAAAAGGCAGTCGAAGCAGCAGTGCAAGAGGCAGAATACGATATGATGGCGGCGGAGGTACGAGGGGAGATTCAGGGATCGAGATCACAAGGATCAGTGGCGGAGAACAAGCTGAGACACGTTGAGATTGAGGAGGTAGAAGATGAAGATATTTGAAGGGTGTTCAAACCAGCCGGCTGCATCCACAACGTGTGCGAACCGCGAAGCAAGAGGGTCTGGATCACGACGTAATATCATACTGAGACATGGTGAGTGTTTCGAATCCATCAGGACATCACGTAATAATCAAGTCGTAGTCAGAACATCATAGCCAGGAGCAGTAGGCGTCACGAATAGACAAGATCAGATGTGTAAAGAAGTTTCTTCATTCATTGTGAGGCTAAAGGGTATCGTGATACATGACTGGCTAGGCCAAAGGCAATGTGCCCCGGAATCCACCCATCAGGAGGAGCCAATGTCGAATGCAAAGATCGTACGAATCACTCTCGCGGTGAGTGGAACCGTCTATTTCTTCTGAGCGCCGCTGAGGGTGTCAGAGACAGAGTTGGCAGCGTTGCCGAGACCCTCCTGGGCAGACGCAAGCATGCCCTTGCCCTCCTTGGAGGCGTCGTCGGTGCCAGAGCGGGTCGTGTCGCCGACCTTCTGGGAGGTGGACTTCTGGCCCTCTGTGAAGAGTTAGTCGATGGAGGGTAGTGGGTGTGTGGTACAATGGTACTGACCAGGCTGGACGGCACTGGCGACGCGGTCACCGGCACCGGACAGGCTCTCGCCGGCCTTGTCCATGGTTGACTTCTGTGAGTCGGGGGTGACTGGCAGATGTTGTCAGTGACTTGAGGTTGGACAAGGTGAGGCAGCAGTGCTTACTCTTCTCCTGGGCCTGCTCGCCGAGTCCCTTGCGACCGATGTCAGACATGATGATTGTTGGTTGGTTGGGTTTGGGAGTGGTGGTTGTGTAGTGGAGTTTGATTGCGTTGTGTTGAAAGAATAGCAGAAACAGCGCACACGAGCAGTATATATACTAATAACTGGAGTCACGGCTGCCTTTCTGACGTCCTACGAAAGATTCACGTCATTGCCCGCGAGCAGCAGGTGCGATCTTGCAGCACAACAAGGTTCTCAACAGGCATCTTTCACATGCCGCCTTTCTAGGGAAAGGGTGTGGTTGCACGCCACAGATAGCCTCGATTGGTCGAGATCAGCGTAAAACGCGCTTGATTGATGGGATTTTGAGTGTTATCCATGGCAAAACGCGTCATTTCTGATATGCAACTTCGCCCAACTGCCCCGCCTGATGCCCCGCGTCGGTCACGTGTCGGTCCTACGTAAGTGTTTTGTCTGTCTTGAGTGTGTTTGACGGGTAGCAACGGTTCACAATAGAGCTCAAAGCTTCAACGTGGCAAGGTTGCACGAGGACTACACGCGGCCTGGTAAACTTTTGTATCACGTTCACAACTTACACGAATCTCTCTTCCACTACACCTTGCGTCATTTGCTTTCCCTGGCGGCGCGTACACGTCTCATCAGCGCTTCGCGCGGTATTCAACTCTTCCCTCTCAGAACCCAGCCATCACAGCAACCCACCTTTTATGTCATCGAGAACGCGAATACGACACAGAGATCCACATTAAAGAAGGGCATTGCTATTACCATGGTCTTACAAATGTAGACCCGGAACCAAGCTACGGCGAAATCTTACAACAACAAGACAACAATATGCAAAATGTGTGTAAAACGTGTACGCCTTTAACCTAACTAGTATATGCCTAAGCTGTTTGGATTGTAGCATCTATTCCTATGGTTTAGTTGTCTTGTTTTGCTGAGGAGAATGTAGCTTGCTTCCGAGTATTTTGACTAGCCTATCAACACGCTCATGAATTGCTGAGTCAAACCCCCTACCTTTTGCGTCCGAAAACGTTCTGCTGAAGCTGTGGATAGGTACACAAGAAAGCCCTTGGCATGCCATTTTAAGTTTCCTGGCTATGATGTGTTTCACACCTAGCGTTCGTCTGAATCGATGTTCCGTTCCGACAAGCGCCCGTCAATCCTTTATACCAATAATAACCTTCAACCCCATTCCGTTGTTTCATTACGCACTCACCACGAGCGCGTCCAGAACAGTACCTGCGTCAACGCATGCGATAGGGTCCACGTAGATAAAAGTTCCGACATCTCATCTCGCTAATCGTAAATAGTTAAATGCTATACCACAGCATGATGATAGCAAACATACCAAGCAGTCTGGCTAGACCTTCTATTACTGCCATTGAGTCGTTGAGGATCAACCCGCGCCTGATCTTGGTATGCCTCACTAACCGCGAGGTTACTCTAATGACAGTGGTATGGACCCCGATCGGATCTTGCCGGTAGGAATCAGAGAGGCAGGATGTTCGTATTGAACACATGATGTTAATGAGCATTTTAACCTCTCCGTGCAGATCTATTAATATGGGTGGTTGTTCAAATCTTTGATATCTTCGTGTATACTCAACACTGCTTTTTTGTTTACTTTTTTTTCTTCAACTCCAGCCTGTATCCCAACCCCTAGTGCTGGCACGGGTTTTGAGGTTGGTTGCTTAGCCACTTGATTGCGGTTCACATTCGTTTCGTTGTACTATACTCAAGGCGTCTCACTGAGGCATAAAACGAAAGGACTGCCCTTCTACATTCCATACATTCTTTGTTGTCGAATACATCAACTCCAAACTTCCTCAAGCATCAACTTCAAACTCTCAACACCAACCTAAACTTCTTTTTCACACCAACATCAAATTCTCTCGGCATCTGTGGCTCTGAAGCACTCCTCATATAATGGTCCATTTCAGATCGCTGCTTTTACCTCTGTTGTATCTGAGCCCTGCGCTGGCAGACTTTGCAGATAATGCAAATACGGCTATCAAAACATTGCAGGACACATGGTACAATGTTGACACCGGCCTTTGGTAAGCACTGTAGAACACCAACATGAACAATCATCTGACTCTACCAAGGGACGACCTCTGGTGGCAATCCGGCAACATGGTAGAAACGATTGCGCGATTCGGACAACGCGACTCATCGTTCAAGCAAGCAGCAATCGACATCATCTCCAACACATACGCAAAGTCCAGCAATCAGCACGGCCACAAAGCCTGGAAAAACGAGTTTTACGACGACATGGGCTGGTGGGCTATGGGATGGATTGCCTCCTACGATCTCACCGGTGACCACAAGTTCCTCAACACCGCCAAAGATCTCTTCGAAGACATGACCGGCGGCTGGAACACGCCCTGCAACGGCGGCATCTGGTGGAACAAGCAACACGACTCCATCGCCGCGATATCCAACGAGCTCTTCCTCTCCGTCGCCGCGCATCTCGCAAACCGTGCGAACGGTGCGGAGAAAGCCCACTACCAGAACTGGGCGCAAATGGAATGGGACTGGTTCTCCGAGTCGGGCGTCATCAACGCAGACAGGCTCATAAACGACGGCATCGACAAGTCTTCCTGCAAAAACGACGGGAGAAACACATTCACATACAACCAAGGCGTTATTCTTGCCGGCTTGTCCGAACTCGCTAGAGCAAAAGGTGACGGCGACCTCATCCAACACGCCTACAACATCGCCAATGCGGTTATCTCGCGCCTCACGAAGGATAACAATATCCTCAATGAGCCCGTGGGCAATGTTCTCGACATCCAAAGCGCGCTGTTCAAGGGCGTGTTCGTGAGGGGGTTGTCGGTGTTGAATGAGAATAAGCCGCAACAAGCATATACCGACTTTCTGAAGAACAATGCTAATGCGGCTTGGTCGCGGGCAAGGAAGAGCAATGGTGTTATTGCGGAAAAGTGGCAGGGTGGCTCAAACAATGCTAATGCGGCGAGCCATGCTGCGGGGATCGATGTCCTGGTTGCTGCCAGTCGCTTAGGTTGACGATGGTGTGAGTGAGAGGTTTGCGGTTCGATGTTAATGACCTTATGAGTTCTATGATCTATACCCTTTATGTGTTACGAGGGGTTTACTGGCAGGCGTTATTTGAAGGTTCTTGTATGTACTGTTCTAGATATGTCTTCTTCTCTTGCGTTTATAGACGATTCTCTACGAGTCTCCGCGTTACATTGGTTCTACTTTAGCAATTCTGGTGTCTTTGGGAATATAATTCTTTCTGAAAAAGATTCCTTTTCTTCCCTACAACTTCTTCCTGCCCTTGATACATTCTCTAGTAACGTTCTTCAGCGTCTATGGAATCTTCAGGAGTGTTTATTCAAGTTATCCCTTCTAAATACATGCAACCTACCGCAGTAACCCAATAACAAGGATTTTCACTCCAAACATCGACTTAACAAAAATACCTAAAGTTCTACCCACCGTATACAAGAGAGCATAGCTGCACCATACCAACCACTCAGCACCCACTGTCGTTACCCTATATCACTACTCAACTACCGTTTAACTCCTTCGGTACATGGACTGTTGCAATTGTCAGGTTCTTCCAATGCTAACACACCCCTGCCATCATTACCAGGACAGGGGTGGATGGAAGGAAGGATTGTCTTCTCAATTGCGTGCTTGCTTATTAGGATCGACTGAGGGAGAGGGAAGTGGTTAGGACGGGATGGGACGGGGATGATTGGTTCGGATCTTCGTTTGGGGTACGTGTATTGGCGTCGTAAGCTGGCCAGAACTATCCCTTTCCCCCTTGTCATGAAGACGGGGATCTTGTGGGTTTTATGGATGCATATTCTAGTTTTGTTGAGTCATGGTATGTACTTCTTAGTGAAAATATAGTGGTTGGACTACTGTATTCATCGACTAGGAGTGCAGCAGGCTGGTTGACGTATATTTGTAATACTCAAGGCGTAAAAGCTTCGCTCGAGTTTTTGCATGTAGCCGTCAAGCTAGAAGACTTTGCTGCAGCTTCGTTCTGGGTATCTCGACTATCCGAGAGCCAGTCTGCCTATTTTACGGTCAAAAGAAAAGAGGAAACGAAGTGAAACAAAACGATTGGGATATGATCTTGAAGAAGGTGCAGTAGAAAGAACATATCCCAGGAAGACAAGAATCGAAAAGAGACTGCAGCGTAAATCATCAACCGTATCCCCCAACCCACCACGTCATAACGTCGTAAAAAAGCACGCATTACACAGGACCAGCCTGCCGTCGCGAAGCAACACTAACATGCTGCACCACCCTCCGTCTCGCCTCGCCCCGTCGCCCCTCCCTCCCATGCGTAACAACGCCATTCCCCAGCCCCCTCTCCAGATTATGATTCCCACCTAACAACTCCTTCAGATCCCCGTCCCCGATCAACTTCCGCTGCCACAACCACCTATACAGCGCGAAATCCGGCCTCGACAGCCTCAGCGTCTGCCCGAATATGGCGTGCTCGCGCTCAATGTGCTGCATCCGCGCGCTCCAGCCATGATCGCATGTCACAGCCCATTCACAGAGCGGACATTGCACTGATCGCGGGGGTTCTTCGCCCCGGAAGTGTGACAGGCAGTGCGTCGTCCATTCATCTGCGTCGCAGGAAATGTATCCGCAACCGAGGAACCAGAACGTGCACTCGTAGACGGGCAACATGATGTGTGCTGCGGGGCGCTCGAGGACGCCATTGTTATCCTCGAGGAGTGGTAGCCCCGGGAACTGGTCCGCTAGATTCGTGTTGAGGGAAGTTTCTGTGGGTGTAGCGTCTGTGTTTGCGTAGTGTGAGAGTAGGGAGGGTGGGTGTGTGGAGGGGCATGTGGAGGGGTTTGAATGGTGAATGCACAGCGCCATGGACGACGAGATGCTGCGGATCGACCGCGGGTATTCATTTGCACTGGGTGAAGAGGAAGGGAAGGGCACCAGGCCAAGGGGAAGGTCAAAGTGTACCAGTCGGGCGTGGATGTCGGGGTGTCGTACCCAGTCGTCGAGTTGTGGGGTTACGATGCGGTCGAGCCTGTCCGCGAGGGACATGGCGGGGCCCTGTGGCGCATGTGTGTCAGCCTTGCGGTCAGGATGTGAGTGGTACATGGACAGTGTACAGCCTCGTGGATGCGAGGCTGAGCACGACGGCGAGTCAGAACTTACTGGCGGTTCGCGACGTCGCGAGACTTTCGTGTGGCTCGAAGTTCGTATATGGACGCAGGGCTGAGCGTCGGTTTGTATCGATGGGATCATGAGCTGCTCACCATATCGACCGCGTTCTACGTGTTCAAACCTCTCCTATATATCCATCGCATGCACATACACGCGCGGAAGAATCTTACTTGGTGAACACACTCGCGCACTTGAGGCTCTGCGGTGATCGCGATACACTCTGACGTGTTGCACCTCTCCAAAATGCTTGCCCACCCACACCCTGTCCCCATCGATACGGACGAACAGTCGCGGCGCACCTCAGCCGTCGATACGTCCGGTATCAAGACCCGCCATGCAGGCCAAGATATTTGCATCATTAGCCCTGGGGGTTGCAAATACGAGTACGCGGGAACGCATAAGCGCGAACCCATTACGAGGTGTATCCCAGCATCGCCAACCACTCCCTGGTATGGAGGATGTGTTTGAAGTAGAGTGGTATATTAGTATCGAGTCCAGTCTCCCTGCGTTGTTAACATTTTTGCGCTCCCGTACGTCATGATGGCAGGTTGACTCCTCGAGATGCTCCTCCATCCTCGCAGCGAGCCAAGTATTAGCGAGGAACAACCACTGGTATGATGTCTTGGTTGTTTTCCAGCTTATGTTCTGCTGCAATTAGATCCGATACACTCGGCCTCGAGCAACGCCTGGTCTACTTGGAAGGTAGACCCAAAGAATACAGTGCGAACAGGCCTGGCCTGTCCTTTCCATGCGCGAACTCAAAGTCAGAAGGTGACCAGTCGTACATTGTCTGTCCTCAGGATTGTCTATCCTGAAACATGAGAGCCTGGCGTAAACCGTTTCATGAACGGCTGGCTGTCTTTCATCGTTTGCTTTTCGAGTTTCTCAACATCGTTTACTGCGACCTGCGAGACGGAATCGTCTGAACCATTCGCTTCTGCTACTTCGTGCTTCGTCGCAGATGGGCTTTCCCAACCCTCATAAAAACTGTGTTATTGACAACCATTGTGCGAGATACTTCGGGGGGAAGGCGGATATATGTGGTACGAAGACGGGAACTGCGAGCCTTGGAGAAAATGGAACAGGGGCTAGAAAGGGTGCAAGGTGGCTAAATCCAGGGTCCCTTGGACCAATGAGAGGCTTGTCGTATTCTCTGCATTTGCCAAAAGTCGGCGCCACGCATTACTTACCCTTTCGGAAAGATACTAATGAAGATTCAGACGGACGCGACATTCTCGAAATATTGCTGAGGAGAATTTTTGGGTAGCGATGGGTAAGTAATCTCGGCAAACGTTAAGACAATAAAGTTTAAATGCCGAACTGCACGTTTCGCCCCAATCGTGGCCCGCAATTATATCGCAAAGGTACCTGGCCCGCGGTCTCTGCTTCTACCTAATGAGAGAGAGAGAGGCTGATGGGTGATCGACACGGACTTCCCGAGCGCCACAAGAACATCGTACCACGTCGCTTAGATGAATGTAGGCGTCTAGAGAAGCTCAGGGATGCGGCTAGTGATGTTTCAAGCAGTGGGACAAGGGTACACGTCGTAAAAGCCACTGGAACATGGTGATTCGATGAGTTCTGCCGAATCCAATGAATCGTAGTCGACGTGGCAGGCCTACTGTTGGTGCCAAGCATTTGATGCAGAGAGAACCTACATCTTGGGTTTAACGTGCATACCGGTATACAGATGCAGATTGCCCCTGTGTCGTGGTACACTGTTTTGCTGGTTGCCTTGCCGTATTATTATAGAACGGGACACAGGCGGTGTGAAAGGGCGTGTGAAGATCGGAGCGCTCGTGCGAAGAACTAGTTGCACATCACCGCATTTCCGAGTTGAACCAGGCTACAGTCCTTGCCATTCCACGAGGCAACTAATCGTTGCCGCAAGACAATACGAGTCCGCCGACGAAGTGAGCCCCCGCAGTGAGCCCCTGTACCCTGCGTATGCCAAGTGTTGAGATTGAACAACACAAGGTAGATATTCCTGTGTCAACGGGGCCTACTGGTTGGACCACCGAATCCTACAACTGGATCGTCTTTGACGGAAAACGGTCCGCAAGGGGTCTGGTGAACCGGTTCTGAACTAGGCATGGTGTTGTCTGTGGTTCGTTGCCGTGGTCTGGGAATGTGGTTGTTCAATGATAAGACGATGAACTGCATAAGACGATTTCTGTCAATGTGCTCGACGCGTGGTTTCCCGCTGTCAAGTGTCAGTGTACAACCGCGGTGTAGGGATTACGGATAAGACGAGCCCAGGGCGTACAGACTACAATCAGCACACCTCTCAAGCACGAAGTCAGATGATCGAGGGTCAGAAAAGTCAGAAGATATAGGATGCATCACCTGCTGCAGTGAAGTGAAACTTTTCGAAAAAGCAAAGGATGGTTGACGTGATGCAACGACTTGATTGCTGTGGGTCTGATGAGATGACAGTGCAGAGGCGAATCGTCATCTGCAAAGAGACGCGCACAACTGTGCATCTGAAACACAATTGTGTAGTCGATATTAATAGAGAGCACGAAAGGCTATTTGTGTGATTGTAGGTAATCGCTTTGGCTGGGCGATACTGGCCGCCTTGTGGCATCATGCAGTACTTCCGACATGTAAGTGACAGGAGCTTAGCGACATTCAGGTCAGCAACTGATTGTGATACGTTGCGATTTCCCTACGCCTCAACTCGTATTGTGCTTGATAGTTGTCGCTATGGTTAATGTCTGGCTGCAGTAACGGCTCGGGCTCGGTACGAGACTCGATCCGTGCCAGTCTTAACCTGTCAAGCTATGGGCGACACGTTCCGAAGCAGACTCTCCCGTTCCTATAGCGCTTGAGCAATCCAATTGAAGAGGATTCGATCCTGTTTGGGTCTGCCCTGACAGGGGCGATGCAGTGCTGACAGACGGCAGGGCTCCAGATTGATAATGGCCTTGTGGGGACGGAATACAAGCTCTCCGGGGGGATTTCAGGCTGTCGTTGGGAGCCTGACTGAGGAATCAGAGATGACAGGCTGCGCACGAGCCCTCATTTCGCGTCCGTGAAGAACGTTTCGTGTTCGAGAGGGCTTGCCTAGCCGGATGCGTACGGAGCAGGTAAGCGTTCGACGACGTCAGACGTGTGGACCTGCCACGACGAAATTTTGTTATTGGCTGCTGGGGGCCTGTTGAGTTGGAGTGGATGCTGCAGAGAACGCAGGAACGAGGACGAGTTGAAGACTCTGAAGACGCGAAGGAAGTGCACAAGCAAGACCGCAGGTGGTGTGCGTGGTACAGTCCAGTGAAGGGGGGTCGAGTGAGCGGCGCCAACTTTCATGATAGGAGCCGCTCAGATCCTCTGCAGGTCGAGGAAAGGCGATGATGCGGATCTCCAATGACGCCCGGCGCCACGGCGCGAGCTTGACAGGGCCTGCAATCGATAATTTCAGACCGGCGCCGAAACGCGCGGAACCCGTATGTTGTGTCGACACGCGCTGTGTAAACAGCGTGAGGGCCGTTGTTGTGCTCGCGTCTTCGCAATAGCGACGCCGGACAGCATCGCCATGTCCACAACAGTGGAACAGGCGGCGCGGACCAAGGTCAATGACAGGGACAATGACGATGCGTCGAGCACGGCCCCGCCATGAGAATCGGTGTTGAGTCTGGCGGGCGTCGCAGCGATAAGTGCAGGCCTGCTCTGGGAAATGCACTAGCCCCTTAAGAAAACGGGATATCGAGCCAGCAAGCCAGCAAGCAAGCTCTTAGATGCAGCGCATCAACCCTCAAACTTCCCTCAGCTCCGCGCTGCTCCGTCCACTGCTTCCTTTCTCCTCGACTTTGCATCTGAACCTCGTTGCTTGTTGCTCTTCCCTGCCGCGCCTGCCCGCTGTTGTGCGCTCCTTCCCATCCTCGCACCAGCCGTGGTAGCTTCCCAGCCTGCCTGCGCCATCTGCGCCGTTGCGACTAACCCGTCGCTCTGCCACCCGCGCCTCTCCTTCAGCCTCTGTCTGTTCCATGTCGCCCCAGTAAACACCGCTCCGTCACCGCACGCTCGTTTCCGCTCCATCTTAATCGATAATCTCGTCGCCGCTGCTGCTTCCGGCGTTGGCCTATTGCGCCCGCTCGCACATAACGCGGCCCCGACAGCCAACTTTTTGGCTCCCGTCCTGCGCCTCCATCTCACCCCCCAACACCACCAACAACAACACTTAGGCCACCGTTCGATATGGCTCCCGCTGTCCCTAGACTGCGGATCCTGTCAGGTACGTCATTTCATGGCACACTGTCGCACTGTAATCGCGAGCAGGTCCCCCACACGTCCGCCATGCCCGCTCTACCCGCCATCTTTCATGTACAGGCAGCAGCGACAGCAGCAGTAATTTCTTTTTGTGCATTACATCACCATGCGCGCCAATGTTGATACGTCCCGTGACAACACGATGCTGACAACACACAGTGGGCGGAAACGCCGTCTCAGCCTTTCTATCGTGGCGGTTACAAGCGACAAACGCCTGCGATGTCACACTTGTGTGGAAGTCGGGATATGACAGCGTTGCTCAATACGGCATCTCCTTCAAGTACGACTTTGGCTCTCGATTACATGACAGCAGCTAACCGCGTTCCAGATCCGCGCTTTACGGCAACGAAAGGTTCAAGCCTCACTCTGGTACGTTCCGACTCTCCTGCTTCTGTGTGAGATGATGCTAACACCACGCCCAGTCGTTCGCACACCCGAAGATGCTGCCCATTCTTCCAAACAGCCTTTCGACTATGTTCTCCTCTGCGTCAAAGCCCTTCCCGATGTATACGATATCGCCAACATCATCGAGTCGGTCGTCTCTCCTCAGCACACGTGCATCCTTATGAATACCACACATAGCCTGGGTGTCGAATCATATCTGGAACAGCGTTTTCCTACCAATGTCGTGCTATCATTGGTATCTGGAGCAGAGATTTCGCAGATTGGAGCAAGCGAGTTTGAACACAAGGGGGCCACAGACATATGGGTCGGCCCTGCGAACAAAAACCCTTCCATCCCGGCTCAGATCCAGTCTGACATGGCAGAGGCTCTTGCCATGACATTGGGTTCAGGCCAAGTGGATTGCAAAGTTTCCACCAATATTCGACAACAGCAGTATGAGCGTATGATTGGGTAAGTCATGTGTCTCCCCATTCCATAACATTGTCTAATTCACCACAGTCCAATCGCGTTCCAACCGGCCAGTGTTCTCTTTGAAACACCTAACCACGCAGAGTTGATCCAAAAGGTCGGCGTTCGTGCCCTTATCACTGGTGTTATCGACGAACTCCTCATGCTCTCCCAAGCTCAGGGTTGCTCATTTCCCGCCGACTTCCGGGAAACAACAATCGATCAGATGACACAACATCAGGAGAGCAACAGTACTATGTGGATGGACTTCGAGGCTAAGCGCCCTATGGAGATCGAAACATATCTTGGATCTCCGTTGAAATTGGCACAAGAAGCCAACGTCCTGGTCCCACGGATCGAGACTCTTTATGCCACTCTCCATCATTTCAACATTGCGAACCGAAATCGACCAGCTGCCACCACAATGCCTCTACACTCGCAAAACGGACACCCGCCACCTCCAAGACTCTCATCGGCACCGCCTTCGCGAGGGCCTTCAGGTCCAGGCGGACCGGGACCCATGATGAATGGAAATGGCCCGATGAAGGGTGGACCTCGACCGGGAAGCCGTGCCCCATCCGTTAACGGAGGACCTCCTCAAATGCGCCGGGGACCTCCTCCAGGCCCAATGAATGGACCCCCTATGAACGGTGGGCCTATGAACGGGTTTCCCCCACGAATGCACAGCGGGCCTAACGGCCAGCGCCGCCCATCTCTCGAGGACAACACTCTGGAGGAATTCTCGCATCTCATGCTGTACGATGAAGCAGCCGAGGGTGGGGCCCCCAACGGTAGCAATGAGAGCGCTGGAAACTCATCCAACAACCTTGCTCTCCGAGAAAGGGAGCTTATGCTGAGGCAGCGGGAGCTCCAGCTCAGGGAGCAAGAGATGAACATGCGTCGCGGACCCATGCCTGGACCAGGACCTCGAGGTCGTCCCCCGCCACCCCAATCAATAGGTGGTTATGACGATGACGACGACGAAGATGACTTCTTTGACCCAATGGGCGGTCGTGCACCTGGGCCGCCGATTGATCCTGACAATTTTGACATGATGAGCGTCACGTCGCGTCGCAATCGCAAGGCCCCCAGCGCCAGCCAAATTCGCAACAATCCTGAATTGGCAGCATATGGTAGCGGCGGCTCGAACGGGCGGTCAAGGAACCCATTCTCGCGTCCTGGCATGAACAAAAACCGTACCAGCGCAAGAACAATGGCGGATGTTCCCGGCCTCCATGAATCCATCATGAACAACCCTCTCATGGGCTACTCGTCCAACCGATATGGGGACGTTGATCGTGGCGCCATGGGTGCGCAATCGAGAACCAACTCACTGACTGCAACGCGTCTAGATGAGATTCAAGGGAACGGGAGTTATGGTGGTGGTGCATATCCTTCAATGAGCCGCCGCACAAGTCAATCGCCCGGCAACCCTCTCAGCCCTGGCCCCAGACCAATGGGTCGTCCGTCGCCCCCGAACAGCTACGGTCCCAACATGATGCCTACGAACGGGATGCCTCCCAACGGAATGCTCCCCAACGGCCGTCCGTCGCCTCCTGGCATGAGGCAGCCCGTTCCAAGACATCCCCCGGGTCTCGGAAACGCAGTGGCACCACAACAAGTTGAACAACATGCCGGGGTGAGCACTCTTTATCCGCCCAAGTCTCGTCCTCAAGTTCGCAGTCTGACAGGAAGCGCCAGCGCTAGTTCTGAACCGCTGGATAGCACTGAAAACTCTGCGCACAGTAGCCAGAGTAGCCTGGGACCCCGTCCTGCAGTCGGCGTTCGGTAATAGAGGGGATTTGTACGATCACATTTGCGGCGACGGGCTTGGTATATGTTGTCACTTTGCATGGACACGCTCTTCGAATCGGCGATACTTTTGACGAAAAACTATCTTTGGGTTGGGAAGCCGGTGTATTCTCGACGGACCCATCTTTTCCTGACATTTGCTGTTGACAGCCGCTTTCGACTCATCTTTGGCTCTTCTTCCCAGCTTTCTTTTCAGCAAGACGTACACAGATGGGATCTTGTTACCGCCCGACAGGTGAATATCGGGGTCGGGCGGGCTTCATGAACAGCCAGGGGCTGGGTTGGGAAGCTTGTGGCGGATAATTAATGACGAACTTTAGAGCTTGGTCCTGAGAGGGCTTTTGCACGTAAACTAGCAGACTGTGTCAGGTTGTCACCTGGGGTTTCTTTTGTCTATATGGTATACATTGTAGACGCCCACTGCGGTGGTGGCGCTTTTTGCTCCTTCACCATACTGGCACCCGCTAATCATGGTTTCGCATGGGTGTCCAGAGGTGCTGGGGTCTCTTTGTTTTCTTTTCTGGGAGTTTGCGATACATACACATGTCTTTTTTGTTCTGTCTTTGATGGGCATATTTTGTTTTGTTGTTGCGATGCAGTAGTGGTCAAATCCCTCTTGTGCTGTTTTGTAATGTTCCTGGACTAACAACCATGTACTATTACTACCATCATATATTCATGATCTGGGGTGGGTGGTTTGGAGAAATCATAGGTGGTAGAATGTGTAGAGAATTCATTTTTCAACAGTTGGACAAGTACAGATTAGATTTCGCATGTAACTTTGTGCCTCGAATACAAAGTTAGCACGTCCAGCGTATCCCGGAGATTTTTTCAAATGCCAGACGCAAGCTGCGTTCGCGTGAGGCTGGAATTGCAACAAGACTGGAATGGATGCAACATCAAAGGTAGGCGCGTCATATTTTAGGGACATAAAGTACACAGCTTCTACACTAAATCTGTATGTGGTTGTCAAGATGGGTGTTGCAAGTTCTTCACTTCCGACAGGTACACTTGACCAGGAGGGGAGACGTAGCCACTGACGTCACGCGACCCAGTCTATGTGGAGACACGATACCAAGCTTTATTTTTCTGAGCACAAAAACGGCCAGCAAGACTACAGCAATGGTTGCTGCAAAAGAAGGAGGTCGGACGTACCCCAGTAATACTCAAGGCATAAAATTTGTACACAAACTTTGCACGCAGCTGTCAAGATGTTGCAAGATGTAGCCCAGAGATCGCCTCACGATGCGTTCTCTGGGGATGGCGCTAGTGTAGGGTAGTGCAACGCAGTGTTAAGCTTCCCCTCAAAAAGGCCTCTCGGTGCTCCAATTGCAAAGCACAGCGCCCTCTCTCGGACCTCAGGCTGACATGCAGGCGATTCCTGCAGAGGCAGAGCACCGGTAACTGAGTGTCGTTTGCAGCCTGACGGTTGCCCCTCGTTTGGTCATTCGCCGGTCCGACATCCACAAAGTGGGGTAGGCCATGGTCGGTGGACAGAATCGCAAGAGCAGCAGTCCACCTGCACCATTAAAAGCTCCGGGCTCGCCCAGCAGCCATGTCTCGGTCTCGACGTCTCCCCACTGTGCCACCACACATCCCCGCCCTGCTCTCGCGACCCACACAGCTGTCGGCATCTTGGTCGTCGCACTTGCGCTAGTCTCCCAGTTCTTCTTCACCCCCCACTTCCCTCGCAGCCTCCTAGACCACCTCGCACGAGACCACCCGCCTGTGCTCTCCGACGAGTCGCTCACCTGCCCGACGCCCACGCAGCACGTCGAGTTTGCCGGCACCTTCTACACCCACCCCGAACGCAGCATGGCACTCGCAGACCAGGCCAGGCGCGTCGCCGCCGAGTTCGACTTCAGCACCGATGCCGTGAACAAGGCCGTCAGCGAGTTCATCCGGGAGATGGGTACGCGTCAGAGGGCTCGCCGGACTAAGCAGACGCTGACAGTGTGCAGACGAGGGCCTGGTGAAGGAGGGCACTGAGCTGAGCCAGATCCCGACCTACGTCACCGCGGTCCCCAATGGCACCGAGAAGGTATGCAGCCGGCACGAGTGAGCACGAGCATGCGCGACTATGGCTGACTGTGCTGCAGGGGCTCTACATGGCCGTCGACCTGGGCGGCACAAACTTCCGCGTGTGCTCGATCCAATTGCACGGCGACACCACCTTCTCCCTCACCCAGTCAAAGGTCGCCATACCTCGCGAGCTCATGGTAGCCAAGACGTCCAAGGAGCTCTTCGCCTTCCTCGCCAAGCAGATCGAGCACTTCCTCAAGGCCCACCACGAGGACCACTACGCTGGGACACTGAAACGCAGGCAGACTGGAGGTGCCGCCGAGGAGATTTTCAACCTTGGCTTCACGTTCTCGTTCCCGGTGCAGCAAATTGGCATCAACAAGGGCATGCTCATGCGCTGGACGAAAGGCTTCGACATCCAGGATGCCATCGGCAAGGACGTCTGCGCCCTGTTGCAGACTGAGATTGACGAGCTGCATCTCCCCGTCAAGGTGGCTGCTCTGGTCAACGATACCGTAGGGACCCTCATGGCGCGCTCATACACGTCGCCTGGCAAGACCGGCACTCTGCTCGGCGCCATCTTCGGCACAGGCACCAACGGCGCCTACGTGGAGAAGCTGGACAAGGTCACCAAGCTCACAAAGAGCAAGGACGCTGGCGAGTTTGACAAGTCGACCGGCGAGATGATTGTCAACACCGAATGGGGCTCGTTCGACAACTCCCTGCGCACCCTCCCCAACAGCCCCTACGACATCGAACTCGACGAAAAGTCTGTCAACCCTGGCATCCAGATGTTCGAGAAGCGCGTGTCGGGCATGTTCCTCGGCGAACTTCTGCGCCTCGCCCTGGTCAAACTCGTCAAAGACCCCAAAGTCCCGCTCTTCCAAGACGACAACTCGGCCTCCAACGACGTCCACAGCACCACACAAATTCAAGATGGCAGCCCAATCTGGAAGCAATGGGGCATTGACACTAGCTTCCTGAGCACCTGTGCAGGCGACAGCAGCCCTGGCTACCGCATGCTGAGGCAGACGCTGGACAAGGAATACGACATCTCGGCCGTCAGCGCCGAAGACGCCGAAGCCGTGCGCGAGATCGCCGGCGCCATCGGCCGTCGCGCCGCGCGCCTCTCCGCCGTCGCCATCGCCGCCATCGTCATCAACACGGGCCGCCTGGACAAGAGCACACCCGGCACCGCGACGACGGAGCAGAAATCCGGCATCGACCCTCCCCGCGGGAACGTCGACGTCGCCGAGGAAGACATCATCGACGTTGGTGTCGACGGCAGTCTGGTCGAGTTCTACCCCGACTTCGAGGACCATATTCGTCAGGCCTTTAGGGAGATGCCGCAGATTGGCGAGCGGGGAGAGAAGAGGATCAGGATTGGTATTGCGAAGGATGGGTCTGGTGTTGGTGCTGCGTTGATCGCGCTGGTTGCTGGGAAGGTGGCGGCGCCTACTGAGGAGGATTAGATGGGTTGGTGTTGGGGTGTTGAGGGGATTTGCGATCTTGAGCCATATATGATGGAGATGATGGATATGAGAGATGAACTGTACTTGTCATGGTGTGTGTACATACAAGACCTGTCATCCCAGAAGTGGGAACTACAATATAAAAGCATATTCTTGTTATGGCAGAAAACTATTAAACTGCAACTGCTGGTGAGTATATTCTAATAACAGAGAGAGTGGCCTGAGCCATGACACCGACAGCACGAAAAAACTACCATGAACAACGCACAGATTCCATTATGTATCCGCCACACAATGCATCGCCTGCCTTCTTTGTCCACACACGCATCACATTTGCACTGGCCAAAAAAACCGCAAAAAAGAAACCGCCCGACCAGGGACTCGAACCCTGAGCCTTGAGATTAAAAGTCTCACGCGCTAACCAATCTGGAGAATGTGTTAATTGCCGTTGCCGAGCAATTGTAGGGGTAGGGGGAAAACTTACTGTGCCAGCCGGGCTGATTGAAGGGATTGATGGGAATATGATGAAAATATGGGTATATATACATTTGCGTATTGATGGAGAGGAGGGAAGATGGGTGAGAAGTGGAGTGTTTGGCGTGGTGGAGTCATGACGTTGTGTGTTTGTTTGTTGGGTTGGCGAAGGGCGGGGTGGGGTAGAGTGGAATGCATCACGTAGTGGCGTATTAGACTCATCCATTCCTCACTTCAAGCGACAGCCCAATGCAGCATCACACACACACGCACACACATATCAGATATAAGCGAAGATAGAGTCGTGTCAATTTGCTTAGTCCATTCTCCCCCCGGTAAGCTTCCCCCGGGCTAAAGTACAAGAACCATATCAAAGTCAAAACCACCTACGCCGTGCTTACATTTTTTCTTCGTCACAAAGCGAGAACCCCACCATCGAGAGATCTTGTCCCGCATTTTCGACATGGTTCCTCCATCGGCCCCGACTCAAGTCGTCGCTCGCCTAGTTGTCCATGTAGGTGCCAGAGTCGACACCCTCCTCGGGGAACTCAGGAAGCGACACCTCGAAGCGCTCCTCGATGGTCTTGAGGACTGCCTCGTCTTCGGGGCTGCTCACAAAGGAGATACTGAGACCCTTGGTTCCGAAACGACCAGCACGACCGACTCGGTGGAGGTATGAGTCCGCCTTGTCGGGCATGTCGTAGTTGATGGCGACGTTGATACGCTCAACATCAATACCACGGCCAAAGATATCAGTCGAGACGCAGATACGGGTCTGGAACTCCTTGAACTCCTTGTAGCGCTGGATACTACAAACTGTCAGCTACTGCATGTTGTTATCACAGGGTTGGGTGAACTTACCGTTCCGGCTGGCTGATACCAGAGTGGACAGCAGTGCTGGGGAAGTTGCACTCGCGGAGGAGCTTGTCGAGCTCGGTGCAGCGAAGGGTTGAACGGACGAAGATGATGACCTGGTTGAACTCGAGGGTGTCAAGAAGGTCGTTGAGCTTCCTGTTCTTCTCGCGCTCGTCGAGCTTCATGTAATATTGTTGAAGACCGTGGAGTGTCAGCGTCTTCTCGTCATCGACGTAGATCTCGAGAGGTGCCTGCATGAACTTCTTGCAGGTTTCGCGGATCTCCTTGGACAGCGTGGCTGAGAACATCATGACCTGCTTGTGAGCGGGCGTAGCGCGGAAGATGGCTTGCACATCATTGCGCATGTCTGGGAGAAGGTTAGACTTTGGTCCAAATCGCACTGCAAACAACTAACCAGGCTGATCCAGCATCTTGTCACACTCGTCCAAAACGAAGTGCTTCAGGTTGGAAAGGCGAAGATGCCTGTCGCGGACGAGGGCATTGATACGACCGGGTGTGCCGACAATGATGTGGGGGTGCGTGTCCTTGTTGCTGAGAAGTTCGATATCCTTCTGAACAGGAGTACCGCCGTAGAAGACACCGACCTTGACTTCGGGCAGGAACTTGGCGAAGCGGTTGTACTCGTTCCTGATCTGGTAGGCCAGTTCACGAGTGTGGCACATGACCAAGATGGTTGCGACGCCATTCTCTGGCTTCTCGTCGAGTTGTTGCAGGGTAGCAAGGACGAAGACGGCCGTTTTTCCGAGACCAGACTTGGCCTGGCAGATGACGTCGTTTCCGAGAATCGCCTGGGGGATGGTAACTTGCTGGACTGTAGGGCACAAATGCATGTCAGAATGGGGTCTTTAAAGCGGTCGAAACGAAGCGTGAGAAAAAGCGTCCGTCCATCTTGCGAAGTCGAGATCCTCCACCAAAACCAGCGAGCCGGGCTGGCCGCCATCCAAGCTACCCCATTTAGAGCCGCCTCTTGTGTCTGCGACGGGTGTGCTTTCGCCGAACCCAGTCGTCCTCGAGAGCCAAGCGGCCTCTCGGTGTACAGCGCCGGCGCGATCGCGATCATACACAATACGTGTGTCGAAAGTCGTGCGTGGCGGAAGGAGCCTGGGTCCCTCGCCACTTCGCTCGCGTACAGATAGACCATGGCCGCAAGACAGACGGCGCTCGTTGGAGATGGACAGACGCTTTCAGGTGGAACAAGGCTTGAGGGGAATAATTAGACTAACCCTCGGAAGGATGTTCGAAGCCACAGTCCGTGATTGCTCGCACGAGCTCGTCTTTCAGAAGGAAGTCGCGGAAGCCCGTGGAGTGGATGCCGACATAGCTGCCCTTCTTGTCGCCGACAGCGTCACCAGCGGTGAGGCCGCCCTTGGTCGCAGCAGCGCCGCCGTTCGCGGGCGCCTCGGTGGGCTGGATCTCCTCGTCGGAGTAGTCGATGAGGTCCTCCTCGTGAGACATGATGAATGGTTAGATGGCGGAGGTGAGGTGAGAGAGTTGTTGAGTTGGTAGCTGTGTCGCGCGTAAGGCTGGCGAACAAAGCGGCTGCAGTCGCGTCAAGTAGGCGAGCCGGGGTGAGGAGGGTCTACAGAGAGGAGGCAATTAGCGGACAATTCGTGAATACACGAAAGAACGCGATGATGGAGGTGACTGCTGCTGTTGCTGCTGCCGTGAGGTGCTGTTGAGAAGCTGGCCAGGGCGTAGAGACAAAAAGTCTGGGCATTGCGCTAAGAAAGTGGCCTGTGCGTCTAGCTCATGACGAAGAACGTTTGGGTGAGCCAGGACAGGAACATAATGGCCAGACTCTCGTCACCATCATCGCAATCACTGTCGGTCAGACTACGCACCATGGCCAAAGACAAACCCCCCAAAGCAAAAGGCATCCCAAACAAACATCTGCACGCGAGGACGACCTTTTTGTACCAAGCCGCTGCCTATCTGACACTGCAAACTGCGTCAAAGCATGCACAATCTGCCGCCAGTGACACTGAACATGCACATGGCACTGAGCAGACCAAGTCTCGTAGCCAAAACCATTCTCCTCTTGCTCTCCAGCTTGGCTCAGATCTCCATTCTGTATCACGCAAGGGCCAGCTTCGGCTCGCTGTTGACTTGAAGCGCTCCATGTGCAAGAGCTGCAACACCATCCTCATTCCCGGACGGACAGCCACCCAGCTCATCGAAAACCACAGCAAGAATGGCAAGAAGCCTTGGGCTGACGTATTGGTCATCGAGTGCAAACTCTGTGGCGGTAAGAAGAGACTGCCCATCGGCGCAAAGAGACAAGCAAAGAAGTCAGAACGGACAACTGCCAACGATATGGAGGGAGTGGAACACGCAATGCCCGCTCTCCAAGCTGGCCCCGATCAGACTTCTCTTTCTGGCTGATTTTCTTGCTTCTGTGTTATGCGTTCCAACTCGAAGCACATTGTTCGTCGTAGCTGGGGGTTTCAACAATCACCCTTCACGTCTACGAAACCTGAGCCTTATCATCGGCGAGTATTCTCAGTGTACCGGGGTGGCGAAGTCGACGATGGAGCGCAGAAAATGGGGGCTTACCCGTTCGATATGTTGAGCTCTGGTGTCGAAATTGCTCAGTCTCACTCCTCGGCGGTACATCACTTCCAGTTCAATCAACTTTGATACCCAGCCTTTACAGGACCTCTCATGAAACGGTCATAACGAGGCAAAACATCGACAAGTTTTGATGTTCTCCGCAAAGAACCAGAGCCTTCTGGCGCTGTTCGTAAGATGTTCATCGATGCCATCATTCGGACCTTTGGTGGGTAAACTCGCGAAATCTTGCGGCAATAGATGATAAGATCGAGTCCGAGGCGTAGACGAAAGCGAGGACTGGCTTGACTCATTCACTACGTACAACCCCCTTTGTAGTCTCCTGACTGTCGAACATGCATAAACGACTGTGGATGGATATGTGTGGAAGGAAACCCAGCCACCCGTTGGCGTCGTGCTTCCTCACGACAAAGCGGGAAGCAGGACGATATCAAGGTTCGAGCAGACATTCAGACATAAGATACCCAATTTTTCTGCATTACGATGGCGATTTTATGTGCAGTTGAGGGAGTTTTGCTTATGAAGATGCAGGGGCAACAAGCGCTACCATAACACGAGGTTGGTGGGTATCCGTAGCGCGGGGGGAACTCAGCCACGATCGGACGCGCACAGGGGTGACCCACTTTCCGCCAGTGTCCGCCGTGACAGAACGCGTAACACCAGTCGTTTGAGCTTGATGAAACAGCACCTGGTTGCTTGGAGTTGGGTTTCTTGCGCTCTTCCACTCACTTTCCAAAACCAGCAACGACTTGAGGTGTGAGCAACTTCAATTTTCGTCAACTACTTCTTGAAAGATTTAGATCACGCCTACGAAGTACTGCCCGTCGATATACACAGCCTCGCTCGTCAGATCAGCCCCTCGAACCGGGAACCTCGAATGTCAAAACCGTTACTCTGCGAATTCGCTCAGCTTACAAAGTCACGCCGACGATGCACACATTCCTTGCGCCCCGCGATCCGTTTACGGACGTAAAAACAACTCTTTCATCATGGGACAACTGCATGGCCAAAACATATTGCAAGTCAGTGCGCATCGTTTCTCGACAAGCCATATCACCATTTGCTCACATACTCCAGATGGCCCGTCATAGCCGTCATAATTATCGGCGGCCTCATTGCCCTCTCAGTAGTACTCTGCATCGCACGATGTATATGCTGTGGTGCTGAATGCGTATGCTGTTGTTTCCGATGCTGCGCCTGCTGTTGTGGCGGAGGTCGGAAACCGAGATCCGGACATCAACGCGTCGCGAGCGAACCAGCGCCCACATACCCCACGGGATACGCTGCAGCGCCGTATCCAGCAAATTCGCCTGCTGGGAACCCGTATGCACAAGCGCACGCTGCTGCTCCTCCGCCGCCGATGAATTTCTATCCCGTGGACAAGCAGTACCAAGCGCATGCCGCGCCCACGTTCAACCCACAGACAAACCCAGCATTCAACCCACAGACGAACCCAACATTCAATCCACAGACAAACCCGACATTTAACCCACAAACAAACCCAACATTCGCAACATTCGAAACCAACGAGTCGAGGAAACCAGTGAATGAGGATGCGCTGCCTCCAATGCCGAGCTGGGGCGAAGCGCGAAGTGTGCACGTGGAGGTCGAGGAGAGAGTTGTGCCGCAGAGGAGGGGGGACATGGAAATGGACCGACTGAACTACAACGGCAGCATAGCGAACAGCTCAACAGGGGGTGTAGCAGCAATGAACGCCAGCGCGAGACGAATTCCAGCACCGAGCCCAGGCCCAGGACCAATGTCCCCCGTATCCCCTCTACAGGAAAACTACAACCACGCTCCAGGATACTCAAACGACTCCCTCGTAAGCGCAATGCCGCAACAAAACACCCCAGACCAATACCACAGACCCTACCCCCAGCAGGACGACTACCACCGCCGCGGCTCCCCCGCCCACTCCGTATCCCCCCTCTACGGCGCACGCGAAGCCCACACGCAAAACGCGCAGAACTACACTCAAGACCCCTACAACCGCGAACCAGCATACATCCAACAGCCTCCCCCAGATCGCTATAACTCCCCCGCTCCCCCCTCTTACACAACAAACGACTACACCCAACAACAACAACAACCGCAGAGATCCCACACACCGGCCTACGCCTACCAACAACAACAACAGCAACCCCAACGCTCAAACACACCAGCCTACGCCTCCACAGCCTCGACTCTCTTCGAGCCCCCCTCCCCATCACACACACCTACACCTGCACCTACACCTGCGTCGGCATATCCAGGCCAACAGTCGTACCAGGCTTTCCGACCCGGGGGGGATGGCCAGCAGTATACGGGGGTTGTGAGGAAGGCGGTGGGGGGGTCGTATAGGGAGGTTTGATGGGAGGGTTTTCCTATGTCTTGGTTTGACTTTTGTGGGTTCAGGGCGTTATTTAGCGATGGTGTTTTTTTGGGCGGGGGTTTTTGGATTTTTTTTGAGGAGGGGGGGGAGGGGGATGGAGAGATTTACTTCATATATATTCGACTGACATGGTCGCTTTCGTGAACGAGAAAAGGGTTTTCTCGGCACAGAATAGATCGGGCCGATGTTTTACTTTCAATAACATCACGATATGCAATCAAGAATCGAAGTGATAATAAAGATGATGATGATATTCCATTGCCCCCCTTTTCCCATTCCCATTCCCAGTCCCTAACCCCACCCCCAAAACCCAGCCCATACTTCCCAGAAGCCAGCGATCACGATCAAAAGGCGCCAAGTGTCACTCTATCCAACCCTCCCCCTTCCTCTTCCCTCCAATCCCCCCCACACAAAAAAGACAGACCAGAAACAGACTTAGACCGACGGACAAAGCAAGGCCCTTACAAGGGGAATACGAATAAGTATAGGTATAGATAGGTATAGATGGATAGATAGGTATCATGCGCGGAACAAGAAAAGGTGTGGAAAATGCAGGATATGTATGCATGTATGTATATGTAAATGGCGATGACGATGATGATATGGATGTGAATGCCGATGCCGATGAACATGTGATGTGCGCGCTGGAAATGCGGGGAGATGGTGATGTGATGTGATGTGATGTGATGGCGTGGTATATAGCGTGGGGTAGATGGTGGGGGTGAGTGGTCAGTTCCACCAGGAACAAGGATGGGATGCTGTATCCACGGAGGCAGCGACGTGATAGTGGTGTACACTGTAGCAGATATACGAGCGCCAAGAAACGAAGCAGCGTGGGGAGCACAAAACTAGCGCTTCTCAAGCCATCTAGCGATTCTCCCCTTGTCGTTCGCGCCGGGGGCTTCAAGATGCGTGCTACGATCATACAGGTCCTGGTTTCACGTCAATTCCCATTCCATCACATCAACCCCTTAAAAGAAAAGTAAACTCACATCATCATCCTTGGAGATCTTGACATCCAAGATCAGATTCCGAACCTCTTCGCACTTGTGCCAAGTCGGATACGGCGTGCCCTGCGCGCGTTGCACGCCCACGATGACGTCGCCCATGATCTCGAATTTCTTCCAGTTGATGCGCTCCTTGCCCACGACGCCGCTGGGCGGCGCTTCTCGACTATCCCGACTACCCGGTGGGCCTTGGAATACGCTTACACCTGGATGTGGTGTCAGGGGTTGTGTGACTCTGCTCTTGTCGCCGAGGAACGTCGAGTTGCCCTCTGATGCTGACACGAGATCGCGGCGGTGGAGGGGGATGTAGGGGATGCGTTCGCCGGAGCTGTTTTCCCAGGCGAGGCGGTATGCGAAATGTGATTTTTGGGGGCCCATGAGGATGTCGAGTTTCATGAAGTCGTGGGTTGCAGCTTCGGGGACTAGATCGCGGGTTGCTATCAGGCGGTGGACTGCTGTCCCCTTGATGCCTGCGAGGACCGCACCGAGAGAGTTGTAGTTGTTTAGCTTGCGCAGTTGGCGTGCAATCTTCATCCATTTCTCCAACATGAGAGCTCGGTGTTTCGGCTTATCGCGTAGGAGAATGTAGTTTGTGACGAGGTAGGCGATGTGGTTGAAATGCTCCGTCATGCGTGTGACGTTCTCCAGATTCTTGCACCTCTTCTTTTCTTCTGCATTCAAACTGACATGGCGCACAAGATCTCGTGGTCGCATGGAAGAGAACATGATGCCATCGATACGCGTAAGCTCCCTTGCAATTGCTTCGTCAGTCTCGTTCATGAGCTGGTGCCATTGAATTTTAGAGAGTTGCTTGATTGGGTTTGGTTCCAACTGTTGAGCCAGTCGCTCGTTCCTTTCCACCTGGCTAAGCAGAGTCTGTGACAAGCCCATCGAACCAATCGTAGACTGTGTTGTTCTCGAGCCATCCGTCACACTACTGCGAGCAATGGAAAAGCGGTCGGATGAAGTGGACATGTGCCCCAGCGCTTTGGTAAACTCGTCGTCCTCGGAGTCCTCATCGAGTACGCTGTTGTGGAAGGATGGCGTTGGATCGTTGTGTGCGCGTTGTCGATCGCTGCACGCCCAGTCGGTGTCATCGTCCTCGGTGACCATCTCAAGGTCTCTGATGATTTCAGTCGCTGCTACTGAGTATTCGCGGCTCGCAGTCAACGTCATGGTGAATTTTCGGACGAGTCTGCGTGTTGTCGCGTAAGCAAAATCGCCGGGATAGTAGGCCACCCATTTCTGGAGAACAACAAGGTAACGTTGCTGTGCGATGATGCGGAACATTGGCAAGCACTTTTCTGAACTGTGAGCCTCGAAACGCTTCAGGATTGCTTCGAGCAGTTGGCCTGGTGTTGCGAATCTACGGTAGAGGGCGAGGAAGATGGCCACGAATTTGGTGTCGCTTTTGGACACGGGCTGCGCGAGCAGACGATCGACCAGCTGGTTGAATGTGTAGCCATTCTCGTCCGAGGGCTTGACCGAGACGAAGCTCTGGCCTGTGTCTGAGCCCTGATCGCCCGAGTCGTCCGAGTCGTAGCCAGGCGATTCGTCTGCGTTGAAGAACGTCTTGTTCGAGTCGCTGGGCAGGTAGCGGTGGCCCTTGACGTCGCCAGAGCCGCGCCTGTATCTCACAGAGATCTCGGAACTGGCCCGTTCGTGTTTTGGTGCCCACAGATCTTTCTGGTTGATGGACCGCACGGCCGAACTGTTGGCCCGCCGCCGGGCCATGGAGGCTTGCGAGCGGGGGCGTTTGGCCGCGATGGCAGCGCGTGTGATGGCGGACAGACAGGTCTGGTACGTGTCCAGCGCCGACTGCGATGTCTGGAACACGCCCACGTCGCCGAGGAAGGTCGTTGCCTTCTGGCCGACGACGGCGGGGTCGACTTCGCGGTGGGCGGGGTGCTGGTCGCACTTGCAGGCGACGAGGATGAAGGGCAGGCTGGTCTTGGACAGGATGTACAGCATCTCGGGCACCTTCTTGACCGACTCGTGGGTGGTGACGTCGTAGATGGTGACGGCGCCGTCGATGCGGGGGGTGGCCATGTCGTCGATGGTGTCGGGGAAGCGCAGCGTGTTGCGGTCGCCAATGTGCACGTCGTTGAAGTCGATCTCCAGCAGGCGCACCATGTAGGGCGCGTCGTCCAGCGCCCACTTGCGCGAACACATGGCCGAGGCCGTGGCGGCGGGCAGACCCAGGGCTCTGCGCACAAACGACGACTTGCCCGTGCCGCGCGCGCCCAGGACGGCGATGTTGATGTCCTGCACGGCTGGCCGCGAGTCGCTGCTGTCCGACTGGGGGCGCCTGCGTCAGTGCTCGCTCGGGCGGGGGGCAGGCGGGCGGGACTTACACTCGTCGAAGGCGACCGCTGGGCGGCCGCGTCGTGCTTGGCGCGTGAGGGCGAGAGGGGCCCCTCGGTGTTCTCGGAGCTCTCGGAGCCCTCCTCGTGGGTGTAGTCGACGGGCCCGGGCAGGGTGTAGCGCTGGAAGAAGGCGTCGTCGACAATCTCCTCGCCGTCGGGCTGCTCGTCGGCGCTGTCGGCGGGCATCTGCGGGACCGTGGGCACCGAGTAGGCGCGCGACTGCAGCCCGGGACGCGGCCCTGCGGCGCTCTTGAGGGACTGCATCGACTGCGCGCTCAGGGCCTTGTCGCTGCGCTTCGCGGGCGCCGTGTGCGACGTCGGCGTCTGGCCAGCAGCGCCTGCCGCCCGTGCTGTCGTGGGCATGGCCGCTCAGGCGGGCGCGTGTGCGTGTGCGTGTGCGTGTCGGTGACGGTGATGGCTTGGGCTTGGGCGGGCGGGTGACGGCAGGCTCCCAGACGCTGGTGCACGCGGGGCTCTGCTATCAGACATTGGGAGTCGCGGACCGGCCGGGGAGTCGCTGGGCGGTGCGGCGGGCAGACACGGGGCAGAGGGTGCGGGTGGCAGGTCGACGAGAGGCGTGGTGCTGGCCGTCACTCGAGCCTTCTACATGGCAGCCCCGAGCGTAGACATGTCGTTGGAGGAGCACCTCAACAGGGTCTAGTCACGCACCGTCCGTGCAGCCATGCAGCTGGGCAACCATCGACATCATTGTGAGCCCCGGGTCACGCAATCAGCCCTGAACACCCGCGCCCTGATTGGCCCACCCCTCAACAATACCAACCCCGACTCCTTCATCTCACCGCCCACCTCCCCGGGCCAGCTCAACAAAAAGGAAATGAGGAGACGCGACATGGCCTTTGGCATTGACATCGACATCGCTCGTCTACTCTCCACGCCCTCCACTCATTCTCCACAGACCCCCACAGCCCCCCTCCCAGCCTGCACAAGGCTGATTGTGAAACCCCAACCCTCACCACCCCCCACGTATGCCTAACATACACAGACCCCCACACCTCACGCTCTCAGCAAAGATCTGCCACAGAGAGCTTCTTCCCCGGAGAACTGGCATTCTTCTCCACGAGATAGCTCTCGATGGTCCGAAAGAGGTCAGCTTTGGCCAACTGAAACTCATCAGCCATCTCCCCTGACACATCTACCACATGTTGCATACCTTTGACCCATCCATCAAACCCTCCATCTTAGCGACCTTCTCAGTACGTCCAGGCGTTGCATCATCACGCCTATTCGAGTAATGGTCTTCGTTTCTGCCGCCCTGCTTGATGGCATCGATGTACGACATCTGAGCATCGAACGGATCATGCCATCCCTTAGATTGCTCTGACCCCGACCCAGAACCTTCGGCAGCTGCTTGCTTCTTCTTCTTCTTGGGCTTCTTCTTCTTTTTCTTGGGAGTCTCCGCTTGTCCGGGACCACACTGCGTTACAGGTGTCTGCATAGGCGTGTGGAAATCAGCAGCCGTAGATGAGGGCAATACTTGTGCTTCGGCATTAGACTGCATAGTGATGAGTCCTGCGGCAGACGTAGCATGAGACGAAATAGGTGCTCGTGACATATCTGAGGGTTATTGTGAGCAACGTACAAGATCAAGGGATAACAAAAGAACTGTACCTGACTGGCTGTTCACAGAGACCGCCTTTTCCGCCTGAGTCGACTTTGGTACGGTTGCATGGGTGGTAGAGTTTGCTTGGGAGCTCGTGTTGCAAGGTAGTGGTCTGTGTGTATGAAGGTTGAGACGCGGTACGGCAGGGATGGGTTTCTTGTTTTTCGGAAGAGTCTGTCGTTCATCTGCTTTCACCGTAGAGTCCAGGGAGGTCTGCTTGACCGGCGTGCCAGGCCGTTTAGAGGACTGTGCAACGCTCGAGGAGGGGCTGTGTAAAAAAGTGCTCTTCGTTGTGTTTACGGTTGTCGTGGGTTGAATGTCCGCCTTCTCAGTTACCGAGCCGATCTCCTTGGGGGGACTGGTAGTGATGCCGCCAATTTGCTTACCAGCGTCTCCATCATCACCTTTCGATTTTGCATCCTCTGCTACAATCTGCACACTCGCCTTGTCTCCAGGCTTCTTTGCATGAGCCTTCGTCTGACCAGTTGTTACGGTTTGAGCGTCCGACTCGGTTGGTCCAGGAACAGCAGCTGGAGGGAGATCCTTGCCTAGTTTCCCACTGACAATTCCTACGAGCTTCGTGGAAGCTAAGGCTTTCTCGGCTTTGACCTTCTCGACCTGCTCAGCCCTCTTCTTCCTCTCTTCTTTCTTCTTCTGCTCCTTTTCTCTCTGCCTCTGTGTCTTGTTAGGCTTTGCAAACGGGTGGAGAGATTGAGTATGCTGAATGCCGTTCTTCTTCATTGCTTCAGCAGATGGTTGTAGAGCAGACGTTTCTATCGGTTCCGTCTTGCCTTCGGGTATCACTGATTCTTTGGTGTTTGCTTCAGTCGTAGCATTCGTCGTGGAAAATGTGGAAACATCTTGGATAGTCTCGGAAGAATCACGAGTATTCTTCTCTTCTTTTGACTTCTCAAGGATCTTGGACAGACTCAGTATAGTCTCATGATCTGATGGCTCAATGCCAGAAGATGTCGACACAGTACTCTGGTTCACAGGCATCGCTTTGTGCTGATTCAGTTCTGAGTCTGGGAAATCTGATTGCGACTCGTGGGCAGAGTGAAAGCTCGTGTCGTGCTTCTGCTCATCGTCCGAGGCTGCATCTTCGAGCATATTGTGATCACTCGTGACGTGATGGGGCTGTTCGAACTGCTCGACTTTGACCTCAGCGGCTTTTGCTTCAGCAACTTCGACTCCAGCTACTTTGACTTCTGCGATCTTGGCTGCGACGACATTGACTTCGATATGGGGCTGCTTTACCGGCGCCGGCTCTTCGGTGAGCTGAGAAACAATCTTCACCGGAAGTGCAGCTAGCTCAGTGTCCGAGAGCTGGATACCTGGTAGTGCTTGTGGATCTACAACAAGGTTTTCGTTATTCGAAGGCTCTCGTTGTTTTAGATTCTCAGACGGCTTTTCGGCTACGACCTTCTCGACTTGGTCACCAAGGACGATTGATGCGTACGGCTCTTTGGCAGAGAGACTGTTGCTCATGGCCGGATATGATGTTTCTGCAACTGCGTCATGTCGCTGCTCAGTGCCTTGCACTTCGTCACTTGAAACCGTCAGTCCAGTGTCAGCTACGCTTGAGCTTCCGACGTGCGCATGTTCGGATTTCGATTTGACACATTCATTGATCTCTCTCGCAGGCGACGACGTCTGTATGGCAGTCGCTTTCTTTGTCGGAGAACTCTGACATTTGCTTGATTTCCTTGCCTCAGGGCTCCCGTTCAACAAGGCACAGTCTTGATCTGGCTGCCCAGATATCTTCTGCAAGCCGCTTCTAACATCCTGAGGAGAGTATATGAGGCGCCCGTTTGCTTTCGTTGAATCTTTCGCAGTGTTCTTCTCCGCAGAAGTAGACACCTGGACACCATTTCGAGTTGATCGGTCTCCAACATGGCCGACGTGCGACGGACCGCCGTAGTTGCTGGATACATGTGCAGCGACCAATAGTGATTCCTGTGTCCTCTGGTAAAAGCGTCGGGGAACTGTCACCGAAACTTGTTTTCCGCGGAGAAGACGGCCATTGTCAGGAATATTGAGCGCTTTCTTCGCTTCGTTTGACGAAGAGAACCTGTAGGTGTCAGAAATATCTTGATATTAACCTTTAAGACTTACGCAACAAAGGCACATGCATGTCCGCGTGGATTGTTCATGTTGGGCCTGATGTTCAGTTGGGCAGGGACCAGACCGACTGCGTTCTCAAACATGTGTTGGAGCTCAGGTTCAGAAACATCTTCGGGTAGATCTCCAACGAAGACCTCCGTAACGCTCTGGTTCTTAGGACCAATCCACCTCTGACCACAACCATACTCTGCGTCGTTTACGATATCTGGGTCGTCCTCTTGGGCTACTCGCGATTTCGGCTCCAAGTACCGATGTCCATTGTTGGATATGTTGCTGGGTCTATCCCCACCGTAGACGCCATATCCCGGACGATTGCCTAAAGCTGAAGACTTACGTGGTCCATTTGGCTGATTCGAGAAGCTCGGTTCTCGAGGCTTTTTACCTGCGTGGTTGCCAGACGCATTACTGAAAGACGGGTTGGTGCCGTTGTAGGGATCATAAAGCGCATTGGGATGGGACTGACTGTCGCGACGAGACATGGGCCCATACTGCGCTATGTACTGCGGGGCTACGTTCGTTGGATAATGCAGGTTGTTTGTCATGTCACCAAAGGACAGCACTCGGGAGCTCTGCGCGCCTTGAGGGTGATGTGGTACAGCGTGTGCCAATGGAGGAGTATGAATCGGTATATGATGATGAGACATCATGCCCTGTGGCATCATGCCAGGATGATATGGCGAGTGTGAAGGTACGGGCGGTGGCATTGCAGAATGATGATGAGCAAAGGGCGGCATCGCATGAAACGAACGCACCAAGTGTTGCCCTGTTTCCATATTGGCAACGACGAATTGAGGTGACTGCGCAGCAGAATATGACCCTGATTGCTGCCTATGGTAGGAACCGGAAGGCGTGCGTGGGTTGTTCTCGGTCCACCCACCTCGCAACGGGGGATGGTATGAACCGGACCCTCCATTACGGGACTCTGATCTGCCCTTGGAGACCTGCAGTGTTTGCTGATCCACATTGGGTGGCATTACAGAATGCTTATTCCTGTCGCCCCTTACTATGTGGTCAGTCGACTCGGCTTGGTAACCATTTGGTAGGCGCGGGCCATGAGCCTGTGTGCTGTGTGAAGAAGGTGGCTGGCGTGGCTGGATCGGCGGAGCGATTGATGTATGCACTATAGGCTCAACAGTAGATGATGGCGCTGTTGACACTGTCAGCCTGCGCGCTCGAGACCGAGACGTCTTGCGGTTATTCCTACTGGGTGCATTGCCAGGGGTCGTATCAGAGTGTTTTGACGTGTCTGCGACGACAGGTGGCGCATTATTCGCTGAGAGTACAAGAACAGACGCTTCGCCAACAGCCTGATGCTCCACGGTAGGAGGTGTCTGGGCGTGGTTTGTTGTAGGCATTGCCATCTCTGTCTTGCGCATCGTGATGATGTTGGTACGCATGATATGTAGAACATGCCAGAGGAACGTCCGTGGAAAAGTCTTGGTTTCTTGGTTGACAAACACTTTGTCGACGATGGCCAGATGATCTTCAGGGTCATAAAGCTTGCTCATATCGCCCCCAATCAGAGACAGCTGGTTTTGATGCGTCTTGGAACAATCATGCGCGTAGTCCTTTGCAAGATGGTAGTTCTCCTGTGCAATGAATTTCAATACTTGTTCGCAGAAACCACGAGTGTCGATGTGAATATCGGTGTCGTCCCACAGGTCGTTAATGGTCCAGCCGCAGTCTGGGAAGATGCAGAGACTGAAGAAACGGTACTTATGACGCCACATGCCAGCAGCTTGCACCACTCCCTGCACGTTATTGCTACGAACAGTGACTGGCGGAAACGGTGCACCTGCTGGAACCGGGCGTGGGGCTCGATTGCCTAGATGCGTTGAGAACATGGCGCTACCACAGGGTCTGAGTAGCTCAGGGCATGCAGCTCCATTCTGCATTGGTACGACCGTCGTCTCGTTCAACCTGGCAGGTTGAGAAAACAAAGGGTCTGGGTTGATGGTTGTGGAATTGCTTGTCGTGGGCCCCGAAACTAACGAGACTGCTTCAGCCATGTTGAAGATGTGCTGCCAACGGTTCTCGTCGACAAGGAAGGCACGAGTGTGCGCAACCACTGTAGCAGAGCAGGTGGGCCACACGAACATTGGCAGGAGACGTGAAGCCGTGCAACGCCGCAACTCCGGTGGAATGAGAGTAAGAAAGTAATGAAGAGGAGAGTGGGCGAGAGTTTGGGCGAGAGAACGCAATTGAGGTGTCGTGGTACTCTAGAGGGAAGCTGCGCTCCTTGGCAGACCCACAGTGAAAGAGTGAGAAGTGATAGTGAAGGCAACCAACAGCCGAGGATTGCGACTAACAATACACTGAGTTGCATCAAGGTCGTCAAACTATGAATTTGCAGGTTGAATTGTTATCGTTTCGGGTGCTCTTACAGATACAACGATAAGGAACACACGATGCACTGACACTTTACCTGCAACAAAGGATATCTGGATATAGGAGACAAGGAAAACAAAACGTGAACATAACGCATATAACAATAAGACGGAAGTACCTTGAGGGATGTGTTTTACGTAGGTATCCTATCGGTTTTGTAGCTACCCGTCGCCTGGCGGCATGTTTGCTTCAACAAATTTTGTAGCGGTGAAGCTGTGCCGCCGAATTTGTAAACAAGTTGGCCATAAAAGTACAGTGACATCGGACTAGAAGTGAGTGGGGAATATGATGCACATGCGTCTTTTTCTCATAATCATGTCTTGCTGCCTTCCTTGGAGACTGAACTCAAGAGGCTCAAGATCTCAGACTCATTCGCCCCAACAACTGTGTGCATTAGCAACCCGCGACTAAAGAAACTTGGAATACTGATGCAGACATACTTGCTTTGCCTTGGTTCCAATCCACCACCTGGAGGCATTAGTCACTGTAATCAAGCCTATCGCGGGCTACACTTACTACCGGCCGCTGGAAGACATTGCCGTCCGCTTTCAGTCGCCTCAACGCATCCGACTCGTTTTCTGCGCCATCGACAACCTTTCCTGCCGCACCAGTCCCTCCCAGATACTCCAAGATGTTCTTAAGCTGATCACCTGTCGGTGGGGCTTCTGTCACGTCAAGCTCGAACTCTGGTTTCTGCGACTTGTTCTGTGCCTCGTGGGAGCTAGCCTGGTCTTCGGTTGCGTGGGCAACAGATTGCGCATTCTGTTGCTTGAGAAGAGTAAGAACTCGAGTCGATGCCTGGCTGGAGGGCTTGTGGAAGAGGGTGACTACGTTCTTCGCGCCGTGCTGTTGAAAGCAGTCAGCGAGGGAAATCAATAAGCAACTAATGGGAGACTACCTCTCCAAAGAATCGTTTGAACATGGTCACTGAAAGTAGGAAGTGGAGTTGCTTGATGACTATTGAAGATGGAGCTCTGGTAGCTTCGACGATGTGAGGTAGAGTCTGACGTAGATCGCGCTCGCTTGTTCGCCTTGGCCAGAGCTTGTGCCTGAGGCGCCGATTGACCAACCCGATCTGCGAACGACAGCTTCAGCTGGGGCGGACATTGCGGGGATTAATTTGCATATGCAGCTCGCGGCGTGAATCACTAAAGCAAGCAAAGTGGCAGGGATTTCAAGTGAAGACGGATTGACAAGACAAAAATGCACGACGTGAGAACAGAGTTCGAGACACAAGCCGATAGATTCGTGATGCAGCCGTGCAAAAAGCCGAATGTACATGTACGCCATGAATATGCCCCCATCATCCCAAAGTGCGGGATCTCGTTGCTGCGAGTGTACGTGCCGTAGCAACGTCCATCTCATCCGCGGTTCCCGCTCTCTCTGATCCAGAGTCATAGCCATCCCCCGGAAACCTAATCCATGACAAAAATCCTTAGCTCGTCGTGCTCGTTCCCAACACGTTCCTGTTACGGAGTTGCTTATGCGGTTGGGTTGGGGTTCATCTGCACTCAAGTCAGCGCCTGCAGTTTCGGCATTCCATCGTCTTTACGAACCTTCCTCTTGCCACCGGTCATGGTGACGTTCACGAAGCGGCGGGTGTAAGTGAGCCTCTTCTTGGCGCGGCCCTTGGGGGTCTTCTTCTTCTCCTGGGGCTCAACCTATTTGCCACTTTGTCAGCCTCCATTCCTTCACGTTCGTGCGTTGCGAACGCTGTGCAGTGTATCCATCTCCGGTTGGTGAAGATCGGGTTGTTCATTGCGGGGACTCGCGAGGTTTCGTCGAAGGGGCAAGTGCGCTTACCTTGGCTGGGAGATGTTAGCGACCTCACAACTCAGTCTAGGAATGGGTTGTACATACGGGTCTGAGACTTGACCTTTCCGGCACGAGCGAGGGAACCGTGGACCTTTCCCATATTTGCGGTTGATGGGTTTGATGAAAAGTGTTGTTAGTTCTGCGTGGCAAAGTCCTGTCAGCGATTTTCCTCGGCAGGTTCGACGTGCAGAACGCGAAGTTTGGCGGCGCAGAAATGCGAGATGTTGCGGGCGGATGCGTAGGGATAGGGTACGTACAGGTCGGAGATGCGGTCGAGGTTGTCGTTGACTGGGCGGCGGCGGCGATGAGCAGTTGAGTCGAATTTGGCGCTGTGCTGCTAACCGAGGTCACATGACTCTGGGGGCTTGGCACGCATGTCTATCAGATAAGATGAACACAGCGATGCAGACAGCAAGGCTGACAGAGACATCACACTTCACGCCACAGATCCAACACTCAATTTCTAGAGCATGTTGAGTGCACAGGATTTCCGAGTTTTTCGCAGTCCTAAGATGTCCAACTACATGCTTGTTGCACAGGGCCAGTCAGCGTCAGTCTTGGCTGGGGGTGTTTGGACCCTATGATGCGCGTTCGCCGCCTGTTCTGTTTACCTCGCCCAAGCTTCTTTGTTTGCTGTAACTCGAACACCCTACTGACAGCTCACCGGTGCCAGAAGTCATCACCTCGATTTGCTCACCTCGAAGTAATTGATACTCACGTCTAGACAACATGTATCTCTCAGGCGCACTCCTGTCCCTTATCTCCTTGACCTCGGCGTCAAATCTGCCATCACCAGAGCGCCTCCTCACGAACCCTGACCTCAAACACGAGGGCGGCTACAAGATTCCTACCGTCCACGAATCTGCAGTGCAGGCGCGTCGCATCCTTCGCCTCGAGAGCATCGGCACGCTTTCGACCGTGTTTCCCTCTACTCACACCACCGAGCAACGACCCTCCGATGTTGGAGGTGTACCAATCGGACTGATGGACTATTTTGGGGACTGTGAGCCCGAGACTGGGAATCCTACCATTCTTGCCATCTCAATCGCGACCTCCTTCAAGAACGTGGATGCTGGGTCAAACATCACTCTCTCGCTGCGTTGGCACCCTCAGGACGACAAGTGGCGCAGTCCTGCGTCGTTGCCGCGTTTCTCCCTGGTCGGCCGCCTTGAGGAGCTGAACAGCGCTGACCTTGAAGCGGCTGGAGTGGCAGCATGCTATGTGAAGTACCACCCAGATGCCGCCTGGTGGTTACCTGGTAATCCCATCCACCAAAGCAAGTGGGTGAGATTGATAGTAGAAGAGGTTTATTGGATTGGAGGATTTGGAGACCGCGCATACATTGGCTGGATCCCCCGAGAGGAATGGCAGAGCGTAACGCCCAAGGAAATTGACAGCTGCAAGCTACCTGGTGAGAAGAAGCATGGATGGAGTGGGTTGAAGTCGTGGTTGGGACTTGGCTCAAAGGAAGAGCAGGAGGCCTTCGAGTTGTGAGCTACCCGCCGGTCGAACGTGGGCGTTGTGGAGACTCGAGACTTGCCTTACGCCATGGACGTGCTACTCTTCCGACGTGAGGCGTATTCAGACACCTCGTTCCCTTGCGCCAACTAGGTTTTAGGTTCCAATACGGAACGTTGGAGGTGGCGCCTGTAGGTTTTCGTGTTGAAATGATTTGATGTATGCATGAGGTAGCGGAGAACTATGCCGAGCACTAGCTATTGCGCGTCGTCAAAGCCTTCCTTACGAATCTTGTAACACATGCAGATAGCTAACACCGTTATTGGTCCCTCGACATTCGTGCTTAGTATTCTGTCATTGCAAGTGTCACTCTTGCCCCGGCAATCAATTGCGGGCAATCTCTAGGGCAGGCTATTCGAAGCCATGTCGTCAAATTGACAGCTGTACCCCCACCACAAATTACGAGTTGTGAAGCTATAGTATGCGTCCAAGCGCACATTACCACGATATGGCGTACTCCCGGGTACCAGAATCCCGTCTCCGTCCATCAATGGATGCCCGTCATCGCAGGTGACGAGTTTCAAAACCCCACAGTAGCAAACCTTACGCTCCAAGCGAAGCGCCTCATCTCTTCCCGCCTGCAAGCCTCATCTTCCATCACTACTGGCCTCCTGGCATCATCCTCGCGCGCGACTCTACGCGAAGTCGCACCTAACACGCGATGCCTGCCTCACCCGCTAAGCGACCCAGACATCCTCGCGCCCCAAACCCATGACTGGATTGACAATCGCAAGCGCACTTTTGATAGCGCCGGAGGTCAACACCCGTGGACTCTCCACCGAATTTGTCCACACGATTCAATTGCCGTTGCATGTCGGGGCGATCCCAGGCCGCGACAGCCCAGGGTCTGCCTGCGACGTCGCCTACGCACCTAGCTCCCACATCTTGTCTCCGATGATGCTGCGTGTCCAGAGGCGCTCACATCGGTTGTTGTTGGCGTAGTGGTTGCAGGCATGCTCGTAGAGCGCGCAGCAGACATTCGATATCTCGCAACGCTTCGCGAGGACTCAGTCGTGGCACTCACCCGCAGCTCCACACCCGCAGTGTCAACGCCCACATGGAACGCAAGTCTCCGTGTCGATCATAGCTCCCCAGAGGAAACTATAGCGCGCCCGGCGTTCGGCCCAGAGTATGGCCGGTGACTTAGATATGCGACAGCCGTCGTGCAGCAGGTGCCCTAGTCCCTGAAAACACGTTGCGCATGTCGGGCACTGGCGTGCGAGTGCGAAGAAGAGCGAAGGGCAAGTTCCGTGAAAACTGGCTTCGAGAAGGTGCCTGTCCAGGGATGGACGTTGTAGTACACCGTGGAAGTCATGGTCTGTTTCGAAATCGCTCGACCGAGCGTAGGTATCTGAAGGCGTGAAAACCGGATCGCAACCGGAGAAGTAGGAGAGTTGTTTCCTGGCAGATGTACCTCGAGCGAGCGGTAGTATGTAAGCACACTGCGGGAGGGAAAGATCGCTGCTGATCCGGTCTGTGTGCCGCTAAACGAATGGCTGATGTCACAAAAAGATACCCGTCTCTCGGGACAGTGTTAGTTTCTACTGATTGACGGCACAATCATACGATGTCTCCAGCAGCAAGGGGTGTTTTCCCCTGGGTACCAGAGTACTACAACGTGACCCTTTCGGCGACTTCCTTAATGGCGCCACTCAGGTACCTAGGTACATCAATTTACCTTTGAAGATCCGAACGTGCAGGCACGAACCGCAGCCCCAGCGGGAACATGTCCTACACCCGTCCGTCAAACACAACCCTTTCCCCCCGAAACTTAATGCACTGTGATTCCCCTCAACGGCACTTGCTTTTTTTGTTAATTCTTTCTTTCCTTCCCACCTTCAGGGTGCACTGCACATAGAGCAAAGCTAGCCGACGGCGGAAAGAAAACAAGCCATGGCTAACCAGTATCCAAAAGCAAGCTCCATATTTTATTTTTGCGGGCTACGGTTTCTCGTTGAGCCATATCGTCCTATTCCGTGCATCGCCCCCCCGTGTGGGAGCGACGCGTTTTGCTTTTTCACGCTTCCTGCCGCGCCCGCGAAATCTAATCTCAACGTCTTGTCCGCTTTGGCTGGACGGGGATCGATTCTGATTCGCGATTGCTGAGGAACCGTTGACGCGGGACAGTAGCGCAGAGCGTCCCAATGTGGTAAAAATGACGACCCGTTGTCTTTGGCCCAACTGAAGATGATACTCGTTCTTTGTGACATGAAATATTAAAAGCTAGGACCGTGAGCAGATTAGCAACGAATCAATGAATAGACCTATGTGATATGCTCCTCCATCACACCGTGGCTGACTGTGTGAGACAGTCGGAGACGCTGCCGGGCAGAAAAACGAAGCTGGCGTCTTCATGTTGGAGAGTTTACAGAAATTTGTACGAAATGACGGTTGGTGGAGCGGCGAAGAGCGACGGGAGGCATAATGTTCTGGATGAGGATCGGCCTGCAGGATGATCGTCTCAGAGTGCTTACCTATTGCGGCGTGGTGGACGAAGGAAGCAATATGTGAAGCACTGTATCACCCAAACCGATATTTCGTAGGTTCTCCTATCGTACTGGTCCTGGAGCTCTTGGTGTGGCGTTTTGGGATATGCGTATCGACACACCTCAGAGCAAACCCAAAATACCACGGTAACTAAGATTCATCCCATCCGGGTAATACCGATAGTGCTGCTCAAAAGGCTGCATTGAGACATGTTCCAATAGTGACATTGACATAGTAACGAAGGAATCCTAGTATTAGGAGCAGAGTTTGTGTTAATCAGGCGAACAATGGCATGATTCCCGTGGATCATAAATGCATCATGGTAGTCCTGGACTTTATCAAGTAGGATATCCTTGCGCAGTGGAGTTTACAAGCCGTTCGCATTCTTTTCGGCAGTTACTTCACCAAAGCAGCGGTGAAGCGGAATCAGACGACAAACTCGTTATATCCACCATGCCTATATCGTCTTATATTGTCATGCGACGAGCGCGGATACGAGCTCGGGAGATGCGCAGGGTCTCTGGAGAGCCCCAGGTATGCCAAACATCTACGTGACGTGGAAGGACCACGAAGCAAGGTCAATTGGAGAGCAGACGGCCCGTAAGATGATGGAAACTACCGAGAGCAAATGAGAATTTGCGACGTGACAAGTCGCGCATGGATAATCCATCGTCGAGGATGATTGCGCTTGAATCATGGAGATGCGACTATCCATTTCGGTCCTGACATGTCGCGTTTCCACTAAGGTTAGCAACACAGACACCGATACGAACAACAACAATCAAAGCTCACCTCACCGCTTCATATCAAAACAGCAGACAACAGGGATGCACCAAGAAATGCGTTTGAGGAGGTTGATGTGATGATCTCTTTTGACATTTGTCCAAGCCTCGAATGCTTAAGCATTGTCTTTACTATGATACATAGAAATGAACCCAACTTCATCGCAACGGTTCCAACCGAGATATCCTGAGCTCTTCACGAGCACTGCTGCCAATGCAGCTTCATTCCGACGATAATAGACGTACAAGATCGCAACCTCATGGCGATGAAAAGAACATATGTAAAACGCCGGTGAAATGCAGAGAGAAATTTAGCGCCATGTCCGGCAACGCCAATAGGAAAGCCGCCCAGATGGTGTCAGAGGGCGATATATGCCACAACGAACACATGCGGCCGTCGTATACCAATACAAATTACTTGCAGATACACGCAGCGATGATCAGACGATGAGTAGTCGAGAATAAGTTTTAAATCGTTATGTCGTAATGGTGGTACTTGTCGCGGCGTGGCAGCCGCGTTCGTGTCGTTTCATGTTACTCCGTACACTGAAAGCCTTGCCGCATCCAGACTGGGGGCATTTGTAGGGCTTCTCCCCTGTGTGGCTATGGCTGTGAATGCGCAGGCTACTTGGACGTGAGAAGGCCTTGTTGCAGGTGGAGCAGATGTAACGATCTTGAGATTGTGGAAATGCGGACTGGCTGGATGTGCTGATGTAGTGGTGGTGTTGCCATGGATTCGACCCGTTCGCCGACGGGGTTGGTACAGGGACAGGCAGCGGCATTGTGGGCTGATAGTTGGAAGGCAGTGGTCGTTGCGCATACAGACCGTTATATGAGTGTTGCTCTGGCGAGTAGAATGATGTTGTTGAAGCAGCCCCTGGGGAAGAGAGGTAGGGAGACTGCGCGTACATGGAACTGCCGTAGGGTGACATGGAGTGCGACGGTAGTGAATCCCGTTTCATGGATAGAGGCATTGATGAGATGGATTGCCGCTGGTGGTGGGGCTCCATGTTGTTGAGAGAGCCGCCCATGAAGTAGGGCGTTGACGCGGCAGAGTGGGTTGAGATGGTAGAAGGCGACTGGTTGCCGTCGCCAGTAGCATCTGGGTGCATTGGTGGCGTGGGGGGCAGAGTCATCCTGGAGGTGTTGAGGAGTGTGGGTGCGTGAGAGTAAGTATTTGGCTGCTCAACACGACTTGTTGGTAGTTGCTGGGGTTGCTGCATGGCTCCTGCGCCTCTGTGCTGGGCCTGCCGTATCTGCGGCGAGGTCGAGTGCCGTTGTGAGCGGGGACTCTGGCCAGCTGCCGTGGTTGTTAGTGTTACTGTCGATGGGGAAGGAGCACGGGAGGGTAATTACCTGTTTCGGACGCAGCCTTTTCACCACCAGCAAATTCCAGGAGGGCCGAGATGGAGGGCAGCGAGGGCTTCTGCTCCTCTGCGGGCGGCGAGGGCGGCGACTGGGGGCGTTGTCGCTGCTGGTGGTGGTAGTCGTCCAGTGCTGTGTAGGCGGGCGTCGAGACGGGATAGGCGCGAGGCTGTGTGTGCTGGTAGTAGACGGGGTGTGCGGGTTGCTGGAAGACGTCGCGCTCTCGTACGCTGCCGTGTACCATACTGGCAAGATGCATTGCCATGGAGAAGGGAAGAGTCACGGGTCACGACAGGGCGGGCTGCGTAACAGATGGGTGAGGTGGAGGGGAGTGAGCAAGCGATGACGAGATGGCAAACGGAGTCGAGAGGGACAGATACAGGCAGATGTAGTGCGCCAGGACGTCGGGCCTGCAGCGTTCAAGTACGATGAGCGGTTGGCGAGATTCAGCACGAAGCCCGTTCGCTCGTAGCGGCGTCAGTGAGGAGCCCGTGGTGACCAAACCGTTGCCAGCGGGGTGGGTCAGACAGCGGTCGAGGGGGCCCCAGCGTGTCGTTCCCTGTCCAAATTGCGATTAAGTCGTCGTCGAGGCGGCGGACCGTTGTGACAAGCAGCCAGCCCCCGAATCCAGCTCGCAGCCCTGCAACGGTGAACGACCAAGCCTCAAGGTGATGCCTTCGCCGAGCGATCCGCCCACACACCCCAGCCAGCCAATCTACGCTGCGCCGGGGGACGGCCTCTTCTGGGACGGAGGCACTCGAGGCGTGACCGGGGCCCTTGCACGCTCCTAGGACAGGCCACAATGCACTGCAGATCGACCCGTCCAGGAGAAAGCTAACGAGAATCGCTCGAGGACCTTGACGGCGGATACACACTGCCGACACTGACAGGTCTACCTACTCGAGTGCGCTGATGCCTATTTGTCCACTATCCCAGGCGCATCGATCCTCACCCAATGTCACGTTACCGCGCCAGGCACCTGTGTGTCTGGCGGCGAGGCCAAATCCAACGTCGTCTTCTTCAGGTGGGAAGATGCACCTGCTAGACGACTTCAACGGCTGCTGGACGACACCAGATGTGCAAAACACCCGGCGCGGTTGGTGGAGGTAGGGGTACTCCTGCACGTCCGCCCGGCGAGAAAAAGGATCGACGACAGGCCCGCGAGCGCTTGCTGCAGTCTGCACCGTGGTGACTTCGAGAGAATGAGACTTGTATCGGAGCGGAGCGGGTCCTCGGACGACGCTGTTGTGATTAAGGCTTCGAATTCGCGGTGAGCATATCCTCTCTCTCCGCCTCGTCCAGGAGTCAGGACTGGAGCGGCAGCAAATTCAAAGCTCCGAGACACGTACGGAAAGGCTGACGAATTGCGCAGGGGGCAGGCGGCCAGGACAGGGCTGGGATTCACAAATGGGCAAACATGAGACAGGACGAGCCAGCGGCCATTTTGCTAACTACTCCCTTTAAACATCGCATCGCCTAGACACAAGCGGCCGGATAGTTGCGCCGCCCAGAAAGTTGACTAAAACATGGCTACATCGTCCCGCAAAGTGCGATGTGTGATCGGACGGGTGTCGTGGGCAAGCGAGCATAGCGCCACGACTTGCAAAAGCCACTTAATGCTATCATCGCTGGCGTCAAGCCATCCTCACCCTGGCGTCGACCTTAATTCGACTAACCGCTCCGTGGCACATGAAAGCGAGGTGCGCATCATCGATTAGAGAGGTTTGATCGGATATGATACATGGTTGCAGCCGCGTACGAAGCGAGGCACCTCTTTGCGCGGCATGTCTCTACTATTTTTGTTGTAGAATCCTGTGTTCCCGAGAGCAATACTGTGACAGCCTGCATCACAACGTGTCCCAACCTTGACTCGCCTTCCGACAGCCTTGTGCTTCGTCAGAATTTCGCCCATTTCCCGAGCAATCATTCGGCATCATCCTTGATCAGCAGGTACTCACCGCACGTCGACGTCCACGGTAACTCCCACCGCTAGCTTGTAGGCCGTGTGCTTGTCTCAGTTTCAGCGCAAGGCAAGCGCGGGAAAGCTGCGAGCAACGGCTGAACGGCTCATACCTCTTTCAGCAACCTCTCCGGCCCCCCGTACGCGAAGCATATCTGACGCCACGAGGGGCGGATGGCGGCGTCTTGGCCTTGTTCGTTCGTGGCGGATCTCAGACAAAGAGGTCGTCGATCAGCACAAGCGCATGCAATGAAACCCTGAAGCCACGTTCGGCTGCTATCATCATCTACACTCTGCAACCGATCCCGTAGCCCAACCACAACCCTCTACAACACATATTTGCAAGTGGCTTCTGGAAGCATAGGTACCGCAGCAGCACCATCTTCTGGTCCACAGCGACACGCATGACAGACTGAAAAAGACATGCATCCGACTATTGCCTGTGTGAGTGAGTTGCCAATCAGGGGAGGACTGTACATCTACCGAAGGCCCGTCTGCGGCGGCGGCTCGCAGGTGCCCCGTACTTCTTGAGTTGGACTTGACTTTCGTCTTGACAGCGGAAACGCCGCATGCAACCAAGCGCACATTGTGTCACGTCATTGCTTTCCCCGATTATCAGGAGAATGATCGTGCTGCACATAGTATGCGAGTGGCTCTGCCTTGTTCTCGTACAATGAAAACCTCGCTTGTTGTCGCGGCGTACAGGATTGTCGCAAGAGGGCACGGACGATCTGGGAGATGAGCAACCAGGGTTTCTGTTTGATGGAAAATCTACCTCCTTGGGTATGGCTGGCAATTGCGCGATTCGCGGAGTACTCACCAACGCGCTGGATCTTGCGTCTGCAGTGGATGGTGAGTTGCCCGAGCATCGGGGGATACTGAGTCGTCTTCGGCACTACCAAGTCGATGCTTCGTATCTCGTATCCCACTTTTGCACCTACGAATGTCGGCTGTAGTAACATTGCAAGCTCGTTGATAATCTTAACAACCCACAACTCTCTTATTCGAACGCAATTTTTTATCTGGCAGGGAAGTGTGCATGATTTCCCGGGAATGCTTCCTATGATTGCAGCTTGCGTGGGATAAGCAGGGACACAGACGCACATGGACCGCACATTGACCCGCTTTGTGTGGGACACTCTTACAAGAGGCTTTGTGCCATCATCCGAGCGATCATTTCGGCATGATACTGTTGCGAGTCGGCGTGGCAGCGGCAACTCCACTAACAGCTTCGCTTCCGAGGTTGTTCTTCGTCAGCATGTGGAAACCTTCTCGAAGCTGTCACTTCAGCTTTCTGAGGTCCAACCCATCCCAAGCAAGATGTTTAAGAATCTCCAATCTCCACCCGACTCATTCGAGGTACTACGTACTTTGATGGGCCTGTCAATCAGCGACTACATGGTACTATTTGCAGGTATTGTTCATACCTACATACGTTTTTATGGTTAAAGCGCTCATTTTACATGATTCCGAAACGAGCAAGTCTATCTGATTGCGATCATCTCATTGGCCGGTCGTCTTTAGTCGCTTTCCCATCTGCCGCTCTGCTTTCAAAGACGAGGAAGTGATAGTCGCGATGATACCTTGTGTTGGAAAGCAGCTTAACAATAGCTTTGCAATCCACAACCTTGAAACAAAGATCAATATTACACACGGCAACAACATCAACTCTCAGATCTTCAGCCACCAGTCAGAATGGAGCTTTTGTTACCTAGTCATCCTCGGGAGATGTTGGTTACCGATGCGACACTTTCGGTGCACATTAGAAACACACGCTCGTGGTTAGATGAATTACCCCGTACGTACTGCTTCATCGCCACCACAGGTACTGACACGGTATATTGGCTTGTTCGGCGGTGTAAGAATCGTGTTCCTGACTAAGGAATAGTCCATGCCTCCTGGAGAACCGTAGGATTTACTGGTATGTTACCTGGGATCTAGCATGTTGACAGCCTCGAAATGAGGCTACAATACCCGATCAAAATTGCACCATTTACCAGCCTACAAGCAGACCCCGGCTTGTATGTCGAACAGGTGTGCTTTCTTACAATGGTTTCCGTAGGATACATGGCTAGTCGACATAGTTGTGTAGCTAGTTTGTAGCGCACTCTCTGCGACCAACTCAACCCTAGGAACCCTAGGTCATGCGAATACTCCCACGTGGGTTAAAATTAAATTCTTGGCCAAGACTGTTCTTTGGTATCTTGATTCCAACTCATCTTCCACGATCCTACGATCCCACGCCCACAACGACCGACTCAGTGGCTTGGTGACCCATGAGCACGACCCTACAGGGTCCCAAGATTCTGTGGGGCGATGCTGCGAAGAGCTGCCCATTCTCTGTGGCAGCGGTTAACCACCACCCACATAAGTATTACTCACCACCCACATAAGTCACCATTTTCGAGACCCAGAAACTCATCAATTTTAGGCCAATTTTTGATTTCTGAAACTCAGAATCATTAGAAGTTTACTATTCCAGTCAGTCTATCAAAAAAAATTGACACTTTTCTACCTAAGTATGGGTAGAAAATGGGAGGAGAAGAGCTTGTTCGTGAACGGAGGAGATGATGCTAAGAGAGTCTATACTATTTTAGGAGGTGGGTCTTTCTTGGCGCAATCTTGTTGGCTGAAACAGCCACTATGAAGTCTTATGTGGGTGGTGGTTAATACTTATGTGGGTGGTGGTTAACCGCTGCCATTCTCTGTCCATTACAACGCGCGTCAGCACTCCACGATCGAGCCCGGGGTTATTGTCGGATCCGCTATCACCACTGCGGAACAGTGTATGTTGATCTCGACTTGATCGTACTTATCACTTTGCTTCGTACAACAGGATCCAGAGTTTTGTGATTGGCGATCTGAAGGAATCAAAACTGACAAGTCTTAGCAGCCATGAGCAATTAAGCTCGGTCAATATGGCGGCGTTAAGACCGAAACCGCCAAACCACCTCGAAAACAAGGTGCCGTGAAGGACCATCAAATCCCTGCCCCTGTCCACCGTTTTGAGGAACTACTCCGGCGCTGTCACGCCACGGCAGGGGCTCGACAACGGCTGACGTAGATCCATCGCGAGTCCTTCCAGCAACACGCCGAAATGCGTCGGCTGGCCAGAGATTTACATTTTCAACCCAGGCAAAGTCATAGATCAGCCAAAGTGCACCCAAAGTACAGCCCACGTTTACGGCCGCCCCCTTGGGTAAATGGAACTTCTCATCGAAGTTTCCTGGCAGCTGGCTCCAGCTATCGCGACGCTATGTGCCGTTAATATGACGTTTTAGCCGGCTCAACACTGATCGATATGGTTATCGGGAGAAGCCGTCTTTCTCTTGAGTTGACCAGGAATTTGAATAATGTGGTCGTTCGTCTTCATTGCCTTGTTTCATCAGTTCTCGGCCCCTTGAAGTCCACATGTGCGGGATGTTCATCTTGCACACCTGCTAACGGTCCCTGGCAAAAGCAAAGCTGAATCTAGAACTGCACTGTAACTCAAACGAATTCTCCAGTCGATCGTGATTTCCACCTAGATACGTAGTCCCTTGTATTTCTCAGGGTGAACTGTAGTAGCTTATGCGCCTTGTCGAGACAAGGGATAAAATGGCGTTCTTGGCATAAACCGTATGGATTTTCGAGCCGTGCTCGTAAACGTCCGCGTCGGCCTGCCTCCGTTCGTTGTCAGTGCTGGATGCGCTTAGCGTGTCATCCATGGGATGGCTGACTTTACTGCAGCTCATTCGCAGACGTTGGATGACAAGGATTCAATCAATCTCGACTTCACGGCAACGCTTAGCCGGTATTCCTT